TGCATGGCCAAACTGGCCAGCAGGACCCCCCAGGAGGCCCAGGATTATGACAAAAGAGGCATGTCTTCACAATGCTGATGGACCTGAACAAAAAGTGTAAAAACACTAAATGAAGCAATCTTTCAGTATGCTAAAAGTAACAATATTTATTTTATCTCTCATAAGCTCAAGGATTTAGAGCCCAAAGAAATCTGAGGGGCCAAGGAAGCCAGGTGGTGGAGAAGAGCTGGGAGAGCACTGCAAGCATCAGGGAAGGCCAGAGAAAATGCCCAGAGCCAAGAGACACAGGGTGGAGTTCGAGGGGCAGCAAGGACTGCACAGTATGTGGGGGGGAGGAGGAAGGAGGAAGAAGACGGGAAAGGTGGGAGGGGAACAGGCTGGGAAGGGCTTTGAATGCCGGAAGATTCTGTGTTTGATCCTGGGAGAACCAGGGAGCCACAGGAGTTTTTGAGTAGGGGTCTGGGGTAGGGCGTCACATGATCCGACCTATACTTCAGGAAGATGGCTCTGACTGTGAGAGAGGGCCTGGCTCTAGGGGGTGGCAGAGTCAGGGGAGAGATGGAGGCATGCTGCAAAGACAAAACTGACAGGCCTTGACAACAACCTGGACATGGGGAGTGAGAGACAGGGAGGAATCCAGGAGGACTGCTCAACTGTACCTCCAGAGTACCGGTACTGGGGGGGGGGGGGGGGGGGGGGGGGGGACAGGACGGGACAGGATGTGTTCTGTTTTGGACAAGCTGAGTGGAGAAGGCGGTGAGGCAGCTGGAGGTGCAAGTCAGGAGGTCAGGAAAATATAAAGTCTAAACCAGAAAAGCCAACTACGATATCTATCACGGGGCTCCTGTTTGCTTGTCTATATGCTTGAGATCTTCAAAAGTACATTTTTCTTTGACAAGAGAATTTTTCCAAAGAAAATTACATGGCTTTAGTAAGAAAAAAAACCACTTTTTCCAAAGACCATGTCTGTGACTACAATAGCACTGCATGCTCACTTCAGGCTGATTACAGAAATCCTAACTGTGAAAAGTCCTATTTGACAGGAGAAACACTGGGACAAAGGGAGCCAGCGATGTGGTCAAAAGACACTGGAAGGATTGCATGCAAAGCAGCTTGAAACGGCCCCATGTGTGGAGAATGTGTCAGGAAAACTACTCGTAGCTATGAGGATTGCTGGGACAGCTAAGTGACAATAAAGTTCCTTCTTATTTTGTATAGAAAAAAGAGGCAGCAAAAACGCTCATTAGATAACATGTCCATCCTTTTGGAAATGAATTTACGTTCTTAAACTAAGCAATAAAAGAGGGAGCATTTCCATAAACACAACAGGATACAAAGAGGGCTATACATGAAACCATGACTAATTTCATACTGCTCACTTTTTTGAAAAAGTAAAAAAAAAGAAAGTAAAAAATAAATTCAACACTTTACTTTCAAAACTGTCTCTCTTGTCTTAGCTTCCTTCTGTTCTCTTCTGTGACTTATACCACCCATATTAGGTCTGTATCCCAAAAAGATTTTTTGAAAAAGGGAAAAGGACTTACTTGTACAAAAACATTTCTGTCAGCTCTAACTGGTGGCAAAGAATTGGAAATTGAGGGGATATCTATCAACTGGGGAATGGGCTGAACAAGTTGTGGTATATGATTGTGATGAAATACTGTGCTGTAAGAAATGACCAGCAGGATGATTTCAGAAAAACCTGGAAAGACTTACATCAACTCATGCAAAGTGAAGTGAGCAGAACTAGGAGAACTACACAGTAACGGCAACATTGTGTGATAATCATCTGTGAATGACTTAACTGTTCTCAGCAATACAGTGATCCAAGACAACTCTGAAAGACTTAATGATAAAAATTGCTATCTACCTCCAGAGAAAGAATGATGGAGTCTGAATGCACATCAAAGCATACTTTTATTCACTTTTATTTTGGGGGGGGGGGGGGGGGGGGAGTCCCTGCGTTTTCTTTCACAACATGAATAATATGGAAATATGTTTTGCATGACCACATAAAACCTACTCAAAACATATTTCCATATTAGTCATGTCATGTAAAAAAGTCACAGATTACACATATATAGCCTGCAGCAGTTAGGTGATGCAGTGGATAAAGTGTTGGACCTGGACTCAGAAGGACCTGAGCTCAAATATGTCCTCAGACACTTACTAGCTGTGTGACCCTGGCGAGTCACTTAACTTTGTTTGCCTCAGTTTCTCATCTGCAAAATGAGGTGGAGAAGGAAATGGCAGACCACTCCCAGTATCTCTGCCAAGAAAACTCCAAATGGGATCACAGGGAGTTGGACACAACTGAAATGACTCAACATTTATAAACTATATAAAATTGCTTACCATCTCAGGAATGGGGGAGGGGAGAGAGCAAGGAAGAGAATTTGGAACTCAAAATTTTTAAAAAAGAATGTTAAAAATTGTTTTTACATGCAAATGTCAAAATAAATAAAATACTTTATAAAAGCATTTCAATGGTCTTCTTTTTAAACATAATTATTGGGGAGCTTCCTTTGTTATCTCCAAGTAAACTGGTGGTCTGGGGAGCAGAGGGAACTACTCATAACACAACAGCATAGGAAAGCAAAATGAATCCATACAGTAGCCATATCCAAAAGGGAATGTCTCTTTCTGCACCATGAGTCAGTCTATCACTTGTGCCCTAAGGATGACTTGATTCATCAGTGGTATCTGGACAGGTGGCATGGTCACTGTTCTAATCAGAGTTCCTAAGTCTTTTAAAGGTGATTTTCTTTACATTGTTGTTATCACTGTATAAATTGTCTTCTTGCTTCTGTTTACTTTATTCTGCATCAGTTTATACTATCCAGGATTCTCTGAAATGATGCATCTCCTTTGGTCATTTCTTATGGCACAATAATGTTCCATTACTTTCCTATACCACAATTTGTAAAGTCATTTTCTGATTAACAGGCTTCCCCTTAGTTTCCTATTCTTTGCTCTGTGTGTGTGTGTGTGTGTGTGAGAGAGAGAGAGAGAGAGAGAGAGAGAGAGAGAGAGAGAGAGAGAACGCAGATATGTGTATGTTTAATCCCCCATATAAGATCAGGAGGTATGTTTTGCTTGTAATTTCTTCCTTCCCTGGTATAATCTTCCTTCTTAACCAGTGCTCTCCCCTCCACCTATTTTACTCTTGAGGTCCAGGTATTTCTATGCCAAATTCTTTGTCTACGTATGTGTTTGTGTTTGATCCTCCTTTGTTTGAGATAAGAGGAAGGTTCACTGGATGCCCACCCCCCCTTCCCTCCATGTTTGTGCATTCTTCTCACACACCCAAATTATGAGAAACAGCAATTTCCACCCTGCCCTTCCCCTTGTCTATGCCAAGGCATCCCTCCTTTGACCCTCCCTTCTCTTTTTCTTCTTCTTTAAATCCTTAAAACAGAACCAATCCACACCTCCCTATCCTCTGTTTAATTTATTTAACTCCCCTAATTCCTTTTTTAAAAAATTTATTGTTTTATTTTTATTTATTTTATTTATTTATTATTTATTTATTCTTCCCCCATCAGAATTCCCTGAATTTCTTTAAGCCTCAGCTTCTTCATCCATAAAAAGTATACCATCTACCTCACAAGATTAGTGTGAAATCTTTGAAAATCTTAAAAATATCATATAAATGGAAGCTATTATCCAGAAGCATGACTTTATCAGTTATCTTTTGTCTCCTCTGCACATATAGGGCGCTTAACAAAATGTTTCCTGACAGCAACGATCCAAGACAATTCTGAAGGATTTATAATGAAAGGTGCTGCCCATCTCCAAAGGAGCCTGAATGCATATCAAAGACACATTTCTTTACTTTCTGTATTTTTCTTGATTTTTTTTAATCTGTGTTTTCCTTCAAGGCATGACTTACATAGAAATGTGCTTTGCATGACCACATGTGTATAACATATGTCAAATTTCTTGTCTTCTCAATGGGGGGAGGGAGAGAATCTGGAACTCAAAATTTGCCCGGAAAAAAAAAAAAGATTTTAAAAGAATGTTTTTAGATGTAATTGGGGAAAAGAATAAACTATTAAATTGAAATTAAAGGCAGAAAAATAAAATAAAATGTTAACTTAATTGAACTGAATTAAGCTTGCAAAGTTCTGCCAAGCCAAAATGTTTAAAAAAAAAAAGTGACAGAGGAAAGCAGAAACATGTCCTGACTTGTATATTACTTTGAACGTGTTTTAGAAATTTCTTTGTCATGCTAACACCAGCGCAAGTGTAAAATGCTTGCCAACGTAGCACACTGCACTCACCTTCCTGGTTTATGGTCCTCTCCCTTTCCCCACACCCAGCATTTTTTTTTTTAAATTAAACAATTTTTGGAGAAAAAAAGAATTTAGCTAGTTGTCCCAATGTGGAAACTCTTAAGTGGGTTGGTATTTTAAAATAAGGAAATAAAAGAATTGCCTCATGAATGTATCAATGCTTTGTGTATCTTTTCATCACAGAACTAGAGGTACATTAATAAGCCTGGATTCATTTTTCTAATAGGTTCTATTAATCAGTTACATTAGAAATTAATTTTGGCATGAATATTCCTGAACTATGTTCAAATCCTGAAACAACTATGGTAGAACATTAATCTTAACAAGAAATATAAACAATGTTTTCCTCCTAAAATGACATATGAATTTGATTTTTTTTTTAAACTAATAAAACTGACTATCAAATATAAGGTGTTCTCCTAGTAAGAGTCAATAAAAAGGTACATTCCTAAGGACTATTGGGCAAATGGGTCTGGAGATTAACAAACTGGGTCTTTTTAATAAACTGGGAGCTTTCTGCAAGACTATAAACTCATCTGAACTCCTTGATCTCCGGCTTCACTCCATCTGTTGACATCTGTTGCTCTGGAAAATACTACACAAGAGAAAAGTAAACAGAGTTTCCTACTGGAGGGCTTTCTGTCCAGTAGCAAGTCCCCTGTGTCACCAGCTACCAAATGATATTTAAGCAGCTTGGGAAGGAATGAGAAATCAGACGTACCAGTGAAGGACAGAAAAGACGCCTTGTTTCTAATCTTCAAAAGAAAAATAAAGTTATCAACAGGTAAAGAAACCTTCTCAGTCCTTTAGTTCTGACTATGACCTTAAAAATGTTCTCTCCTAAGAAAATAGACATAGCTCTGCATTTGACCAAAGAGGCAGATTATCATTTTTAACAATGCAAGATAAAGTCAACTGCTTCTTTGTTTTAACGAAAGGCCTAACAATCACATTTCTTTATCTTTACTTATTTCTTGTGCGGGGATCATCAGTCTCTTAAAGAATATTGGAACAGGAATCAAAAGGCTTGGATTCTAGTTCCAACTCTGCCCCTAACAAGCGGTGGGATCTCCACTGGGCTTCAGCAGCCCCTTAAAGAGTATACAGGGGACTGCCACTAAAACAGGAACCTGCTGCCTGCCTCCTTCCCTCCCCGTTAGCCTTGCTGGGTCGCTGGGCCTCTTCCTACCCCCTAACTCCTCTTACGCCTCTCCTTGCTTGAAGTAAAAATAGCAAAGTTTGCAGTTCCCTCCTAGAAAGAACTAGGGGGAAAAAACCCTCGCTAGACCATTGACTGGAAGGCAAAGATTAACAGTCAAGCAACTGACGATCTATGAGCCGCTCTTTGCCTGCTCTTTGAAAATAAACATTGGCATCCATTTGTATTATGTTGAAACAGGGAAGAAGATGGTGTCTCCATGGTGGCTGATCAGCTTACTGCTTGCACTAGGAGGGGCTCCTCAGGCCACCCAAGCCAACAGTACTTTGAGGCCTCAGACTGCAACTCCAACCAATCACACCCATAATACCCCTCCAAACAGCAGTCCTGCCCTCAGGGTGATGGACAGCCTTCCATTTCTTTTCTTCCTGGTGCCTTTCCCGCTCCTTTGTGGATTAGAGAAATGAACTTTCTGAATTTGGTCCTTTCATTGTCATTTCTACAAAATGGAAAGCATTCATCTCTACTTCACCTCAATCACTGAAGAATTACCACCACCATACTTTAATTAATGTACTTTTAATATCTTGGTTGTTTCTGGAAGTTAAGTAACTTGATAGCTTGTACAGAGTGTTTACTCCATAAATGCTAAGTGAATGGATGGGAAAATCTCTTCTTTTTTTTCAATTTCCTCATGGTTTTCCATTAAAAAGCAATCACAAACCAGATGCTGATTGTCTTCATGTTTATAAAACTGAGCCCAATCATAAATGGGCACAACGTAAATAAGGGCAGAAAAAATAGAAGAAATTCTTGGTGTTATCACATTTTAGTTCATAACATTTTTAACCATGTGCGTGCGTGTGTGTGTGTCTGTGTGTGAGAGAGAGAGAGACAGACAGACAGACAGACACAGAGAGAGAGAGAGATAGACTCACACTTGAATTTATATCTTAATTATGACAACCTCAGAAAGAAAAAAACTCCCCAAAATACCCAAAGGGCGCTCACTGGCCTGGGCAAGAAAGCAATCCACAGCTACAAAAAAAAATCATGGTTTCTCCCTTTGAGATGATGGCATTTTAAAGTTTACAGAACACTCCATACACATTACCTCACGCGACCCTGAAGCAACATGCCTGCGAGATGGGCATTTAGAAAGAGCCATCCCCATTCTGCAGAGGAGAAAAGGGTGTCAGGGAGCTTAAGTAATGTGCCTGTGGCGACTGAGGGTTCAAAAGCCAGGTCATTCATCAACAAGGCCTTTCCCTCTGCTACCGATGCAGAAGGTCCCTGCCAGGAGCCAGACCTGGAATCAGGAAGACCTGAGATCCAATCTGGCCTCTGACACTTACTAGCTATGTGACCTTGGGAAAGTCACTTAACCCTGTGTGCCTCAGTTTCCTCATCCGGCAAATCCCTCCAGTATCCTTGCCAAGAAACCCCCAGACAGGGACACCAAGAGCTGGACGTAACTAACAACAAAATCTGGACACCCCGCTCTGGCACCGACACTCTGCCGAGCCCCTTCTCCAACCCATCAACTCTTCATTTACTTCCATAGCCAGGCGCTCAAATGGTTTTGCACAAACATATAAACCCTCCCCCTTTTTGGAAGTCTGTTTAATGACATTTCAATCATTACCGACCGCTCCTGAAAAATACAAGACACGACCGTAAAACAATCAAAAGCAAACGCTGCCAAATTTTCATGAACAAGTATGACCCCTCAGGAAAGATAGGGGAAGACCCGTCCCCGTCCGTCTTCCCCCCTCACCCCTGTCCCGCACACAGCCAGCCATCTGACTCCTTCTCGGAGGTGGGAGGTCTGCAGGTATGGAACATTCTATGTCTTTTCAGACGTTTTTGCATGGATTGATTTTGCTGGGTTTTTTTCTTCCTCTTCCTGTTTTTCTTTCTTTGTTTAAAATATTTGTCATCTGGGATAGCTCTTTAGGAGGGGGGAGGAGAAGAAATGCTGGGAGAAATTCTGGTGATGAAAAAAAACTAAAGATATCAACAACAAGTTGTTTAAAAATAAAAAATACAGGATAAATTTAGTGTCTCTGCCTTCAAGAGACTTTCACATGGAAGACCTTTTGTTTTAACAGAGACCAAACTCTGGAAGATGGGAGGAAACCCTGAGACGGAAGGGAAAGTAACAGCTCCTATTTGAGGTTTATTGATTTCTGTGTTTCAGTTCCTGGCCATAGAGAAGTATGCTTGATATTAAGGAAAAACTCCTCACCATCAGAGCTATCCAAAATGGGACAGATCGGTTTGGCAACAGTAGGTAGGCCCTACCACAAGCCTTTAAGAAAAAGCTGAATGAACATAGATGGAATGATTTAGAACAGAGGTTCTAATCACGGACTCCTTCCCTGGCCAAGAGCTCAGGGGGTTCATGAATTTGGAAGGGAAGAAAAATTACTCTTATTGATATTTCGCATCTCCTTCAATAACTTAATAACGTTATTCTGAGGACTGGTGCCAGAGGAGGCCAGGACACTAAAAAGGTGAAGAAGTTCTGTTTTCAAGGGATTCTAGGTAATAAGGTTGCCCTCAACTGCCTCTGAAGTCCCTTCCAAATCAAAGGCTGTGAACAACTTGGGATTATCATTGGCAAACTTCCCCTTCCCTCATTCCACTCTCCTCCCTAAACTCACAACGACCTCTATTGACCCAATTCAATCTCTAACTGACAGAATGTGTGCAGGAGATGGTTTTGAGACGGGAAGCCTTTACTACCTCAGCCTCCAGGCTTCCCAGGGCATGGCAACGAGTCAGGGAAAGGTGGGGCTTGGTCACCTTCCGTCCCTCTGTCCTCCCAGCCTCCCACTACACAGCTCGACAGAAAACAGCGTCCCAGAGGAAAACAGCTCGGGAGGCAGGTGGGCAGGATGGCATGAGGATGGTCAGTTCCCAGGGCTTCTAAAAGGGTCAGGGGAGTATCCTGGATAAGCCTCGCCCCTTGGGTGGCTGGGATCCAACAGTCACAGTGGCAGTTCACTTTTCTGCTAATTTCACCTGTCACCTCTTCACAAGAAGATTCCCACTTTTCTATTTGTTTCTTCTGCTCTCTGCTGTGCACCCCACAGTGTTTTGTCAGATGCTCCCAGCTGTTCCTACTCTCTCTCTCTCTGCCCAAACATTCCAGCCACATTGGGTCTGTCCTCCGCCCCTTCGCCCTCACCTGTGAATGCCCTGCACCTCCCCAGGAGAAGAAAAGCTCTGGGAGGCCGGGGAGGTGTCACTGTGTCTGCCCCTGGGGCCTGGCAGAGGGCCTCACACAAACAGTAAGCATGGAACAAATGGCTTGTTTTGGGGAAGCGGTCGAATGAGTAATGGTCAGGCACCACGTGAGAGTAAGGAACAATGCCAGCGGTACATGTGTACGCATTGCAACTGACCCAGGATGAGGCAATCATCAGCCAACAGTGGGTTTCCAACAGACACAGTCCAAAGTCCAAAGGCAAGGAGAGACATCAGCAGGCACAGCCCTCCGATGATTCCCTAAGTTACTCACACACCCACCCAGGGCCACGTCCCCCACAGCTCTTGACAAAAGCCATCACTTTTAATACCACTTACACTTACAGTCTCTCTATCAGCAAGTAATTTTACTTTTAAAATCATGGTAAGATAAACAAAAATGCAGTGGCCTTACCTTCGTGTGACATAATAAAAAACGGGATTTCCAGCCTTGGAAGTGCCTGCTTGATAGAAGATATTTAATGTTTTCAAAGCCTTGAACTCCTCTTTTTCATGTACCTGGTGCCTGAAAACAGCAATAACAGCTCAAATAATTAATGAGCCAGTCTGGAGGACTCAAGGGTCCTATTTTTAAATCACTTCTTTATCCATCCAGATGTCTCAGCAGCCAAAAGAAGGAAATTAGGAGAGGATGCTCTAGAGAAGGCCTTCCTGGCTACTTCCTAGAGAAGTGAGTGAGCCCAAATGAGATGAGACATTCTGAGCTAACTGAGGAACAAGGTTTAGCATGGACCCAAGGACTCATCTTTGGGGACAGGAAAACAGTTGCTACCTAAAGGAAAGTGGGGAATTCAGGGGGCAGTACGAGACTCTGTGTGTGTGTGTGTGTGTGTGTGTGTGTGTGTGTGTGTGTGTGTTTGTGACTCGAGAGCTGGCACATGTCTGAGGTACTCAAAGTGATTTTGCTAAGGGACCATAGTCCTCGAGGATTATTTAAGAAGAAATAACATTTTATGTTTTAGTCCTCTGTAGATGCTCGTTTATGTAATATGAAAACTCACATAGAGGAAAACCTTTCTTAAATGGAGTAAATATGTCAGATGCAGCAAATTAACAGAAAAATCTGTTGGGGTCAAAGGTTGTCATGGAATCAGTCCCCTGAGACATCAAAATCTCAAGTCCACCATCTATTTGTGGAAGACAGTCCCCAGAACTCTGAGGATATTAATACATAATCCTCAGGTTAAAAGGTAAGTTTCCAAGTGTACAATTTATTGGATCAACAGAAATAGTTCCCGACGCACATCTGAGAGATGTTTCTGTTTCTGCTTTAACGCCTTTCATTCATATCACAGAAACATTGAATACACATGTTTACTGACCATTTGTGACGTATAGGGCACTACAAATGTCACCTCCAGAGGATTCAGCAAAGTCCAATATCCCAAAGCCTTCTTCCTCAGGGTTCATGTAATCGATCAAACAGCCTCAAGAGGCACTGGATCACTAGCCAAGACCTTTTGGGAAGTCATGAGTTATGTCTCCGCAAGAATTGTGTATTGTGCTGTCCTTCTTTAAAAGGAGGTTATACAAAGGTTTCATGGAACTTTCACACCAGGCTGATACCAGGGCTTTTCCAGGTCAGGAGGACCTGCCAGAACTTATGATTTGCCAGCAGACTACTGGAAGTACAAGGTGCCCCCATGAAACCATGAAAGACTAAAGCAGAAAACCCTTTAAAAGGCACGATGGGGGAGCCAAATCTTGGGGATGCCGGTAAGCCAGCTACATTTCAAAAACTAAGACCCAATGGTTTATGGGCATCCTTTAGATACTGAAAAAACAAAAGGAAGTTCTCTAATTCACTGGAGAGATCCTCTGCGGACTTTAAGGGAAAATAATGGCAAAAATGAACCAGAAAGAGAAACAACATGGCAAGAATGTGATATGCACTGAAGAAGATATTCAAGTCACTGAAACCCCAAACCACTGGAAACTGAGAGGATGCCCATTAACTGGAGAATGGCTGAACAAATTACGGCCTATGACTGCAATGGAAGACTAATTTGCTGTAAGAATGATGAATGGGATGATTTCTGAGAAGACCTGGGTGAACCAAGTCAGAGTAAAGAGGAGCAGAACCAGAAGAATAATCTGTGCAATCACAGCAACACTGTCAGAACCAACAACTTTGAAAGTCTTAAGTTCTCTGATCAACACAAGGACCAAGCACAACTCCAGAAGATGGAGAATGAAGCCTCTGGCTGCCCGCCTCCTGAACGGGGATGGAATGGAGCAGGGTGTGGATTGAGACATAGGTTATTTGGACACAGCCGATGTGGAAATTTGTTCTGCTTGACTGAGGATATCTGTTGCAACTTTTTTTCCCCTTTCAACATTGGGATAGGAAGGAAACAAAATTTATTTTAATTAATTTTTTAAAATAAAAGTCAAAGAAATCACATATTCTCCAAAGTATTAATTTAAAATGATTACATATAATACAACTGGGGTCTCTGAAAATGGGCACCTGGTGTCACAAGAAGATAAAGGTCAAGGAAGCCTTTCCAAAATGAAGGCATTCTGAGGATAGCTTAGATGCACAGATATGCAGTCCAACAAGAAGAAAGCTACTGCACACCCTGACTCCATGGTTCCTCTCGCTTACCTTGTCATAAATTCCTCAAACTTAGAACTGGTAAGATTCAGGCTGGACCAGTGTGTGTCGGCCACAGGCTTGTGCTCAGGAGGGCCCAGGTAAGCGAGGAGTGTTGCCATCTTATCGAAAGGTCGCCTTCCAACAGCTTTGTGATCTCTAGAGAGAAGAAACAACTTAGAGAAGGCTGTATCCCAGAGTTCAAGCCTTCCCAGTACAACTGCCCAAGATGATCATTTGGACACTTGTAGGTGCTGGTACTCAAAGCCAATGCACCTGGTGAAGAACACCTCAATGGTCACTAGTATATACTGATGTCTCAAATCTCTACGCTGCACTTTGTTGAAAGTAAGCACTAGAATAATGAAAAACCATTTTCAGCACTTCTTTATGTGATACAAAGTAAATTCAGTTAACAATAGATGCTTCATGGCCTCACAGATTTTAAAAAGAGGAGAATGAGACGTATACAAAAGAATTTTCGTTTAGACTGTATAGCCATTTGGAGCTTGTGGTATGTGAATTAAGACGCTGGTTTAAACTTGATCCCTACCATATTGCTTTCTAGTTTTCCCAGCAATTTCTGTCAGAGACTCCTTACCTTATACCAGTAGGTGCCTGTGAGTCTCTCAAAACACCATGCGACTATACTGGATTCCTCCTGAGTCTCATTTACCTCATCTGTTCCAATTTTTTTAAAAAAGTACCAAAAACGGTTGATGACTACTATTTTATAGTACATTCAGATCTAGAATTGAGAAGCCATCTCCATGATTTCCCTTGAGACTCATGATCTTTTGCTCCCCTGGAGTCTATCTCAGAATAATGTTTTTAAGGTAATTTAAAAAAAAAAATTTTAATTAAAAAAAATTTTAAATTTCTTAAAATTTTAAAATTAAAAAAAAATTTAAAATAATGTTTTAAAAATAAGGATACCCAGTTTTCCAAATACTAAAACAAACATATCCCCTGGCTAGGAAGCCCTCCTCTAGATGAATTCAGTTACAAGACTTGTTCTACAAAGTACCCTTTAGTAGCTTTATTGGTGTAACAATAAATAAGTAAATTAAGTTAGGTAGTATTGTTGGTTTTTAAAATTTTTATAAACACTGAATAATGGGAAAATGACAGAAGAGATGCTACTTGAGTCCTAAGAGAGAAAAGGTAGTACAGATTGGGAGATTAGGGACAGTCTCCTGGAGAAAATGGAAACTCAGACTCAGGTTTCAAAGTAGTATACAGCGACTGGAAAGCCTGCATTCCTATTATACATCTTTTCACTCTCCATTTTTCAGAGGCATGTGATAACAGACATACAAGCCTGTGCACAGCTGGGCTTTCTTATTCCTACTCCACTGCTCATCCTATTTCAGGATCCACCTTTCTAGCTGGCAAAACACCTTAAGGCTTTCCTATGCTGTGTTATTTTCTCCCACATAAAAGTTCCTACTTGTTGACAAACTGCCTAATATAATTTCAGTCACTTTCTTTTCATAAGACAAAAATTTTGCTTTTTATGAAGTGGATAAATATATTTAAATTTTAAAATAAAACAATGCAATTAACCAGCCTTTGAAGATGCTATTAAAGAATCGAAAGAAGGATGAAAGGAAAAAACCCACCAAGAACTACAAATAAGCATAGAAAGATCATAGGATCACAATGTGCTTGTTCTAAATCTAAACTGTTAGCAATACTTCACTCGTTTAAAATCTCAACAATAAGAGTAACTCACATTAGCATAGCGCTTTAAACTTTGCAAAAAATTTCACTCACATCACTTCATTTGATCCTCATGCCAAACCTGGGAGGTATGTGTTAATATTCCCATTTATCAGATGGGGAAACTGAGGCTGGGAAAGGCAAGTGACTTGCTTTAAGGTCACACAGCTAGTGAATGTCTGAGGCCAGTAAAAACTCATTCCTGATTCTGAGCATAACAAGCTATCTACCACCTGGAGCTGCGCCCCAGATGAGGGAGCTGCTTCCAAAGTTAAAGCTAGGACTGGGCCTCTCTAGGCACAGCACTTCATAATTCATTGAGGAGGAAAGAATATCTGGAAGGTTTGGGGACTTTCTACCCTCAAATAAAGCCTGATCAAAATAAGCAAGGTCAAGCAGCTGAGCGACGGAGAGGCCAAGCCCCAGCTGCTAGCCACAGCCCCATGACCGTGCAACCTCATTCTCATGTCGGAGAGGGAAGGGAGCAGAAGACAGCTAGGACTTGTCACCCAGAGGGCGGCTCCAAGGTGCTTCCTTGGGGTTTTCTTGGGTAAGTTTTTCAGGGAGCCTGGTGTGAGGTGCCACACTGCCAAACTGGGAGGGGTTGGAGGCACAGGAGATTCTAATGGGATTCAGCAAGTGACTGATAACTAACAAGAGAGCGTCTCCACTGAGTCCACTCCCTTAGGCCTTCTCCGAGTCAAAGACTGGAGGGTCATGACAAAGAGCACATATGTAAGACAGACTAGGTTCATCGTCCACAAAATAATCTATTTTCCATACAAAATAACTTTTGTGTATAAGGGATATGACAATTCTTTCCAAGTCATAACTCTTAACCAAACAAAAGATGAACTCTGACAAGCTGCTCACAACTGAGTCAACGCAGCTCTAAGACTGTAAAGGGAAAGGTCTCATTAGGACAGTGATTCAGATAATCTACCTGTTGCTTGAAAGATACTGGCCAATTTTCTCTTGGTTGTTCCAGAGCAGACGGTGCAAAGCCAGGACATTGCCATCACTGATGAAGGAAAGGCTGTGGTTTATGGCATCACTTACAGGGCAATCAGATGCAATATCAAGGAAAAATCTATCAAAATACAAACAGTGGCAAAATTTTCAAAATCTTACAAGTACACGTTCATTACACATTTGTATTGTGCTATGTTCACACACTACAAGAGAGCTATGGTATTATACCATAAATCACTTCACTGAGAAGGAGCGAGGGAGGGAAATATGCCTTTCAAAATCAAATGTTCAGAATGAGCACAGGAGATATTTCAGTTTGTCATAAGACTTGAGCAGAGGTAAGGATCTTCACTATGAGAAAAAGTGAGCTATATACTTTTCAAGCTTTAAAAAAACGCCCACCCATCAATTGGGTAATAGCTAAAGGAGTTGTGGCCTATGATATGTGATGGAATACTACTATGCTATAAGAAATGACAAACAGGGATGGTTTCAGAAAAACCTGGGAAGACCTCTATGAATTGATGCAAAGTGAAGTGAGCAGAACCAGAAGAACACTGTAAACAGTAAAAGCAATGCTGTAATAAGGATCAATTGTAAAAGAATTAGCTAATTGGATCAAGACAATGATCCAAGATAATTCCAAAGGACCAATGATTAAAAACGATATCCACCTCCAGAGAGAGAACTGATGAACTCTGAAAACAGATTGAAGTGTATTTTTTAACCTTTCTTCCTTTGTTTCCTTTTTTTTTTTTTTGTCTGTGTTTTCTTTTGCAACATGGCTAATGCGGAAATGTTTTGCATGACCTCACATGTATAAGCAATACCAAACTGCTTCCCTTCTCAAGAAGGGAAGAGGAGTGAGAAGGAGGGATAGAATCTGGAACTAAAAATTCTTTCTAAATTAATGTTAAGATTATGTTTTACATGTAATTGGGAAATATTTAGTGAAATAAATAAACATGTATTGGGAGAAAAAAGGCCCAATGTTTGGTGTGTGGTTTTTTTTTTCCTGAAGTGTTGTTAGTAAATTACAAATGTCAATATGCAACTCTGATTTTTTAATGTCCTGACATGGAAATCAATGTAAAATAATGAAGGCCGACTCTATCACACAATGAAGAACAAAATAGCTGTGGATTTGCCCCGCAAGAGAAAAAGAAAGCAAGATGCAGGCAAGAGCTCCTCCCAGAACAGAGATGAGACACTCAAGGTAAATGAGGAAGAGAGTGGTTTGGAGTAGGGCTGTGATTTCAGGGTCCAGGCACTCCCAGAAGGATGCTCCCTCTATGAATGCAGCCTGGCCCTTCTTCTGTAACTGAAAGGCAGATGGAAGCACACTATTGGCTCTCTTTTTTTGTTTTGTTCTGTTTCTTCTTTCTCGTGGTTCCTCCCATTGGCTCTAACTCTTCTTTACAACATGACTAACGTGAAAATATGTTTAATATGAATGTATATGTAGAGCCTATATCAAATTGCACACTGTCTTGCAGAAGGGGGAGGGGAGGGAGGAGGAGAAAATTTAAAACTCAAAATCTTATGGAAGTGAATGTTGAAAACTAAAACTAAATAAATTAATTAAAAAATAAAATTTAAAAAAAAAGAAAGAAACTCTTGGAGAATGGCCTGGGGCACCAAGAGTTCAAGGGAGTTGCCCAGAGTCACACAACCAGGGTGTGTCAGAGATGAGATTCAAACCCAAGTCCCCTTATATGGGAATCTGAGCCTTATTGCAGTATACCATACTCTCTCATCTCAAAAGAGGAAGGGACGAATGAATGAATGAACGAATGTAAACACGCACACAAATACAGCACTTCCATAAGGCTTTAAAATTTCTCGAAGAGGAACTGGGGGAGGGTACAGACAATTAGCTGCTTACCTCCGTGCTACGTCAAAGTTGCTTTTCACAAAATCGTTAAAAGGCCTCATATACTCTTCTTTTGTGAAGAGGACGTGATTGGCAATGCTCTGGAGTATCTAAACACAAAAAGGTCACCAAGCAATGCAGACCACATCAAAACGGCGCATTTCCTTGTATAAAACTTCTCACTAAATTTATTTCTTTTTCATATGATCAGAGACTTTGATTCATTTCCTCCAATTCATTAGATGTACTCGGTCTACAGACTGTTTTCTTCACATAGGCGACTACATCATATAGCATGGTGCACATAACACAAGCATCCTTCAAGGCAAAAACCCCCATAAGTCTACCTGTATCTTCACTCACTTAAACACACCCTCAAATCACCATACAAAAAGCATTTGTGTCACAAACAAATTGCTTAAGAGAGGGTCTCACAGTGAGGCACCCCCTTGGATGTCAGGCTGCAGAGTGCCTTCATACATGATCAAATATGCTATAAATGGAAGAAAAACAACAGAAAGCTAAATGATACATTTTCATTATTCAAAAGACAGTCCTGAAAATGAAAACCTCATAAACTAGCTAGGAAGTTAAGAAAGTGATTTTCCAGTGAACAGGATGAAAATTAAGACAGCCGAACATCAAAGTAATTCATCACCTTTGACATCAGCTTCAGTCCCCTTTCAATTCTAGGGAGCGGTTTTCTCTCTAAAATCCCTGCCTCGTAGGGAGAGACAACGGCAGGGTTGATGAATCTCAGGAACATGGCACTCCCCACGGCGCCAATGCTGTTCTGAGGGAATCTCTGGCTAACAACCTAAAACCAAAGAGGTCAGAGCGATTAGTGCATGGCTTAAATTCAAGGAAGACAAAGGGTAAAAGGGAACCACAACTACCCAGGCTCTCATTCCTCCAGACGCCCATCCACACAACAGGCCTGTGAAGCCCTTTCCAGAAGACAGGAAGCAACATTTACATTCAGGTCTTGACTTGCACAAATAAGATGCAAAAGAAAATAGGTCATTGACATGAAGTAAGCAGAAGAGTCCTGAAAAGAGATCTTAATTTCAAAGCCATCAAGCATACAATTTCACTGCAAGTAGAATAAAGCCCCTCTAAGCTAGATCATAAAGGAAATCAAATAATATAGACAACTTGTGGAATGCAGAGGCCACATTCTCAACTTTATGCTCCTGAAATAAGTCCTGACTAAGTTATTAAGCATTCTCAACTGACCAATGGCCTCTCTCTCCAGTTCAGTTTCTCCAGTAACTGGCTCACCTCGCATAAAATCAAGAGGAAACTGTGCTGAGACCCTCCTGAGTGAAGCCAGGCCCTTCTCTTCCCCAGAATGCTTTACAACACCAGAGGTGGTGTTCTATTTAAGCCATGAAGGAGGGGGATTTCCGGGGCGGGGGGGGGGGGGGTTAGGACCCCACCAGCAGGGAAGAGAAGGCAAATAGCTATCTTGTTTTAAGAGTTCCCTACTTTGTTTTAAAATGGACTATTTCCTTACCTACTTCTGTTAACCCCCACAATGAAGAGTTAGAAAAGGAAAACACCTTAAATGGCCTCCTCCTTACAAAATTATCTCTTGATATAAAGCTCTTTAACACATGAAACTGTGTCATCAAGTTACATGTTGGGGAACACCTTCGGCACAATTTTATGTCCCGTCCCGTCTCCCCCACCACGGTATCGCTCATCACGGTTGCAGGGGCTGCTCCAGCTGGAGAGAACAGCAAAGGGCAGAATGGGCAGCAGCCCCAGGATCACTGCAATCACGTATCAACAGGGGATGAGAGAACTGGGTTTGATGGAGACAATTTATTCGTACAAACATGTTTTTAGTAACAGAGCTGTCCTGTACGTGGGAGAACAACAGCTGCTTTTCACAGAGGCTTCACTAAGTAAAGCCTCCATTCCTGTGCTCCTAAGACTTAGACTTGGCAGAATTCTGCCCCAAAGAGGATTTTCTTCCATCCATGTTATAGTTCAAACCGAATGCACTTAAAAGACTCAGTTGTAGAATGTAAGCTCCCTGAGGGCAGGGAGCTGTCTCACTAGTCTGACTGCAGCCCCAGTGCGGAGCAGTAAGTAGGCATTTAATAAATGTTTACTGATTGACTGATTTTGACTTGCCTTCTGAACTATCCTATTTTCAGGCATATACCACCTGCCAGAGGCATTCTCATAAAATGAGAATGCCCTCATTTGTAGTCACTATTACTAAAACAAAGGCTTTAACACAAGTGGCAGGCAGGGTAAGGGTTTTCTAAAGTAGTTTCCAAAGCAGCAACAGCTTCCAACTCTTGGAAGCATTAGGTTTTCAAATGTGACAGATATATTTACAAGAGATTTCTTTGGAATACTACCCAAGCCCACAAGCTTAGGAATACAATTCTCAATTACTTCTCCTCTTCTTGAATGAAAACTGAAAACCCACCTTTGCCATCCATTCTCCAGCACCATTTCCTCCCCTCAGCTTAAAGCCACTAGCAGTCTAACAGGACCAGCCATCCAGGCTACGAGGCCTGGGAAAATCTCAGCTGGGAAACTGTTCTAGGATATCATCATGCATCCATTCACTGAGAGTATCAGCAAATCATCTCTGGAACCAGGAAGTGGCAAGAATTCATACCACCAAAAAAATTTTTGTATAAAAAATTCTATAAAAGAGCCACCTTAGGAAAGCATCATTTCTCTCTCCTCTACCAACTGGAATGTTGCACAAATATTCAAGAAAAACAAAAACAGCAGAATTTTAAAAAAAAAAAAAAAAAAGAAAAGAAAACTTGAATCTACAGAAATTCAACATAAAATTTCTTCTACATATAAGCAATTTTTTGATTCCACATTGGCCAAATCCAATTGTTCCTTTATTTCAGATATGAATTATAACCATTAATTTAAATACAGTCAAGAAACAGCTCCAGGAACAGTGCTACCAACATGTGGGAGTGCAAAGTCGTGGAACGGTTGCACTTACAATGACTGTTCAAAAGAAACCAAGCTTGAATATATTTTCATAACAATAAACAATAGCATTTTCAAGTGTTTCTTCCAGAGGACTGAAAAGACTCCTTCCCCAACTCTGTGTGGCCTTTTTTCAAGTGGCAAGTCCATTTAAGCAACCAAAGAGCTCCCAAACTGACACTTGGAATGTGAAGTGACGACACCTTCTTGACTTAATCTGCAATGTCCTCTGAACCATGGTGGGGCTCCCCGCTGGATGTTACCACTTACTTTTGTTACGATTCCATAATGCCCAATAGCACCTGTACTGGTGTAGAAAAGGCATTCCAACATTTCATGTTATCCACAAACTTTTAAAATGTCAGGCGGAAAGTACCTCAGGAATGGCAGGAATGTTTCAGAGAAAAGCTGAGCAAATTCAGAAAAAAAAAAACACAATGAAGATAGACAAGAGGGCTAAGAAACATGCTCTAGAGAGAAGGGGGCTGGGACAGGTTTGAATTTATTTGCCTCAGTGGAACAGAGGCGTCAGTCAGCACAACACCAAGCAAAAGGCTTAGAATACATCATTAATTTCAACATCATGGCAGTGTATAGGAAGTTAAACTCATTTGTGCTGAGGAATAAAGGCTGAAGTATTAGAAAGAAATGTTTAATCAAGGAGTAGAGATGCAGTGTGTTCTAACTGCTATTAGCAGGTTTAATTAGTATCGCAAAGCCAAGAAGAAACTCTTCAGTGGGCATGCTTAACAGTGTCACCATTCTATAAACCATAGTTTTAGTCCTCAAAATTTAAAAATAAAATTAATTATACAGTAGCTACTATATCCTAAGACATTTTATTTTTTAAATTAACTATTTAAAAGTTGTGAAATAATTGTCCAAAAGTTCACGTGGGTTATAAGAAAGTTTATAGGACCTAGCCAGGATACCCAGTGTATATATATATACATATATATACATATACATATATATAATATATATATATATATATATATATATATAAGTAACTTTTTCTTATTTTTAAATGATTGCCATATTCATAAAAAATGTGTATGTATCCAGATTTGAACTCAGAAAGATGAGTCTTCCTGACTCCAGGCCCAGCACTCTATCTACTGCACCACCTAGCTGCCCCATAAAATGAAACATTTCTCTAGAAATGACTTGTTTTTCTTTAAAGAATAGGGCTGTCAAACTATAATTTTGAAACTGATTTTTAAAAAAGTAAATAATATCTTTGTAGAGTCAGGAAGACCTGAGTTCAAATGGGGCCTCAGATACTTACTAGCTGTGTGATCCTAGTCATTTAACCTCTGTCTGCCTCAGTTCCCTCGTCTGTAAAACGTGGGCAATAATAGCACCTCCTTCCCAGGGTTTAGTGAGGATCAAATGAGATAGTAACTCTAAAATGCTTAGCACAGTGCCTGACACATAGTAGGCACCATTACACGTGTTAGCTATTATTACTATTATTGTTAATTTTGGCAAAATAAGCCATAAATGTTCTTCTGTGAACTGACTAGACAAAAGAAAAATGGGCAGAGGTTGTGGTTCAATAAAACTGAGCAACAACCTGGGTAAACATTGTCAAGATATAAGGATTCACCCTGTTTTCCAGAGCTAAGGCCCAGCATGTAAGCTGTGCCCTGAGTCTGACATGACAACAATCCTTTGTACTCACCGTCTGGCAAAAATCACATAATAATTGTACTGCTGTGACCAGCACCAGGTAGTCTCTGAGCTCAGACAAGCTTGGACAAGTACCCACGGCCCGGCCAGGACGTCCTGCTATGAATCAAACTCGTCTCACTGTTGCTGTTCCCCCTCACTGTCAGGGCTACGGCTCACTGTACAACCATTGGTATAGGCATTGGGATATCCCCACCCTGCCTCGGGTCCCCCCACTTGGGGCAGGGCCCCGGCACATGTATCTAGATCTCTCCTTGCTGGTAAGCCATTTCCCTCTCTTTGAATTAAACTTCTGTTTGATTCCCAACTCTCTTGTCTTTAGCTTGTTCTGTTCAGCTCCGGCCATCCACAAGTTAGAGGCCGGTTCAGTCCAACTGACATTTAGAAAGGGAAGTTTACCCTTCCCTTACAACTAAGGGAACTAACCTTTGTATCCCCTACAACTAAGCTTTCATTTATAAGGGGAAAAAAATCGCTCACACTGACTATTGTAAACCAAGAAACAAAAATAAAAAGATTCAGCATTTCCCAAGGCCTTGAAATTAAGTTTCTTTTGCATTCATTTACCATTAAAAATGATGGTAAAATCAGACCAGGAATAGCCAATGTAAAGAAAACATCCCAAATGCCTTTGAGTTAAATCAAACCAAAGGCATGCAAAAAATGTTTCAATATAACTTAATTCCAGGGTTAATTGAAATGAAAGCTATTTGTGCCAGAATTAGTAGAATGATTTTAAGGTGAGAATTCATTAGGCTGAGGTGAAGATGTTCAAACAGCAAAGAGTTTTTGTTTTGCTTTGAAAGAAATGGCTAATAAAAAGGGCTCCAGACTTACTGATTTTTTGTTTTCCTTTTTTTCTTTTACGGTAGCTTTATTCAGTAGAGAGTGGCAAGTTGCCTACAGAACAGAGATGAGCACAAACAAGTCACAGCACCAACTACATACAGCAACAAAAACAATGTTGACTTGTACAGAAAATTACACAATCAATGGAACACAAATGGAATGGAAAATGGGATATCAACTCAAGTTTGAGGATGAAATTTCACCCTGGATTTTGCTTCTCCTACATTTTTCAGTTAAAGCCCTAAAGAGGAGGCAAGGCAAATGTTGGGTTTCATCATTTCTACTATATCTGGCTAGAATATAAGCACCCCGTGATCGACGGCCTCCATTCCCAAAGCCAACAACGGAACGCATTTGGATTAGAATTTCTTCTCCCTTACGTGGTCAATGTCAGCATGGCTAGAAAACCTCTACTTTCACTCAAAAGTGGGGAATGGCAAATTGTTCCAAGAAATCTTCAACTAAGGTATACAATTCTCACAGAATGCTTTGCATTCCTGGGAAGCTACAGGTACTCAGAGAGACTGAGTCACAAGAAGGAACAAAAGGACCGCTCGCTAGGCTGACTTCAGTGTCCTAATCACCTCAACACGAGTACTTATGTGGGTGTCTCCATCTAAGCCAACACTGATTTTATTCTCACCCTCCCACCTCACAGACTTAGATAAAATGCAAACAGACACAATTGGGGGGGGGGGGGTCGTGTCTGTGTGTCTGTCCCCTAACTGATAGATGTACATACACACATAACCCAGGTGACAATGCTTACCTTAACACAGTCTTACAAAGCTTCTAAGATAACCAATCTTGCCAACACATAATCCACAAAGAACTCTATGCCTTGGAAGCCTAGCTACAGGTGCTCAAGGCCAGAGAAGACATTCTCAAGATTGCCCAAGCATCTCATCCATGAACTAGGGAATACTCTGACCTGTTTTCCCTACCAGTCGAACAAAAGTTTTAAAAGGCACCAAGAACAACCGTCAAGGTAAAAGGAGCAGAAGATAAAAGAAGATGTGCAAATAACTAAGCACAGGGAAGCAGCTGCAGCAGCATGCAGAAAGAATCTTGAAAACGGGGCCCTGAGTCTGAGCTCACCACCAGCTGGGCATCCTGATCCTCGGGGAGGAGTATGGGTGACTCTGGCCTCCTCACTGGAGAAAAGGTTATGGCAAGTTCCATCTTGCTGGAAAGCCTCAAAGGATGGTCCAGTAAAAGGTGGCATCTGCTTTTCAAGTCTAGGCCTGCATGCCACCTTTTACTGGACCTTCCTTCGAGCCTTTATAACCTACGCATGGACTGAAGGCATCTTTAAATAGGTTTTTACAAACACAGCTTAACAGTCACAAAACTGACTAAAAGACACAAGAAAGCAAGAACCCCTGTGTTCACTAGTGCTGGGGTCAAAGGAAATGCTTCCCTCTCCCACACCTGCATTCAAATCACAAAAGCTTTCTCAGAGTGCAACAAGAGACATAACTTGGTTCAACTCCCTCAAGCGAGGGATAGAACAGAGAGACAGATGCTTGCCACGAGGCGAGCTAGATGAGGAACACCCGAGTTCAAATGAAGCCGCAGACACTTAACTGACTGTGTGGTCCTAGGCAAGCCATGTAAAGTTCTAGCCTCAGGTTCCATATATATAAAATGAGGCCAACACCACCTCGCCCCCAGGCTTGCTCTGAGAATCGATGAGATGACATATTTAAAGACCTTGGAAAATGCTTAAGTCCTAAAAGGATGTTAGCTACTGGTAGCATGTTATCATGGTCTGAGGCCTTTTGTCATGTCCCCGAGGATGATGCAAGCCGATGATGCAAGCCGTGGGCAGAGATCTTGCAGCCATAATTGGCACAAGCTCATCCACAAAGAGAAACATGTCAACCCCTGGCCATCCCAGATCCTCTTTCAAGACAGGTTCATTTAACCAGCCCCACAGGCCAAAACAAGTGGTCAAAGCCTGCCTGTGATCAGCCTATGATGTGGACACCCTACTGAGCTGATCCATCAGTACGTGGATCTTGAACAGACACTGCAGATGAATCGTGAATTGGGCCCAGAATTAAAGAGGAAACAAAATAATTGGGATTGCATTTGGTGTACCGCCTACTTCTTTTTGTGATCCCAAGCTTCTCCCTGGGAAAAAAATAAAAAAGCTAATTTAATTATCACCAGTTTTTCTCCTGGTAATGCTTTATGACCAAAAAGAATGAAGTATCATACTGAAGATGAAGGTCACCGCAAACCAGCAGAGATGTATGGTAGGAGCCAGAGGGTTCCAGGACATTACCAGCAGAGAATGCAGAGGAAAAGCAGTGGGAATGAGGGCAAGAAGACACACACAACTGGAAAAGCAGGATGGCCAGTTGGGTAGTAAGAGGATAACTGACTGAGAGCCTGAGACGGCCAAAAGTCGAGAACTCTATGGCAGCTTTCACACTACACTGGGGGAAAGCCCCCTGGAGCGGGGCTTTCTGGGAGGGCAGAGACTGTAAGATGGATTGTGACCCATACTTTGGAGTCTGAGACTCACACTGATGAGATCACAGAGAGGCTAATGAAATCATGCATGCTGACATTGCATGCTCTCAGGCTGTGAAAGCACAAAATGAGTCACTCAGCAGGAGACCACTAAAAATTGAGCTCTTTGCACTGCAGTTAAGGACTATGATGCATGAATATCATTCACTAAATACATGTCCTTTCCCCTGAGATGGGAGGTGCATCTTCATCTCTCTTTAAAATCCGGGACACTCAAAGGGAGGGTTTCTATTGGAAAAGTCGCACCAAAGCATGCTGCCTTAAGAGCTGGCAGGCCTTAGGCTCGCTTTCTGATAGACTAATGTTTCAAGGAAGCACATTCCTGGATGGGGGCCCTTCCTTCTGGGGCCAAAGCAGCGGAAGATCTCCAAACCAAGGAGAGCCCAGAGGAAGGGATCAAAGAAGATGAAGCTTCATATAGACCCATTCTAACCCAGAGGAAGAGACGAGGTCCAGAAAGGTTGAATCCAAGGCAGTGAAGATTTGTGACCAAACAGAGCTAGAAGCTGGGCCTCCTGCCTCCTATTCCAGGAGGCTACAGTGATATCAAGTAGAGGCCCCCATCAGTTACAATCTGGTCACCCCAAGGAGGCTGACCAAGCTACCATTTAAATGGAGCCTCTCTCACTGAAGTCCATCCTAGTGTTGTAGACACAAAGAACACAAAATGGAACTTCCAAACCAATCCCTGCAAAGTCCAGCCCAGGAGAGGACGTTGACTTTTGGGTTCAATGCCATTTTCTGCTGAACTAGCTGGACTCCCCAACAGTTTCTTTGGGCTTTATTTTTCTTTGCAAGTGCAGAAAATCCACAATAAAGGAAAAGACATTTATTTCAACGACTGCTTTATCTACTGGGTATATTTTGAGAAAATTATTTTTACAGACAGAGATGACACATTTTTAAATAGCACATGGGGGCAAAAAATGCAAGCCCCACATGCATCGAAGCCTGAAACAGCTGCTTAAATGGGGGAGTTTCACACATGTAGCTAAGCAACTAAAGTGAGGCACTAAAGACTATGGGCTGGGGACTTTCTTGGAGGAAGATGAGACAGGAGCACACGCATAAGAAGCACCAACCCCCACACACCCCCAAAATGCTGGGACCCAAATACTTCTACAGAAAGCCAAGGTCTCTGGAGCCCTACTGGAATATGACTTACTCATTCCACGGATCTCGAGAACTTTATGAACATGCATCTGCAGTGGTCACTGAGAGCCACAGCACCAATTCTCCCAAGATAAAGAGCCCCCTGAAGCCAGGACCTCTCCTTACTCTGCTAGGGTCTGACCCTAGAAGCAGCTGGCAAGGAGGGCTCTGGGATCAAACTATGCTACAGGGAACAGTAAAAGGAAACAAGAGATACCAGACACAAACTCACTGTCGAGGTAATACAAAAATCACACCAAGAAACAAACCATCTCCAGTCTGCTTTAACACAAGACAAAACAAAACCTGGGAATGGAAGAAGATTATGGGATACTGTCTCACAGACGAACAGAATAAGGAAAAAAAAACACTCTCCAATGCAGTTCAAATACCACTGACACCCAGACTACAGGTGTCCTTACATCTATTACTGACTCTACAAGGAACATGGTTTTAGCAGGACAGAGGGCACCAACCCACCCCCCACGATGTTTTCTGAGTCTCCTCCTCCTCCTCCTTCTAGCCGATCCACACCACCTGCCCTCCCGGCTCATTGGTCCCCTCCCTCCCATTCGTGCTCCTGGCTGGAGGAGCTCAGGGGGAAGGCAGCCACTCGAACCCCAGGCCTACCTGGTACAGGCAGTGGCACACGCTGCGGAGTTGCGGGGGGAATTCCGAGGAGGAGCCTACAATGGCGTGGAAGAACTTCTCGGTCATCTGCAGGAGGTTCCGCTGGTTGTCCTCAAGGCTCTCGCTGTGCTCCAGCCTGCAGACGGACAAAGGGAGAACCAACCACTGCTTGTCGACGGGAAAGGGGCGAAGCGGCGTCCCCATCCTCCTGTGCATCCCGCCCAGCCTGGGAGACAGCCACTCTCCTTCTCTTCCAGAAGAGGGATCCAGGCCACACAGAGAAAGCTGCTGACTCCCTCAGTGCCTCTCAGCCATGGGCCTCTTCCTCCTCTTCCTCACCCTCCCAATGATTTTCCTCCACTCCATTCCATCTATTCATTTGGTCAATAGTTACTGAGACCTCACCACCACCAAGGCACCGTGCAGACTCTCGAAGGCCACTGATCCCCTAACCAACACATCTAACTTCCAACAAACATCTCTGAAGCATCGGACACCACTGACCTCCTCTAACCCTTCTGTCCTCCTGCTTCAAACTCCCACCAATACAACCCTGTTTTTCCTTCCCCCTCTCTCCCCATTTCTGTGGCAGCCCTTCCTCCTCCCTCAACTCAATGGGAGTCTTCTTCAAGGGCCGGCGGTCAGCCATCGGTCAGCTCCTTCTATTCTCACACTTGGAGAGCTCCTATTTGAAACGTCCAATTATGGGTTGGGAACTGTTATTTAAATAATCATGTCACAAAGTAGCCATATCTTGGACTTCCTCTATGTCTCAAAGTGCACTGTTCAGTAGGAGATACCAAATAACAACTGATTTATATCCACCCTCTTGGACTTTCCTGATATCAAGAATTCTTGAACTTCTTACAAAACTGATGTATTAGTCAGATGGTCAAGAGTTCATGAACTTCTTACAAAACTGATGTATTAGTCAGATGGTCAAGACATTAGTCAGATGGTCTGAAGACAGTCAAATTCAGTGGGTCGAAATACCAGAAATGAATGGGCTCAAATATCCATATTTTTGAGATTAGAGGGAAAACTTAGTGGTAGGACCCGGGCTCCAAAGATTGGGAGGCTCTACAATGCAGAAAGGAATGACTGAGGATATTCCAGGGAAGGATCATAGATTTAGAGCAGGAAGGGATATGAAAGGTTGCTTTCATTTTTTAAAGTATATGTATTTTATTAATAATAAATATTAGAGGGGCTATATATTAACAATATATAGTTGTGAACATTAGTATATTGTAGGTGGAGATGTGAAATACTCCAAACATTTTGGAAAATCATTTGGAATCATGCTAGGAAAGTGACTAGAATGTTCATACCTTCTGACCCAGAGATCTTACTACTGGGCCTATAACCTGAGGAGGTTCAAGACAGAAAGAAGGTTCCACAGTGGAGAGAACACTAGGCCGAGAGAAAACCAGTTCAGATCCTGCCTTGAACGCTTACTAGCTGTGTAACTCTGGGCAAGTCACTGAATCTCTGCCTCAGTTTCCTCAATTGTAAAATGGGGATAATAAGTGCCTAGCTCACAGGGTTGCTGCGAGAATCAAATGAGATCATTGTAAAGTGCTTAGCACAGGGCCTGGCACATAGTAGGTCCTATAAAGATGCTTATTTTCTTCCTTCCATTTGCACCAAAACATTTAGAGCGGCACTTTTTGGAGCTGCAAAGAACTATAAACAAAGGAGGTGCCCACTGCCTGGGGAAGAGTTAAACAAAGTAGCGTGTGTGATCATGACAGCCCATGGCAGCACCAGAAGGAACAAGGAATAAGAAGGATGAAGAGAAAATACAGAGGAAAACTGCCACGAATGGATGCCAGTGAGGCAGACAGAGCCAATGCATGCACTCACCATGGCTGCATGCACGGTGCCCGCCGTCTACAACGCCCAAGCTCGGCCCAAAGGAGGGACAGACAAAGGGACCTCGGGCCCTTCTCCCTACCCCGAGGAGCACTGAACACGGCACCCGAGGACGAACCTGCTCATGACAGAAGAACAGTCACTGGGCCGGAAGTCCTCTTCAGAGACCAAGCCTCCCAGTGCACACGGTGCTCTGTCTCAGTACACCCCATGTCTGTGCCATGAGGGAGGAGATCAGGTTTCAATGAACCTTCTCCAGGATACTCACTGGTGACGCCATCGGTCAGAATTTGACTTTGTTTCAGGGATTTGTCTACAGACAATGTTATGGTCACTGAACATATCCTAACCCCCTCAATTTATAGCTGAGGAAACTGGCCTCACTGGAAGTCATACAAGTCTGGGAAGGGAAGGAGTGGGGTAAAGGGCATCAACGAATTTAAGCCAAGGAAACACCATTAATAAGAATGGGGAAGTTGCTGATCAAGGAGAAAACAAAGAGTCTGGTCACAGGGAAGGTCAGGACACTTTGTCGTCCAGCTCGAATGACAATGCCTCCACGAAACCTTCCCAGGGCTTCTGCAACTGACGTCTCTGAACTTGTGTTTGTTTGTTTCACTGTGTTTAAAAAATGTTTGGATAATTATGTTTCAAGATAATTGGTTTCCTTTATAATCTGACGTGTTTTATTTTACACATTTAAAAAGAGGATTGTGAGCAAGACACCGCCCCAGGGATCCAGGTCCAGGGCAAGGGGAAGAAGTCGGCCCTGGGCCACATCCATCTCGTCCATCCTCAGTACCACAATGAGTCACACTGGCAAGGGCAAGTGTCACACTTTATTTTAATATGAGGGGGAACAAAAGATTAATTTAAGGATATCCTCAAAATACTTCATTTCAGAAACATGGGCAAAAAAGTCGCCAAGTGCATGCCATCGACATTATGCATGCCACATCTCACAGAAAAAGTGACCAAAAGATAATGTTGATGAATGACAAAGAGTCATCCTTTACCTGTCCTAGCTGTCCCCTCTTACTCTTACTGCACTAGCACCGCGCCAGGACAGGAAGGCATCAGTAACTAGGGAAACAGGAGACATCTTCTGGGTAGCTGCTCCAGCTGATAACTGGCTACATTTTAAAAAGTCCTTCTAGAGAGGTCGTAAATGAGCAGAATTGCTCAAGTTTTCTCCCTCTAATTTACCTTAACTCCCAAAGACTGTTCAAAAGGTTTGCTTGGCCAACTCTAGAGTTCCATGGCATGTTTCACTTTGTTAATCTTGAATTCTAACAGGTTTTATAGATAAGAAGCAAAAATGTCAAGTTTCAACAGAGGAACTAAACAGTGACAGATGGAGTAAAACTCATGATCAGAAGTTTGAAGCAAAGACTAAATGACAGTGGAAAACTCCAACTACGGCATGTAGACAGAAGAATGTCGCCACTTGATTTAAGGAAAGTTAACATGGGGGCCACAACCTACTCCCCTCACTCTCCACGGAATGAGGAAGGGTGAGACTCCAGCTATGGCCTCTTTCTCAAACTGGGTTAAAGGTCTTCTCAACACCAAGGTCATGGCCATGTGTGGGGGTACTACCTGGTCAATGAATCATGTGAGAAAACCAATGCCTCCAACCTATGAGACCATCAAGCATGCCAACATCAGGTCTCTCATCACTAGAATCCTGTCTGAGCTTTAGAATTCAGACACCAAGTACAATCCTCGAGCTGGGACAGAAGAGCGGAGCAGGTACCCTGGGCAGCTACTAACTAACCCAGGCACACAAACCCACCACCTCGTGGCCTCCACCCCCTGGAGAGAGAACAAGAAAACAATGCCCATCCCAGGACCCTGGAGGGTGGGGAGGTGAGCCACTGGTACTTCCCTGGCCTGTAAGCTAGCAGACTCCTGCCTCCTTCTTCCAGGGTATCCACGAGTGCCCATCACTGTCTGCTCAATGGAAGTTTCCCACCATCTCAGAGCTTTCTGTCAATCTCGTTCCGTGTTCTAGTGCTTAAAGAAGCCAGTGCACCCGTTCCTGTGCCCCAGTCTGAGGTGTTCCTTGTCTCATGCCCACCAACACACCACGGCAAGAAGAGGACGTACTGTTTGCTCCTCACTGTGGCTTCCAGATTCTATGCCATAACTCAGCCAACTTGGCAACCTCACTTGGTTTTGAGGTTGACATCACTAGGTTATACCACCTGGCCTTCAATCATGTCACAACAATCTTGAGATCATTCTCTTGTCTTTCTCAAAGAGTTCCCTGGACTAGAGCATTTCAATCCACAAAGTGATGTCCCCTGAAACGCCATGGCCCTCAATTCATCATCCCATCTCCCGAGAGCGACATCTCTGCTCTATCTCAGATCTGGAACTTTCAAATTCCTCTCTCTGATCCCATTCCCCGACACTGCAGGCTTTCCTCGTCAATCCCTGCTGCCCTGGCCTTATCTTCCTCCCTTTACACTCTCGACTCTTTATGCGATCAGTTCAACTACCCCCAAATTCCCAGCTCCCTGGCCCTCACCACTCGTGTCTTTCCAAATCCCAATCACAGGAAACTCCTGCTATTTTCTCTGTTCCTAATCCACTGCTGAACATTACAAAAAAAAAAAAGACAGGCAACTTTGCTGAATGGGTCCATTACAAATACATGTATCTCATCTTTACGGGGACTCTCACTAATACAAAACAAGCCTTTTCTTCTTCTCTGGTTAACTCTCTAACACACTCCAGGCAGCATCTGCTGCTCTCTCTCCTCCAACACTCAACCCTAGGCTCTTCTCAGCCACAGACCTCGCCTCCTTCTTCTGGAGAAAGACAAAAGTCACCCCTTCTCCCTTGCTCTGTACCTCACACCATTCTCCATTCCCTATAATATCATGGTCCATTCTCTCTCACTCTCCTCAAGGCCCTCGTGGGAGCCTGTGCCTTGATCTGCCCTCGTGCAGTCTCTCCTTGCTCCTTTCCTGATGCCTACAAACATGACGGCTCTCCTCCATCCTTGGACACCCTTCACTTGACACTGTTTCCCTTTACACGTTATCTTCTCGCGCTCCTTCCTTCCAACTCCTACAACAGAAGGCTTTACAGCTGCCTTTCTTCACCTCCCCCCAGCTTCTACCCTTTGTCATCAGACCTCATGCCTCTTCCTGGTTAGATACGACTGTTCCGTTGCCCGGTGCCAAGGCCTCTTCGCACGCCTCACGTGACCACTCTTCTCTGCAGAGCCAGCCACTGTGAACCAGCCACGGACATCTCGCCCCAGGCCCTGCCTTCTCTCTTGGGTCTCCTGCTGCCTGGAGACATGTTCATTTCCTCCCCCTGCCCCTCAGCTGCTGGCTGGGTCTGCTCCAGCCCGTGTCCACAATGTCTCCCCCATCCATCCTTTCCTTCTCTGCCCTCTCCTCGCCAGCTCACGTCACTGCAGGAGCATCTTGATGGCCTCCCCCCCAACCCGGACCCATGTTGGCCTCTCCCTCCTCCAATCTAGACCCAAGCACTCGCCCAAATGCTCCTCCCCGTCTGAGGCATGAGATGCAGAGCCCTCCCAGCCACAGCTCTCCATGGCCTGACCCCAGCCCGTCTTCTTCAGCCTTGCTTCCTATCACTGCCCGTTCAAGCTGTTCCACAAGCCTAGCATACCATCTTCTCTCTCCCCACTCTTTACACGGGCAGAGACCCACGTGTGGAAGGCACTCTGTGCTAACCTCACCCTCGCAAAGCTCTCCACTGACATGGTGCTCACTCCTCCAATGACCTGCTCCCCCCTAGGAGAGAAAACGCCCGAGGGGGAGCCAGGCTCATTTGAGTCCTGCCCCCAGAAGTGCCTTAAGCATGGGGGGCACTCAAGAGAATACCCGTGGAGCTAGGACAAGTTTAAGAGGAACTGGATGGCTGTCTCATTACCAACCTGGTGGGATCAACCTCAAAGCTGACATGCTGCCACTCAGAGGATGTGATAACAAAGCGCAGTAAAGGCTCCAGAAGCTTTTGCAGGTAGGTAGCACCATAGACCTACAGAGAAGGACAAGCAGAAGTCAGTGATTACGTCGATCTGGGGCAGCTGGGAAATGGCAAACTGCGGCCCTCTGCTCCCCGGGCAGGGCAAAGGGAGAAGAGAGAAGATACCAACCTTAAAACAGAAGGTCATGATTTTACTGGCCAAGCTGTTCCCTCTAAAAAGCGTCTGCATGGAGTCTGCCAGCTCAACTTCCTTAGAAAACATGTTCCAAAGCAGCTGGTAGAGTAAGTGTCGGGAATCAAAGAGAGTAACAAGGACTCGAGCAAGTTCATCCTGGAAAGGATTTTTTAAAAAAGGAGAATAACCCAAAGGAGAATCAGACACAGCAGAATGAAAGCTGCAGCACTGCACTCCACCACCCTGCACGCGTGCTGCGATGCTGCCCTCCCGTCTCTGTGATCACTATTGAATGCGCTAGCGACAGCAGTGAACGGGAAGGATTTACTACTAACAGGCCAAACACTAAGAAAGATGGGAGGTTCCAGGGGCCATGTCAAAAGGGAAACTCTAATTCCATGAAGTTGTGAGCTCCTCAAGGACAAGGGCTCTTTTTGCCTTTCTGTGCACCCCCAGCAAAGTGCCTGGAACACAGCAGGTGGTTAATAAATGCTTGCTGGCTTGATTGTTGAGGATGGGCAGAGAGGACAGCTGAAAACAAGAGAATTCATTCAGAAGTAGACAAGCCTATAGTTCAGAAGAGATAGGGAAGAGATTGTGTGCTGGGGCACACCTGTAATCTCTGCTACTGGGGAAGGCAGAGGCTGCCAGAGCACCTGCGTGGTAGGGCTAAAGCCAGACGGGTATGTGCTTTCTCTGGCACAAACAGGGTGATGGGGGGGGGGTGCCGAAGGGAGGCAGGAAGGGAAGGAGAGAGGAAGGAAGGCAGGAAGGAAGGCCTGCATAAAATATGACCTAAGAGAACAGAAAAGATCTATTGTGGAAGAGGAACGGAAGCATAAGAGAAATAAAACAATAGTAACTATTTCTGGGGAAATCAGAAAGAGAACATGCTAGAAGCAGGTAGATAAGAAAGGCAACATTGGCCTAGAATATAAACTGATATAGGGTAGAAAACGATTTTCTAATCCAGCAAGAGATAGCACCAATTATAAAAGATAAAAAAGGTAAAATGTTTACATAAAACTAAAAGCTTCACCAAAGAAAATTAAAACGCACGGAATAAGGGAAGTGGTTGATTAGGGAAGGCTATCAAATATTGCTGATAAGGATTGGATATGCAGGATATACAGACAAATAACAGAATTGTATCTAAGACCAAAAGCCATTGGCCAATAGAAAACTGTTCAAAAGATATAAACAATCAGTTCTCAAAAGAACACAAACTATTAACAATGAAATGAAAGAATGCCTGAAATCACCAATAAGAGAAACACGAATCAAAACAATTCTCAGGTTTTATCTCACCCTCAGCAAACTGGAAAATGTGTCAAAAGAAGTAAAAAGTCAATGTATGGAAGAACTGTGGAAAGACGGCCACACTAACGCATTGTGGAGAGAACTGTGAATTAGTTCAGTCACTTTGGAAAGCAATTTGGGATTGTGCTAAGAAAGTTAAAAGTTACCGAGTTCATGCCTGTGAACCCAGAGATTCCCTTGTTAGGCCAAGAGGTGACCGACAATAAGAAAGGCCCCACAGACACCAAAATTTTTTCTAACAGCACTGTTTTTTTGATAGTAAAGAAGTGGAGACAAAGAGCCGCTCCATGAAAGGGAAGAACAAAGCACTAAGAGTGCACAAACATCCTTGAAGGCGACCATGCTGTAAGAAACAACGTGACAGCTAGAGAAGGCGCAAAGCGAGACCTTGAAGGACGCTTGCTATAACAACACCCGTCACAGAGCCAGTGAAACTGCACACAGCCTGGCCCCAGAGAAGACCCCCACCCCCACCCCCACTGCCCCCTGCTTCTGTGGGGGGGGGGGGGCACTGCATGGGGCAGATTTTTTCATGTGTTCATATGTTTTATTACTGATTTTTTTTTTCTCTTACTCCTCCTTTCAAAAAAATCCCTTATAAGGGATGGTTCTCTGGGATGAGGAGGGAGATAGGGGGAGAAATCTTAGGGATGCAAAAGCAAAAACCATCCATAAAAATCTATTTTAAAGTAATAAAAACCCTTGTCAATCTGGTGCGGGTAGGGATATGGGTGAAGACCACAAGCAGTGATGCCTCAGAAACTTTAAGCAGAGAAAGAGAAAACAAGTTCAGAGAAGGTTTTCCCTAATCATCCTGTGGGGGGAACATCAGAGTGAAGGCGAGAAGGGGCCCCAAGTTGTATCCTCCAATTCCTGCATTTTACCAGTGAGGAAACCAAAAGTGACTTGCCCTGGGTTACACAAATACTAAGCTGCAAAGGCAGGACTGAACCCAGGTCTTCCTACCCCACATGCAGGACTTTCTAGTGGGCCATCCTGGCTCCCTCTGTATGTCAAATGGAGAAGAGCTGACAGAGGTTTTAGGGTCCTCGTCCCTCCTCGTCTCTCTCCTCCAAGGCAGCGAAGCCACGTTCCCTCGGCGTTCCCTCACAGAACGGAGGGAGGGGTAATATTTAAGAAAAAGAGCAGCCTCTCTAGACACAAGGAAGGCCAAGGGCCCAACAACACTGCAAACACAGAGGGACTGAACCTCAGGGTGTCCGGAAAACAAGACATCACATACTTGGAAAAAATCATGGCCATGACCACTACACAGTTAAAAAAACCAATCCAGAAAAGATGGGCACCTAGCTACCCACACGCATGTCCCGCCACATCCACAAAAGCCGAGTGGAACCGGCCAAGGTGCAGAGGCCTCCTGAAAGGCAGGAAAAGAAAACAAAACAGACCCTCTTCTCTAAAAAGCGGCCAGAAATCGGTAGGGAATGCCACGTGGCTTTGCTAACCACAAAAAGGCCTTCGCTTGGTTGTACTGAAGGAGGAAGGAGGAACACGGAAAAGGGAGAAAGGATAAAGGGAAGGAGAGAGCCTGGAAATAAAGTGGGCGGTCAGTGATTAGGGATCAGCCAGCAACTTAAGAGCAGGAAGGCATTACTGTGCAGTAAGAAAGGAGGAGGAGGACGAGGACTTGTGAGAAACCTGGGGGGAAGATGTGTCTGGGCCGCTGCAGGGGGAAGCCAGCCAGCCCTGCGGCCTGGACGGCTGGTGGAGCACTAAGCTCCTCCTGGCCCTGTCCCTTCCAGAGAGCCCCAGGGCCACCATCCCCCCAGCAGATGGGAAGCTCCCTGAAGGCAGGAACCGTTCTTATTTTTCTTATTAGTATCTGTGGCACTTAGCACAGTGGCTGGCACAGAGTAGGGGCTTCATAAATGTTTACTGAACAATATGCCCAATGACTAATATAAACTATAATAAAACTATATAAACTATAATAAAACTAATATAAACTATAATAAAAAACTCTGGAGCAAAACTGAACTCGGAGACACTGTCGCGATAAATCATGGCTCTAGAGAAGAGGTGAGGCAGAGAGGTGAGAGACGAAGGGTGTGGGATACCGCATATATGGTGAGATTCCATAGTCACTATGTCTGCTGGTTCTGCTTCACTGGCTTTCTTTGTTAGAAAGTGCTCAGTTGGTAGCAGCAGTAGAGGTGGCGTTTATGCTCAGATGTGAAAAGATAAAGATATAAAAACAAAAGAAATTTATTAAGAAATCTTAAGCACTTGATAGAGGAAAACACTATCAGCTACCACTGAACAAGGTACGATGCTCCCACGACATCCAGAATTACGTAAGATTCCTGGAAGACAAAGGACTAAGCGTGTAACTGAAACTTGGAAGTAACTTGGAAGTAACTTGGAAAAGGCTGTGCTGCCAGGAGGGGCACAACAGGACTAGAGAAAGGCCTGGGCAGTGGGCTCCAGCGCTCCACTGGCAACCAGACACACCATCAAGAGACTGAAAAGAAGCCCCCCAGCAGGCAGGTAAAGGAGACAAGACCAGGGCTGGAAGGGAGCACAAGGCAGTGACAGGCACCACGTAGAAGATGTCTCAGGCCACAGTCAGCACGGCAGAGTGAGTCTGGGTTCACTCAGAACGACTGGCTTGATTATGTTGGGTCAGAAGTGCCTCACGAAGATGAGGAGTAGTGAGGGACAGTGAGAGGGGAGGGCCCCAGAGCCCAGTCAGTCTGACTTTGCTGTTTTCTGGGAGAGACTGAACTAAAACAGCTAGATTCTGAGGAAGGGGAGAAGTAGGAAAAGAACAAGGATTATTGAGCAAGGCCTGAAGTCGTGCAGTATTTTGCTCTATACCCTATATTATCAAATATATTCTGACTAGCTGATCAAGCCCTAAAATGCTAATTCTATGCTCTAATATGGAATCGAGTGCAATTTGTCAAACAATTTAGCTGTGAACAGAAAGCACATTATAGGGTTTAGATTTTGAAATCCTTCTTCCACTATCATCTCCCTCCCCCCTCCCAAAAAACCCTATACATCTGAATAGAAAGGAACCTTCAGGCAGGAGTCCAATAGGATTGAGCAATACTTTTATGGCTCAACCAAATGTGTGTATTTTATCACATCATACCTTAGAAGCACCTCATAAACTTTCCCCAAACAGTTAAAAGAAATTCTTCATTAAAGTAAAGGCATCAGCCTAGTTATCATGAACAACAAAATTCAACACAACACTGAAAAACAATTTCCTACAGTAAAGAAAATCTAGGTTTCCTATGACTTATTAGAGTCAGCATTTTTTAAATTATGAAAATTGCCAGGAGTTGTGTTAACTTCAGATATATAATGAAAGAAATCCTCTTAAGTAATTACATTAGTTTTCAAAATAACCAATCATGAATTAATCCCAGGGCTCAAAAGGACTGCCATCCTATATGCCTTTCCCCATCTTCTGAACTAAGTAAAATTGAATCATCTGTTCTAAGCAAGAAGCCTTCTCTCTTTCCTACAGATTGCCAAGAAGAAAGGCATGAGATTGGAGCTTTGAACAGCCCAAGTGTAAAAACATGACACTTTCATCTTAGAAACAATTTAGTGACTGCACTAAAATTAGGTCAGCTCAGGGACAGGGCTGCCAGGTGCAACTCGAAATCCTGTTCCACAGCTGCCTCCTGCCAGCACGGAGGTGGTCAGTCCTACCTGTGGAACAGATTTCTAATGGACCTGTCAATGAACAGGGCTGTCTGCCTCAGGACATTGAAGGAGGGGTATAACATAACAGGTTGATGCATTTTCTGGCCACAGTGATTCAAAAACCTTCTACTAAGGAGAGGAAATCTGTGGTAGGAGAGAGAATATCTAGCCCAATGCAATCACAGGTCACTGAAGGTCTTCTGAACATGATCTCAAAAAAGCTTTCTTTCAAATTAAAGAGGAAGCAACAAATCCCCAATTGTATATGCTCTGGTTAAAAAAAATAAAGAGAAATCTTTATGACCCTAAATATAAATCAGCTGATTAGATAAAAAAGGGGGATGAAGTGTAATAATGGAAACAGTCCTGTGCCAGGAGACAAAGACTCGGTTTTTCATCTCGGCTCTGCCATCGTCTGCCTATAAGAACTTGGACTTCTCCCGGCGAGAGCCAGGCTAGACGATCTCAGGAGGCCCTTCCAGTTTGGAAATTCTTTAAGCCTACCAATGAACTTACCCACTGAGAACAAGGCACCACATTGGCCAGAGCCATGGCTATGGGGAGCTCTCCTTGATCACCCATCATTGTGACCAACTCAACCAGTCTCTCAAATCGATCGGCTAACACGGTTTCTGCAAGCGTGTCAAATTCTGTGCCTTGCTGAAGAATTTTTGTGAGGACTTCCATGAACGTGGCTCTTGTCTGAAGATCTTTGTGATAACCCAATCCTAGCACAGTAAAAGCAGCACAAACTTAACTAAAGCACGCTCAGTAACGTCACTTCTCCTCCTCGCGCACACCAATCTTTGCTTCTAGCGGCCTTACCTATGGAGTGCATGAGGCCGCTGTCAACGTTAGCATTGAGCAAGTTGGACATCGCCAGCACGGTGCAGTGCCTCAGCGACGCCAGCCTTCGAGACATGCCTCGCTTCCTGCCCCCGATCTGGGCACTCTCCTCTTCAACCTCACTGCAGTCATTGAGAAGGTTCATAAACAGTGTGAAATACCTGAAAGGGAGAAGGCCAATCCTTAGACAAGAAACTCCAGACAGTGAGGCTGCAACAGATGGAGAGAATCAGCTGCCTATCTCCCAAAGGAAGGCGTTAGTGGCTCAAGGTCAGAAGGAGAAGCATCCCCGCCTTCCACCACCTCTTCTACTGGCCAATGCTTTCCCCTCCTCTCTGCACTGTAAATACAGCCTTTAAGTCCCTGTTAGCTCTCCTAAGAGAATGTGATCTCCTTGAGAGCAAGGCCAGGTGTTCGCTTCTCCTCTGCATCCCTAAGACTTAGCATGATGCTAAAATACTTAGCATATATGAAGCCCTCAATGTTTGCTGATTGACTTGTTACTCATCTAAAATTGTGTTATAGTGAAGAGAATTGTTTTCGTTGCTTTTTTTTTTAATATGAGGCAATTGGGGTGAAATGACTTGCTCAGAGTCACACAGCTAGTGAGTGTTAGGTGTCTGAGGTCACATCTGAACTCAGGTCCTCCTGACTCCAGGGCCAGAGCTCTATCCACTATGCTCCTCTGAATAGAATTTTGTTCTGAGATAACATAACAAACTACCTGAGCACCAAATGAATGGATTTTTATTAAAAGACTAAATTCTGTTCTAATACTAAAACATTTTGGAAGTAAAATGGTTTGTGTGTGGAGCCATTCACCATTTAATAAGGTGATATTCACTTTAGTGCATCCCATCAAGCATTTTTCTAAAGGTCAAAAGTTGGCATACTGGTTAGAATCCTTTATTTTTTCAGCAGCTCCGTGTCGACAGATATCATGACTGTCACAAACTCATGAACATAACAGTACCTTGCCAGCAAAACACTCGACTACTCATGAGATCGCCCTAGCAATTCATGTAGGAAAAACCAAATGGATAAAAATATTTCTACTCCCCAGCCTAAGGCATGCAGTTGGGAGAGGTATGATTTTGGTACATGAATATGAGAAAGACAATCAAGACAGAGAGTAAGCTGCAACCAGAATGGAACAGGAAAACGAGAAGCTAGACTGTGGTTGGGAAATTGTACAATGTTTTCAAAACTCCCCCACTGTAACACATAAAAGCACATTTTAGACAAAAATGTTCTCCCAATGACCTTGTGAAATTCTGAATCTCAACACTACAATTTTCTGCAAAAATCAAGCTGTAGGAGATTCAGGGGGCATCTGAGAGACCCATAATGGGCATATAACAGGCTCTAAATTATTTCCAATAATTACTTGTATTAGAGGTAGGAAAACTGAGTGGAAAGTGTACAGTACTTGAATGGCTATAAAGATGAGAGTTCAAATCCTGCTCAGGTCAATAAAATACTCTCCTCAGCTGCGGACACATGGGCGAATCAAATGACTTCTCTGACTCTCAGGCAAGTTTCAGAGACTTCTCTACTAGCTATACCCAGGATGCAAGCTACTCCAGAGCTTCCCCCAAGGAAATCAGAGATTCCTGACACATGACTGTGCCCAAGAAGCCACATAAAGGCTATAACTGGAAACAGAGAAAGGATGTGGGCAAGGGGTACCATAAGAAGGTGGGATAACAAGCAGAAGGACCAGGACCCGCAAAAGAGAAAAGAACTGAAGGAAGGCCTCTATCCCTCCATCTTCCATCTTCCATCCTCCACCCTCTGTGGAGGCCGTGGGAAGAACACAGACCAAGGCGGCACAGGACAATGTGACTGACCCTACGGACAATCAAGGATTCCCCGATGAGAATGGAGGTATGAAGAAGTAGGGAGCTGCTTCCTAACTTGAAGACAAAGTTTTACTCACATTCACAGAATGTTTCAAGAGACAGCAACTCGTTATTAACTACAAAAAAGCCAAACCCTATTTCATGCAATGTCTTTGATTTCAGCAGGCTGCCATCTTGTCAGCCTCACTTTGTTGCTCTGGGTCTAGGGGAGAGAATGGTTCTTTTTGGCTCTAAGCTTTAGGTTTAAAAAGACTAAAATTTACTTAAGAAACAGTTGTGATTTGGCTTCCATCAATTCCACCCCATCTCCTTCTTCAGGCTGTAAAGGGAGCCCAGCGAGCAAAGACACCACTGCTTCCATGCTTGCCTGGTCCAAATCTCTGGGGAGAAAGCGGCAGAGAAAGGGAAAGCCTTTAGGTAGACATTTGTTCAAAAGTCAAATGCCTTCAAGACACAAGCAACTCTAAACATCGATTCCACTAAACAAACTACTAATTTTTTTTTTAAGGCATTAGGGTTAAGTGACTTGCCCAGGGTCACACAGCTAGTAAGTGTCATGTGTTTGGTCAAAGGCCAGATTTGAATTCAGGTCCTTCTGACTTCAGGCCGGTGCGCTATCCACTGCGCCACCTAGCTGCCCCACAAATTACTAACTTAACATCTTAATATGCATCAGTATGGATTAACCATGGATTTAGTTTGTAGTACCCAAAGTAGGGGAAGAAAAAAAGATGCATTTTAAATGGAAAGAACATTTGTAGAAACTAAATTACTTTGAGTGACCACTTCCTTAAATCAAATTGCATGTAAACAAGTGTATAGCACCAGGGCCCAACAAAGTTTAGAAATCTATGGGATGCACGTGGAAAAACAAACAAAATACCACCACTAAGCCCTTTGAATTTTTGAAAGAAATTCTTTCGGATTATCATATGTGCAAGACACCTGGTTTCCATAGTCATTTTTCAGTTGAGAGGCATAAGGGCTTTAAATTAAACAAAACACAGTAAACAATTTCTTCTACAGGAAACGACCCCCCCTGCCGAGGATGATGACTTCTCTGTCCACCACTTTATTACACAAACACTAAATTTAAAATCACATTCTCTTGTGAGATGCTCAATCACAAAATAAATGGAACCTAAGATTTTAAAATTCTAACAGAGACCAAAATTTGATTTCCTAAGCTGGGAGTCACATATACAGCTGTTCTAATATGTAAATTAAGATCCTCCTGAATCACTGAAGCATTAAACTGACCTTGGGAAACAAAAGAAAGGAGATACTGACCTTTAAAATGCCCAAACATAAGAAGTGTAACATTCAAAACAAACCTTACAATGGCTGCAGAGTTTACGAAACTAACGTCGTATGATACATTAAGGAAAAGTCTTCATACATCTTTACCTAGTTAGACATTTCACATCTTCATCCGCTGTTTGGTTAGATGTTCCCATGACCCAATCTGTCAGATATTCTACCATTTTATTCCTATAAAAGAAAAAATGAGAGCAACCAGCCAGATTTTTTAAAAAGAAAATCTATGTAGCATTTTTTTTACTTTTTATGGCAGAGATTATTTAGCAAAAAAGTTCCTCCAGATGGGATTTCATGACAACGTCAGAAAAAAATTCTGCCACCCCTGTCAGAAAGGAGATAAAGAAAGTCTGAATTGATGAGCCTCAATATTAAGGAGAGAAAGAGTAAGACAAAGGAAGAGAGGAAGGGAGGGAGAGAGAAAAAGAAAGATATATATGCATATAGGTTATGACCATCTAATTAATGGTTCTGAAGTGAGGACAGTTTAAAGCGTTCTGAATTCTGGGTCATTTGAAAGAAGAAGGGCAGAAGCAGATGTGTAAGAGAACCAGGTACTCTACTTTTCAGGATGGTCTTTAAGATGGTACTGATCTCTCTCCATGTGTTTTCACTTAGCACGATTCCATTGGGAGACAGGCATATTGCTAGTTTGACTCACCTAAATTTCATCTCCTGGCAAAATGAAAGGTCATCTCTCCTCTCCATCATTACTTGAACCAGCTGGCAGAGCTTCGTTTTGATCTGAATTGCCTGTACCAAATTCCCAAACACTCTAACATATCTGCATAGACACAGGAACATTAAAAATAGTCAATGTTAACACATACACACTCTTGGCAAGAGTCTACTCTACAGTCTTCAATGCAAAGATAATTCTACTAAAGAGGAGCTCAGGAAATCATGGTCTATGGTTATTTTTACCAGGGCACAAACGTGACTCCTCACCGCCATATGGAACACTCCCTGCGTTCGAGAACACCATCTGGGAGCACGCTTTTACAAGGACGGCTTTTGGGGTGACCCACGATCAATCAGGCTACTCACCTAACCAGATTCAACATCATCGTTTCAATGCTAGCTTGTCCCATGTGCTCAGAACTGCCTTCAGCGTGATTATCCAGCAAGTTCTTCATTATGGCTATGGTCTGCTCCACAAATTGGGTGTTGGTGTCCGTCAATAAAACCTGTGCAAACAACGACGCACATCCACCGTCAGCAACCCACAAGCGGTTGCGTCCTCCACTGTGAGATCACTGAGGGAAAGCTATCTATGGAAAACCATATACACGGACGAAAAGTTTCACAAGAAAGAGCAGGCTTTGTCCTGCTGCACTCCTTTCTCTAGGAGATACGTCGCTTTCTACATAAGGTAATCTGTGCCAGTTCACAATGCTCATATGAATTCCCGTTAATAAAACCCATGCATGAAAGGAAGGAAACAAGCATTTATCAATTGCCTACAGGCACTGCACTAAGTGCTTTAAAAATATAGTCTGACTAGATCCTCACACCAGCTTTGTGAGGTCGGTGCCTTTATTTTTCCCCATTTTACAATGGAGGAAACTAAGAAAGACAAGGGTTAAGTGACTTGCCCAGGGTCACACAGGTAGGAAGTGCCTGAGGCTGGATCTGATTCTAGGTCCAGTGCTCTATCCACTGTACTATCTAGCTAGCTGAAGGCCAAAATGGACTAATGTCAATCAAGTTATTCTTCAAAGGATGGGAAAAAGAGAAGAAGCAGGAAATTTACCTGTCCTTGAGGATCAAAAAACTTGCTGATGGTACTCTTTAATTTGTTAAACAGCATTGGATAAAGGGCAGGACTCAATTCGAGACCCAACAGATCCTTGACATTGCTCCGTATCTGCAGTCCCACTTTTTCGTGGTTACACACCATCAGAGAGAGCAGCCGATCCATGAACTTGCTGACAGGCGTCTCGGCGTTTCCATCAGTGGACATCATGGAAATGAGAGAGCCCTTGCGCTCACTGATCGGGCCCATCGGGGGGCTGTAGGTGGCAAAGCCCGCGTTGCTTCGGTGCTGGAGGCACACCCCGCCGAGGGCACAGAGAAACCCGGTCATGTTGATCCACTCCTGGAGCGAGTCTGCGTCACAGAGGTCAATGGAGCCCCCTCCACTCACATGAGACATTCTCCTCTTCACGATGGTCTTATGAAGGCTTTCAGCGACCTAACGCACAAGGTGCACAAAGAATGACTTCTTCCTCAATATTCACCTGCCTGACAAGCTCCCGTTTAACCTATACTGACTGTACCATACTTCATCATCTTTACAAAACACTTTCTGGCTGAAGACGATCCAGGCAGAATCAGATGCATGGTCAGGCCACATTTTGTTGCCACACAAGCACGACTTTTTCTGAGAGTCCCAATGAGGCACAAAATAGAAACAACGATCAGAGAAGAGTCATCTTTTCTGAGGCTCCCAGTAATATTAAAAAATACACAAGGACCAGCAGCAGTCAGAGAATGTACCAAGGACATGGACTCCTGTCTACACTCTTGAGGAAATATCTCCGGCAGAATAAACGACATTCTGACCAACTTTTAATAGGGCTTTTTCATTTATAACAGTCATCCATTATATATATCCAAGAGAAAAACCACCGGTCACTAAGAAAACAAGTCAAGCACAACATGAAATGCATTGGCATGTGACAGCGTGGACCACTTCTCTACCACGGAGAGAGAGAGAAGCACTTTATCATCTCCCTACAGGACTAAGATGGGGTAGAAAATAAAAACGCCAAACTAAGCTACCAGAGCGTCTACCAAGTATCCAAACGGACAGTGTGGAGTTTAATTAACTTTTATATGTCCCTGCTGACCCTTCTGGGGAAGTGCTAATGAACAGAGCAGCCACGAACCAGGAAATCAGCAGGAGGAGGTGGTGACACCTTCACTGTGTCATGGACCCTCTGGGGAAGCCTGGTAAAGAAGCTTATGCAAGTCTGTCTAGCTTGAGAAGGCTGTTAAAGGCACAAAAGGAAATCAGACAACTACAAAACATTGTAAGAAACAAGTCTGTGGACTGTAGGTTAAGAACCCTTGAAACACAGGACTGAGCAACAGACCAGTGAATTCCTAAGCCAGGTGTCGCCGGTAACAAGCCAGTCACGAATACCAGATGGTAACACACTAATGACCTGGTTGGGACGGGCAACACGAACCGCTTCCTCATCTCACCTGGCCATCTTCAATTTTGGCTTTCGGATAATTGAGGATTAATTTTGTAGCTTGCTCCCATTTCGCGTAAGTATCTTCCCAAGCCTAAAACAAAGGACAAAAACCTCGTTAAGCCACGTCACAAGTGACAAACCTCGCAACTACACTAACTCCATCTAAGCCTTGCACCGAATCCGCACTTCTGAAAGGCAGAGTCATGATGCTTCCTTGGCTTTCAGGAACATTCCTTATCTCCCAGAAGAGGCACACTTTTAACAAGGGTTTGAGAAGAGCAAAATCTTTCATCAAACCATATGCTGCAATTTTTGGTTCAGAAAAAATGTCCATTCTGACTGCACAGAGCACTGTCCAGGGTGCCAAGAGGAATATGAGATGAGCAAATTCCATCTCTCACCCTTAGGGACCTTCCAGTCAAGCAGGGGGAGATAAGACCTGCACTCAGACAATTGACAGAAAACAGGCTAGAAGAAACGCCTCAGAGAGGTGCCGAGTGATGGGAGGGGGCAAGCACGGAACAATCCAGCCAGGGAAAGTAAGGCAAGGGATCATGAGGGAGGGAAGGGGACAGAATGAACAGAGGTCCAAGGGCCCCAAGCTCATGGCACAGGAGGCAGTCCCGTCTGGCTAGAGGTCACAACTGCCAGCTTGAATAAGTAAGTACCGATAACACACAACAGATCCGTTTTAAGGCCACCGGTGAGTGTGCAGGTAGACTACACCGCCTCCACCTATTTGGGTTGTTTTGGTTTTCGGGTGGGAGAGGCAAGGCAGCAAGCTGATGAAAAGATACCCGTAACCCACGTCAAGGTACAGACTCTTCCTACAGTAAATGCCTACCTCGGTGTTGCCAGCGGTTGGATGTTCAATGCGCCGCAGCAACGCCATCACTCTCTTCTGAAGAGCTGCCCTTCCTAAGCAAGGAAGACAGCAAATCAGTTCTCACCACAACCCCCACTGGGTGGGGGCCAGCCAGGAAGCACAAGGCCCACCCCCCAACAGCAGTTTAGCAGAGATGCTCAAAGGTAAGTGAAGCTCTACAGATCATGCTGAATACAGCAGAGCTGAGACAGTCCCTTCACTAACTTGGAGGGCATTCACCTTCCACCTAGCTGGTATCACAGACCCCAGAGTCATTCCCTACCCATAGTCAGGGATACCATGCCAGCATGCTTAGGAGACAGAAAGGCCTGGAGAACCACACTGAATGACTGTGACTGTCAACACAAATTCTGCAACAAATGCATAGGAAATGTGAGCAGAGCCTCCTCTACAGTTAATTGGCCCTACAAATTCATTTTGTGTAAAACAGTAGCTTTTACAGTAGAGCTTGAGAGCTGTAAGGCATCAGAATTTAGGGGCTACATATTTTTCCCCTTGGGAACAAGGAGAAGGGACGACAACAACAATTCCATTTGGGTGGAAAGGAAACCCAGCATTCTGGAGCCACATTTACCTGTTGACATCATGTTGCTGACAGATGCAAACTCCATGAAGGTATTATAGTTAGGCAAGAAATGGTGCACCGAAATCTCATCTATGCCACACCTGATATCGGCTTCCTCACAGAGGTGTCGAAAGCAGGACATGGCCACAAGCACAGCTTCGATGTCGGGGCTCCACAGAAACATGTACAGAGCAACCTCGAGCTTAGTCTGGGCCTGGCGGCAGATTGGTGTCCCGCTGGACCCTATTGCACCATCCTTGGGGGAGACAGATTTTTAAATTTGGTCATTTTCCTACGAAGGTCAAAAAATGCAAAACATGTGTACCTGGGCTACCCTCTGTACTCAAGCCTAAGTAAGATCTTTCCCCTATACCTACAAGACTAATTGTGACCCCACTGAAATGACCTGGGGGAGAGAAAGCATACAAGCCCAACTACCAAGCAAGGGACTCCATCTGATTTCAAATAAAAATCCGTCACGGAGATTTACTGGCTAAAATCAGAGCCTTCACTGGGCAGAGGAGGGCGAGGAGGAAGGAAGGGGTTTCAGGGTAAGTGGAAAAAAACCAGAAACAGTAACCACACAAGACCAACATTCCCATAAACTAACACTCCCTCTCTCTCTCTCTCTCTCTCCCCCTCCCAATACATACACAGATGAATTCTAGGTTACACATATGTAACACAATGCATAGAAACTCAATAAAAGCATTATTGGCCAAAAAACCACAAAGAAACAAAACAACCAAAATTCTACAATATACAGAGAATAGTAAATATAATGAAGCTTAACTTTTCTCCCTATAATTTAATTTTTAAAATTAGCCATGTAAAATCTTTAATGTAGAAAAAATTAAAAATTTTCCCAAACTTTATTTTTGCTTAAACTGTGACTAAAAAAACAAAACAAAAAATAAATTCTGAACAGCTGATACTGTTACTATAATAATCCAGCTCAAGTATGTTTTGTGTATGACAAATCAAGCTAGATACAATAGGGAATATAAAAATGATTAAGACAGCCCCTTCTCTCAAGAGGATTATAATCTAATAGAGGATAAAGCATGTGCACAAGTAACCATGACATAGTGAAACATGTGATTAGTCTCCCTTGGGATAGAAGGTTGTGGATCAGGAAAGATTTCATGGAGGAAGTACCATTTGAGCTGATCTGGGAAGGGTAAGTAAACTTGTAAGAGAGAGAGAGAGAGAGAGAGCTGGGAGCAGGAAAGGCAATGGGAACTCATTCCTGGGACACCATTGGGGGATGGTGAGGAGTCTCATCTCCTCACAGGAACAAAAGAGAAGGGGAAGAGTGGAAGATAAGACTGGAATGCTGAAGCCAGATCAGGAGACACAAAGTCTGGCACAAACTAAGTACTTCACAAGCTGCTTACAGACTGACAGGAAGAACGTGAATGCTAAACTAAGGCATTTGTCCTTTTATTCTGGAGACAATGGCAAGCCACTAGAAAAGGTGAGTGAAGAGATCAGAGCCCTGCTCTAGGAAGAAGATTCTGCCATTAGGATGTGAAAAAGTCAGAAGAAAAAAGTCAGGAAGCTCCTGAAATGTCCTAATAGAGGGTCAGGAGCCTCTAAACTGGGGCTGAGGATGGAAATGGAAATAAGGGGATGGAAGGCAGAGACATTACAGAAAAAGAAGTGAACAGATTTTGTGAGCGAATAAGAAGAAAAAGGATGAGGGTCTGGGGCCTCTATGGCAAGTCACGCAGCACTGAGAGAAAGGTCAGGGCTGGGAATGGACGAGTGAGTGGGAGAGAGGAGAGAGAAGGAATGGGAGGAGGATGTTTTGAGCAGATATGGGGTCATGGGGGCTGAAATAATAGTAAGGTTGAAGCTATGGTGGCAGGCAGGAGGGAGTCCAGAGTAAAAGAAAGAGAACCAGCGGCAAAGTTTTAAAATGTCCACGTCAAAGACGGTAAGAGGATAAGTAAATTAGAGGGACAAAGAAGAAATTTCTTTTTAGGTCTATGCACAGGGGAAGAGTTCATGACAAAACAAGCAACAGAGAGGATCACAGAAAATAAAATGGGCAACTTTGATCACGTGCAATTCTAAAGTTTTGCATGAAATGCAGTTTAAATTAGAAGGCAAATAGATAAATGACAAAAAAAGTTTGCAAGCAAGTTTCTGTGACAAAGGTATGATATCCATTTAAAGAACCGATTTAAATTTATACAAATAGAGCCTATTCCCAAATTTTCAAATGGTCAAAGGACATGAAAAACTAATTCAGTTATGATTAGGAGAAGCGCAAAAATTAGGGGAAAAAAAATCTTTGTAGTCAGCTTCTCTGATAAAGGTCTCATTTTTAAGGAGAAAGAAATATAAGCCATCAACAATCATATTAAAAAAATTTTTTTTCAAATTATTACTAGTCAGAGATACGTATATTAAGGGCAACCCTGAGGCTCTACCTCATATCTATCAGACTGCCAAAGATGAAAAAAAAGGAAAATGACAAATGTTGGAGGGGCCATGGGAAAAGGGACCAGTCATTCTGGAATGCAATTTACTTGGACTTAATTCCAAAAAGTTACTGAACTGCACATACTCTTAGACCCAGCTCTACCACTACTAGGTCTATATGCCAAAGAGATCATGTATCAAAATGCTTACAGTTACTCTTCATCATAGTCCCAAACTGGAAGCTAAAGGGGTGTGCATCTACTGGGGAATGGCCCAAGCAAATTGTGGTATATGAACATTATGGAATACTGTTGCACCATAAGAAATTATAAAATGGGCAGCTCCAGTGGAAACCAGGAAGACTTCTATAAACTGACGTAGAACAAAATAATGACAAGGAGAATAATGGATACAATGATAACAACGGTATCAACAACTTTGAAAGACTTTAGTTGTCTAATGGATGTAAAGATAAAGCACAAATCCACAGGACTGAAGAGGAAATCCCATCAACCTCCTCATGTCAGAGAAGTAATGGACTGAAAATGCAGAAAAAGACATACATTTCTGATACAGCCAATGTGGGAATTTGTTTTACTGTTAAAAAAAGAAAGAAAGAAAGAAAAAATTGCATATTTGTTATGAGGATTATTATTATCAGGCAACTAGGTGGTACTAGGTATACTAGATCTGGACTCAGGGAGACCTGAGTTCAAATCTAGCCTTAATCACTTACTAGTTGTGTGAACTTGGGCACTTAACATCTGTCAGCGTCAGTTTCCTCATCCATAATATGAAGATAATAATAGCACCTATCTAGCAAGATTAGTGGGAAGGTAAAATGAGTCAGTATTTGTAAAGCACTTTATAAACCATAAAGCACTATATACATTATAGCTGTTATTAATACTGTTATGATTATATTGTTCAATTGGAGGAGAAAGCTATGAAGAGTATTTTACAAATGAATTAATTTTAAAAAATTAAATGCCTCTGAGTGGTCCAAGCATTCTGGATTTCAATTTGAGATTATGTTAAGAAAGAAACTAAACTGTTCGTACCCTTCACCCCGCGGTTCTACCGTGGACCTATACCCCAAAGCAGTCACACGCAGAAACCAAAATATTCAGAGTATCAATCAGCATTTATTAAGCACTGTTTGGGGGAGAAATAAAATAGGTACCTAGGGATTAGAGAATGAAAGAAAAAACCTGTGGTATATCAATATAATGGATTATGATTCAATTTTTTAAAAATGAAGAACTCAGAGATGAGAAGATTTATATCAAGAGCTTCTGAACCCAGGATCTGCAAAGATTTTTTAAAATGTTTCGATAATTATGTTCCAATACACCTGACTTCCTTTGTAATCATATGTATTTTATACATATAAAATGCATTGAAAAACATACCTCTGCTAAGGGGTCCATAGGCTACATGAGGTTGCCCAGCAGTCCCAGGACATGATGAAAGGTTAAAACTCCCTGACTGATAGAAACTGATACAGAACGTAATAAGCAGAAGTCAGAGAATGATGAATGGCAAAATGAAGGGAAAAAAAACCAAACCCATAAATGGCCTTAAGTGTAAATGAAGATCATGAAAAGAAAGTGGAATTCTAAATAACTTAAGGAAAACTCTTTCTTCCCTCTCAGCAGAGAGGTAGGGCAGAATACAGTACGGATACAGTCAGGCCTGGTCTCTGCATCAGATATTTTGCTTACTTGCATTGACTTGACACAAGGAAAGGTTCAGTTCTATAGGAGTGTGGATGGGAAATGATTGTGATAAAGACAAAAGACATCAAGAAGGTACATAAAAATTCGATGAAATTACCTAATTATACCTATTTGGGAGGAAGGGGATGGGGGGGGGGAGAGAGAGAGTACACACACACACACACACACACACACACACACACACACACACCTGAAGGTAAACACAACAGTTCGCAGACAAAATGGGGGATAAGCCACAGTGTGTAAGGGGGGAAGAGAACCCCAAGGCGAACGTGGCTGATCACATCTGATGCTATAAACAGGGACAAGAAGAATGGTAGGGGACTCCCCCCCAAACGACTGAAGCAGACTGTGGAGGAAGGAGGCAGTGAAGGCAGCAGAAGGCCCCAGTTGCTCTTCTGAAAAGGCAGGTGGTAAAAAAGAGAGGAGAGAAGGGTTAGTGGATGAAAGGGGTCACCTGGGCAGTTTTCTGTGTAGAAACACATAGAACACAAACACCTAAATATCATAGATGGAGTTCCTGGAGTATTTTTGGCAACTTGGGTCAGCTGTACCACAACTTTTACACTTGACAGGTGTCCAGGGCTCTGATTTCCACAAGAAAAGTTTCAAGAAAGCTCACACACACGGGTCACAGGAAGAAGTACTGAAAGGCTGAAGAACGGACACTAACATGACCCGTCAATGCTTACACAGCGCCTTGAACAGGATATCTCATTCGGTCCTACCAAGGGCATCATTCTATGCATTTTACAGGGGGATTAAATGACTGGCCCAAGGTCACCAAGCTAGGAAAGGCTGGACTCCCACTCTAGCAGTCCTTCCATCCAACATGGCCATGGTCATTTCAGACGAGTCACTAAAATGATTACAATAAAACTGGTGGCTTACCATCGAGGAGTTTCCTTTGACTTTCCTGAGAGGTGGTCCTTGAGCACAGGTGCGTATAAACTCTTCATGGTCTAGAGAGATATGACTGGTACCTCCACCAGAAGAGACATCATACCCTACCCCATAAAGGTAGAGAAAATGGGAAGAACTCCTATCTGACTGCTAGGGAGAAAGAAGAACATAAGTGCTACGAGAACTGAGGGCCAAATGCAAGAACTGCTCCCAGTGGGGTCTTTTAGTCGGAGGCTCTCTCCTAGAAAACCTGATCCATGCCGATGCCTGAGAAATGTGAGAAACGCTCCCGTGGAATTCCGTTAGGAAGAATATTCTGAAGGCCTAATAAGGGAAATGCAAGTAAAAACAATTCCCAAGTTTCATGTCACACCCAGTCAGGTGGCCAGAGATGACAAGGGCTGGGGAAAGAGAGGCATCCTAATGCCCGCTGATCTGGTCCATCCAGGCTGGATAACAGTGGGATCAGTCATCAGAGAGTCATTAACTTCATATACCCTTTGGCCCAGCAACCATCTGGGGGCATATTCCCCAAAGACGACAAAGACAAACAGAAAGTTCCTACTTACAGAAAAATGTTTATAGCAACACTTTGTGTGATAGGAAAAGGCTGCGGGAAAACTGAATGCCCATCAACTAGGTAATGACTGAATAAACTTGGGACACAAATGTAATGGATATTATTGCACTCAAACAGATGAGAGAGATGAAGAATGGGAGCGAGCAGAACCAGGCGCAGAGCTGACACAGACGGCAACAGTCCGGAGAGGAAACCAACACTAACAAACGACCCCCCTCCTCCGGGGCCCCGGATTCATCTTGGTTTCAGAGGATGTCAGAGAAACGACTCCTCCTCTTGGCAAAAAGGCGGTGCCTGACAGGTGCAGAGTGAAGCACGCTGTCAGACAGGCGGTGACAAAGAGGGAGGTAAACGGCTCAAAACACAGGAATAAAAGCTTCTTTCTTAAAATAAAGAATAAAATAAAGAATAAAGCGGCAGCTAGATAATGCAGTGGATAAAGCACCAACCCTGGAGTCAGGAGGACCTGAGTTCAAATGTGGCCTCAGATACATAACACTCACTAGCTATGTGACTCTGGGCAAGTCACTTAACCCCAACTGCCTCGCAAAAAAGAAAAAAAAATATGTATGTATGTATGTATAGATATATATACATAAAATAAAATAAAGAATAAAGCTGAGAAGTCGGTCTCTAGAAATAGACTTCCACAGCCCTTAGCAACTCAAGCCACCCAGAAAGAGCCACCTGAACTAACACCCATCAGGATTAGCTGTGGGCACATTCTGGCTTCTCCACGTTGGGGCGGGTTTGGCATGGCAGCTGCACCCTGGGCAGCTCTCATTTTGGCTGTGGCTGCTCTTGCCATTTCAAAGGATCCAGCCATTGGGCATATTGCTGGTTCTGCTGGCTTGGCTCCTCATCAGGACTCATGGCCTTTCCACTCTCCATACCTGCCGCTTGGAGCACAAGTAATATTCCAATACATCCACATACCATTGTTTCAGCCATTCCCCAGGAGATGGGCATCTCCTCTGCTTCCAATTTTTTGCTATTACAAAAAATGCTTCTATAAACATTTTGAATGTATACTAGAAGTTTCTTTCTCTTGTTGCCCCTTTGATCATTTCTCATTTGATTACATTCACATATCATAATTTGTTCAGCCATTCCCAAAAGATGAACATTTATTTATTTCTTGTTTTCTGTCACTACAAAAAGTGCTCTGTGTGTGTGTTTTTCCTCTAACATATATGGGGGGGAGGTCTCTCTGTCTTTGAACTATTTGAGATACATGCTTAACAGTGGCATCCCTGGGCCAAAGAACATGGACATATCAGATGATTTCCTACCATAATTCCAAACTGCTTCCCAGAAAGCACTACCAACAGTGCAGTAATGTCTTCATCTTTGCATCCTTCCAACATAGATGATTCCCACTTTTGACAGGCAGCTGGGTGTAAATTGGATTTCATATTTGGTTCGGGGTGGGGTGGGAGTGGGGGGGGGGACGAGGGGGGGGGGGAGAGAGGGAGAGGGAGACAGACAGAAAGTGAGAGTGTGTGTGTGTGTGTGTGTGTGTGTGTGATGTGTGGGGTGAAGGGGACAGAAAGGGTCAGGGGAGATAAGTTCAGGCCTGTGTCTTAGAAAAATCACTTTGGCAGCTGAGTGGAGTAGACTGGAGTGAGGTGAAATCTGAAGTTAGGTAACCTAACTGAAAGTTGTTGGAATGCTCCAGGGGTGAGATAAGCAGGGCTGCTGTGTGGGTGGAAAGAAGGGGACCTATAAAACACATGTGGTGAAGGTTGGTAACAGATTGGATAAGCAGTGTGAGTGCCAGTAAAGAGGTGAGGATTCCACTAAAGGTGTGAACATGGAGGACTAGGAGAATGGTGGTGCCCATGACAGTAACAGGAAAGCTGGGGAGAGAGGAAGGCATGGGGAAGAGAATGAGTTATTTTACACATAGCAAGCTTGAGATGCCTAATGACATTCAGTTTGAGACGTCCAAAAGGCAAGTGGCGATGTGGGGCTACAATCCAGGAGAGAGATTAGGACTGGATATAACCGAACCCATGAGAGAGGATGACAAGACAGTATAAAGGAATAGGAGAAGGTGGCCCAGGACACAGCTGTGGAGAACACCCAAGGGGAGAAAGTAGGACCTGGAAGAAGATCCAATCAAAAGAACTGAGAAGGATTTATCAGACAGGCGGCCAAACAAAAGTCCAGAAAGGAGAGTGTAACCAGGAGAAGAGGATGTTAAGCATGTCAAAGGCAGCAGAAAGGTCAAGAAGATCAGCACGGAGAAAAAAAGCCATTATATTTGGTTATTCAGAAATCAATCAGAATCAAGAAGTTAGAAGCCAGACTACAGAGGGTTTAGAAGACAAATGTGAGAGAGAGTGGAAGCACCAACTGTAAATTATGCTTTGGATTAGCTTAGACAGGAGAAAGAGGATAGAAGATGACAGCCAGCAGGGATGCTGACAATAAGTGAGAGTTTTAAAAGATGAGAGTGTTAGTAAGGAAAAGGGAAACACCAAGTAACCAGACAGAGATTAAAGACTAGTCAGAGAGTAGGGATGATAGAGGGGACAATCTGGTGGACGAGTTGGAATGGGATCAGATGGGATCGAAGGTGTGTGGGGTGGCCTTGGCCTAGAGAAGAGCCACCTCTGCATGCAAGATGGCAAAGGAAGACATCTGAGTGACATAAGAGGTCCCTTCTTAGGAAGCCTTAAAAGAGGACGGACAGCTGCCACACCGGACAGCTTAGGTAAATATACGGCTGAAGGCTAATAGAAGGAGCACATGATGCCATAAGGTAGACACCAGGCTCCAGGACACCATTACGCTATGGCATACAGTATTTTCAATGCAACTTTATCTGAAACTATAAAACCTTTTGTTCATATAATTCACATATATTTTATAATGGTAACTTGAAAAGTAGTACCAGGTCATGACACTCAATCTGGGCTGCAGTAAGGACCCAATTCCCTTGCTCCTAGGCCTTTACAAACACTGCCTGACATGAGAGTTTCTAAGGTTTGTGTGTGCCACCTCATAAGTATCCTGCTAGACATACTCAGCTCTTTCTTAGGCTTCTATAGACCATGAGTTTAAAAATAAAAAATTTTTAGATGTTTTGAGATATTCTTTAGCTCTTCGGTGACCCTAATTTGGAGTCTTGCCCTGAGATTGTAAACCAATGTTTTACAACAACACTCTGGTTTCCCCACCCTCTCCCAAAGGCTTCTTCTTTTACTAGATGACTGAAATATTTGTCTAGGACTTAAATTTGTGGGATAACTATGTAGGTGTATGACTTACAACCTAGGAAAAGAAGGTCATCAAAAATTATGCAATGATGAAATTTTTTTTCTTAACCTTCCTTAACAGAACTAGAAAATGTAAAGGTTTTTTTCCCCCATGTTTAAACCTGCATTAACTTACCTTTTTTTTTAACTTTTAATGTTATTTTTATATCAGCTTTATTTATAAATATATCCCTCTCCACCCAGAGAGTCATCCCTTGCATCAAATAAAAAAGAAAAAAAATTTTAAATCTTTTCTGCCAAATTAACCCACCAATTGAATGTGACAATATATGCAATGTTCCAGTCTCCCACCTCTCCAAAGAAGGGAGGAAAGTATATTTTCCCATCTTTTCTTTGGGCCAAACCTGGTCAACATAATCATACAGCATTCAGTCTCATTCCTTTTTATTCTTTCTATTTTCACTGTGAATCCAGGTTTTCTTGGTTCAGACTAATTCACACTACAATCAGGTCACGTCTTCCCAAGCTTCTCTGGAGGCTTTCTGAGGATCATTTCTTAGAGTACAGTCATACTCTAGTACATCCAAGAACCTCAATTTCTTTAGCCCTTTCTCAAATGATGGAAATCTATTTTGTTTCCAGTTCTTCACTACTACAAAAAGAACTGTTAAAATAATTTGGCACGTAGGGGATTTTTCATCTTTCTATTTCTGTTCGCCTTGGGTGTATATATGTATATATACATCTATATACATCCATCCATACATACATATATATATATACACACACACACATATATATACATATATATATATGGCTTGAAGAGTGTGTGTGTGTGTATTTACACACACACACACACACACACACACACACACCCTTTTCTGTACTGTTAAGTATCTGATCTGAAGTAAAAAGTTTTGAACGTTCTGGGTATTTCCTAGGCATAGTTCTAAACTACCTTCCAGAAGATACAACTTCACAGCTTTAACAATGTATTAGTGTGCTGTCTTTACTTTTCAAAATTATGAATTTAACTGTTAATAAAAATGAACATTTAACACAGAAAGACCAAAAAAAGATGACTTGTTATTACATACATCTTTCTTCACTTTAGTTAAATTTCACCCAACAGGAACAAAGCTGCCCTGTGTCTCCGAGTTCCCTGTTGAACTTCTTTTTGTAATTTTGTTTGTATTTATTTCGAGTTTCAACACCATCTGTGCCTATCCTTCCACGAGCCCTCCACCATTGATTATTCTTATGTCATCTTTACCAATGCACTAGGTAGCAAGCAAAACTTCAGAGAAACATCTCTGATTATGGATATGAAGGAATTTGTCAGATAGTGGTTAATAGTCTGAAATTCTTCCTTTGAAAAGTTTCTTCATATTCTTTGGCTTCTCATTCCTGGAAATGGCTCCAGGCCTTCCACACTGATGTTAGCTGCCTTACCTTAGCTAACAACCCTTGATCAGAGAAAACCGATTTAGCCATTTTCTCCTAATCAACAGTTCCCCTTTGATTTCATATGGCCTAAATGATCTACTTTATGCTCACATCTACCTCACTTGGTTAGGATTCTCACCCCAGACCAGGGGCTCTTAACATGGTATCTGGCAAGTTTTTTTTTTTTCTTAATGTTTTTATAACTATTTCAAAAGAATTGGTTTCCTTTGCAATCCTTGGTATTTTATGTTTTACATGTTAAAACCTGAATCTGAGAAGAGCTCCAGATGTTATCAGATTGTGCCACGACAGAAAGAAGGTTAAAAACACCTGACGGGTATCTTCAGACAGCCTGCTTTCTAATGTCCCTAGGAGTTCGTGGGGGGGGGGACATTCCCCAGGTACCTTATGTTCTCAGGTCTACCAGTCACTGGATTAAGATCACCTTATTTGATTCTTCTTCACCCAGTCTGTTCCAACCATTTAATTTGACTTTTTGATTATCACTACCTTCTAGTGAGTCCTGTAACTTCTCTTCCCCACCTTCACTGCTACTGATTTTTCAGGAATTCCCTTGAAATTTTAGGCTTTTTTTTCTTCCAAATGAAACTTACCTTATTTTTAAGAAGATATTTGTTCCTACAGATCAAAATTTCTCGCAACCATTTGAGAATTTCTGTACTGCTAAGCATCTGATGGGTAGTTAGCTTTTTACAGATATAAAAAAGCATTTGTGAGCTGAAACAAAATGAAGTTGATCAGCAGTAGCAGAGTAATCCTCTAATACAGACACAATGAATACTTAACAACAGAATCTTCTTACAACCTGATTTTTAATGACTGATTATTTTGTCAGGTTTAATAGAAAAGTTTAATAAGGTACCAATCAAATAATGATGACTGTGTCTTACAGGAGATAACTTAAAATTTTTTCACATAATACCTCACCAATGAACCTCACTTCCATTTTTCATTTTAAAGAACTATAAGTAGACTTCATTCCCAGAAACAATCTATGTATCTTTTCAATCCATCCATTCATAAGTTAAGTCATCCTATAAGGCCTGATTTGTAAGTTAGGCTTGAATACACCGGCCTACCCCTCAGATTTAGCTATAGTATCTTGCCTTCATGTCCCTTTTAAACATTATCATCTATTTCCTATGACATGGGTCATCACCTGTACAATTTGCCTTCTCAGAAACCTTAAGTTAATAAATTGAAAAGCCTTCAATATGAACTCTTCATTTGTCCAAGACTGTTGTTACATTAGGATACTTTTGAAAATAACGTAAGTTTGAAGATCTGAACCTAAAACATGCTATCTAGGTAGGCATGATGCATACATGATTCATGATACATATGTGAAAGACCTATAGACATGGGCATACGTGTTTCATGTTTATCTGTGTATGACTCTACAGAGCTAGAATTTTAAAAGGTTACAATAAAGTTAATAAAAATTAAAATGGACATACCTAATCTCCCAGAATGTTTCTATAGGTGAATCTGGATTCCATAAGTCAATGCTATCCAACTGATGAAGAACCAGCAAAGCCTAAATTTAAAGATAAGAGTATTTCACTACTATATGAAACTAGCTCTTTAAGCAGAGAACAGCAGCAATACATGAGGCTCCAAATGTCTGCCTTCAATGGTAAAGGTCATGCTATCGATGCCCTTTTGTATCCCAAGTCTTACTGAGCACAGGGCCTGGCACACACTAACGGCTTCAGAAACGCAAGTTGATTGTTGGTTGATTTAAAAACAAAAACTAGAAGCATTTTACTAAAGACCTAAATGTTTCCAAAGAATATGACCTTAGGGTGCAGCTAGGTGGTGCAGTGCATAGAGCACCGGCCCTGAAGTCAGGAGAACCTCAGTTTGAATCCAACCTCAGACCAAACACTTGACCCTTACTAGCTGTGTGACCCTGGGCAAGTCATTTAACCCCAATTACCTTAAAAAAAAAAAAAAAAAAACACAAACAAACAAAAAAAAAAGAATATGACCTTATTCCCACAAGTAACTGTGAGTGAAAGCTGGTCATACGTACACAGACAGAGGAGTAAAAGATTCCCAGGTCTGCCAAAGAAACAGATGCTCTCTTGCTTACTATAAAACCTTTTGAACAAGAGAATATTTTGGAAAGGACTAAAAAAAAAGGGGGGGGGCAGACTTTGTCCTTTATAGAATATTTGTCCTTGAGACTGCAGCTTAGCTAAGGAGCAGATTATAAGATACTTGCTATTTTAAAGTAATTTCTTTTTCCTGCCTTTCCTAAAGAGAAGTGATATGTTATGATGGGCAGAGAGCAGACCTCAGAGCCTGTAAGCCCTGGATTTGAGTCCTGCCTAATATATGCTGGCTGTGTGGCCCCCTTTACCACTCAGTACTTCAGGCAACTATAAAGGTATCTGCAGAGAAGGGCCACTGTGGCAGGGAGTTTCCTTTAATAATACAATGACAGGTCGGCTCCCTTGGGAGCCCTTGCGAAGAAAGCTGAGAAATCACCAATCCAAAGAATAAAGGAGCTGGGAAGACAGGGACAGTACAAGTCATTTCTTTTGAACCAGCCCTCATTGTGAATACTGCTGACCGGGAAACTCTCGCTAACACTTCGGCTTCCACTGGTAGTCTTAGAACACTGCCTGTGGCACTGAGAGAATCAATCAATAAACATTTAGCAAACACCTACTATGTGCTGAGCACAGTGCTAACAGCCAGAGACACAAAAAGAGGCAAAAGACAGTCCCTGCCCTCAAGAAGCTTACAATTTAGTGGGAGAGATAACATGCAAATAAATATATACAAAACAAGCTATATGCTGGATAAATAGGAAATAATTAACCTAGGGAAGGCACTAGAATTAAGGAGTTGGGGAAGGCTTCCAGTAAAAGAAGGGGTTTTCCCTGGGATTAAAGGAAGTCAGAGAGGTCAATAGTCAGAGTGGAGGGGGAGAGTATTCCAGGCATGGGAGACAGCCAGAGACAATGCCCCGAGTCGAGAGATGGAGGGTCTTGTTTGTGGTACAGCTAGGTCAGTGTCACTGGATGGAAGAATACATGTGGGGAAATGAGGTGTAAGAATACTGGAAAGGTAGGACAGGGCTGGGTTATAAAAGGCTATAAAATGTCAAACAGAGCTTTTTGTATTTGCTCTTGGAAGCAATAGGGAGCCGCTGGAGTTTATTGGGGGGACAGGGGGCAGGAACATGGTCAGACCTTTAGTTTACGAAAATCACTTGAGTGGCTGAATTAAGGATGAATTGCAGTTGGGAGAGACCTGAGGCAGACCAACCCACCAGCCACAGACAATTTTAATAGTCTAGGGGTGAGGTGATGAGGGCCTGCAACACAGAGGTGGCAGTATCAGAGGAGAGAAGGGGGCAAATTTGAGAGATGCTTGCAAAGGTGTAATCAACAGGCCTTGGCAACAGCTTGGATATGGGGAGAGTGAGCAACGAGCGAGGAGTACAGAATGACTCCTAGGGTGCACGTCTGGGGTACTGGGATGATGATACAGCCCTCTACAGAAACAGGGGAGTGGGGGGTGGGGGGTGGGGAATACTGGATTCAGTTTTGTGTGTATTGAATTTAAGATGTCTACTGGACATTCAGGAGATCAGCAGAGAAAGTGAGGCAGGAAATGTAGGTCTGAGTCATCAGCATAAAGATGGTCACTGAATCCATGGGCACTGATGAGATCAAGTGAAGCAGTACAGTGGGAGAGAAGGGGGGCCCAGGGCAGAACCCCCAAGTGACATCCAGGATCAGAGGGTATGATGTGGAGTAGGACCCAGCAAAGGAGACTGAGAATGAGTAATCAGAGAGGTAGGAGGAGAACAGGCAGAGAGAAAACCTAGAGAGGAGATCGAGGAGGAGAGAGTGTTCAGCAATGTCAATGGCTACAGAGAGGTCAAGAAGAAGGACTGGCTGACCTTGGAGAGAGCAGCTTCAGTGGATAATAAGGTCAGAAGCCAGATTATAAACGAGGGGTGAAGAACAGATTGAGAGGAGAGAAAGTAGAGGCACCTATTGCAGACATCTTTTCAAGGAACTTCATTTCACGGCAGAAGAGACATAGGATGGCAGTCAGCAGGACCGAAGGATCAAGTGAGCGGTTTTTCAGGATGGGGGACGCACGGATACATTTGTAGGCAGCAGGGGATGATCCAGCAGACAGATAGAGATCAAAAATAAGTGAAAAGGTGGGGATGATGGAAGTGATTATCTAGTGGAGGAGACGGGATGGAACAGGGCCGCCTGAACACAGAGGGGTAGCCTTGGTAAGGAGCAAGGCCACCTCCTCACGTGAGACAGGGATGGAGGAGAGAGGAGCAGAAGGACTGAGTTACAGGAGATGAGGGAGCTCCCATAGAATGGCCTCAATTTTTTCTGTAAAATATAAAACAAGGTTCTCAGCTGAAGGGTGGGGCAGGAGTTAAAGGAGGTTTGAGGAGGTCTGGAAGAGCCGCTGTGGGGAGGGGATAGTGAGATAAGGGAGGGAGTGCAGGACTGCCAAGCAGCAGTGAGGACCTAGGTGAGACTAATAGAAATCAGTAGTGCACCCAGTCAGAACCATATGATTTTCTCCACCTTTGTTCAGCAGCAACGTGTAGGAGCAAAGGCAAGAAATGGTGGGAATGATCTGGAGCTTGGCTGGTTGCAATCGGGATTAGGATTAAAGAGAGAAGGACAGTGTGGAGCTGAACTGCCTCACTGAAGGGTCAAGATGGAGAGAAGCAGAGAGAGTAGCTACAGCAGGAGAGATGGCTGGGGAGACAACTGAGGGGTCAAAGGATCAGAGGTCAGAGTGTGGAAGGAAAGGGGTAGGGAGGGTGAAAAGACAACAGATTACGGTTGGATAAAGGGATTCCAGAATTCTTGAACACATTCTGGAAATGGGTGGGAAGCAAGGAGTATTCCAAGCTCCCAGGCTCGACCAGTAAGCTGAGAAAAATGAGCGAGGGTTAAGTGACTTGACTTGGGTCACACAGCCAGTGTGGATCAGAGGCAGGACCTGAATCCAGATCTCCACAATTCTGAGGCCAGCACTTACTCCATCCACTCCTCTGTGCTACCTTTCACGGGTAATTTTATATCCAAGGCAATCCTGAAACATTCTTTTAACTAAAAATGTCAATTCTCACCCTCCACACCAAAGCTCCTACACTTCATCTCCCTCATGTAGGTGCCACCTCCAGATATGCAGAGCACCATCCATCCATCCATCCATGACCATTCTGGTCACTCATTCATTCACTAAGCGTTAGTTTCTTATTAAGTCAGTTCTGCAGCTCTTGCCCGTGATCTTCCCTAGGCCCTCCATGGAGCCAGGAGGAGCGTGTACCTAAGCACCGGGGCCAGCCTCCAGTTCTCTGATCCCATCGGCTGCTGCTCCCTCACTCTGATCCTATGATGCGCACGCATCTCTTCAGATCCTATCGCTCCCCTAACAACATCATCGAGTCCCCTTCTTTCTAGTGGGCAGTTTGGGGCTGTCATGACCCATACGCTTACTCAAGTGCTCTCGGGGTGTTTTCATTGCCTTTGAGGGCTCCCTCTCAAAAGGCTGAATTCCATGAAATATGTCAAAATCATCCAAGATTCTTTGTACAATATAGTCAAGAAATGATTATTAACAGCAGAGCTGCTAACAAATAACCAAGTTACTCAGCCTGTCCTTTTTTTGAGAAAAGCTGTGTGACCCTGGGTAAGTCACTTAACCCCATTGCCTAGCCAAAAAACAAACAAACAAAAAGCCAAAGAACAAAAACAAACTCTAGATTTTGAGGACTACCTTTCAAAACCTTTGAGAACTAGAATTTTATCTACATCAATAAGCAGGAAGAACAGACAGAGTGAATGAATGGGCAGTAGCATAGCCTTAAGTACTGACATAGATTGCTAATCTACATTATTGTTTCCCAGGCCACCCAGCTAAAAAGGAGCCCGTGTCAGCTCTGACGCAGCAGCATTCAGACTCAGATGTTTGGGAATGGTGATGGTGCTAAGTGAGAAAAACAGCTCCCAATTAGGCAGTCCATTATGATTACAGAGTGTTTCAGTAACTTGCTGTGATCCTCAAATCAACTTGAAATGAAGACGCTGAGGTTCAGAGAGAGGACTGGACTGCCCATGGGGGCTTCCAAGCCACGTCCAGTGCTCTCTAGCCCCTCCGAACCCTCTGCGCCTTTGGAAATGAAATCTGGTCTACGTGTATCCCCGGCACGTCCCACAGTGCTCTGCTCGGAGGAAGCACCTCACATGTTTGGACTGAGTTTCTTTACTCCCACGGGCATCAACTTGAGGGCAGAGCCTGTTCTGTTCTTGCCTTCATGACTGCAGCGCCTCCTTCCCAATGCAGCAGCCAGCAGGCAGGCCCTCGATCAGGGCTAGCATTTGAGATCTGGGGCCAGGAAGGGCTGTCGGCACCAATCGAGCCCAGCTCTGTCTGTTATTTGACAGGAGGACGCCAAGGCCCAAGGAGGTTCAACGACATAGCACTAGATGAGCCACAGATAAGCAGGAGCTAAGTGGAGGTCAGGAAGGCCTCGCCACCAGTGTCGGACAAACGTCCTTTTGTGCTCCCTTCATGTCAGAAACAGGAATTCAGGAGAGATGGAGCACTGCTCAGAACCAGGGACAGTCTTCGCAGGTCTAGGGACCACCACCTAGAGAAGCAACTCAGGAATGACTAGACAGCTTTAAGATATTACTTTACCTCTGCTCAGCACACGTTCCCGTGTGTCTCAAGGGTCCCTTTCTGGAAATATTAGGGTGCTTTCAGGATCTAATTTGAATTCCTCTCCCCAAATAATTCTAAGCCATCTGGAAATACTCAACCAATTTCAAGTATTACCTGCCAGAATCACTCTCCCCAGTGGCCAGTGTCCTTTTGTTGATAAATACAAGGAGTTAGCCAGGAATTTCCAAATTCATGCTACAAATTCCCAAAGAGCAATGGATGAGAAGAATATATAATCAACAGAATATTTCTCGAAACCCTAATCAATGGTTATCGCTAGGATCTGAGCCTCAGTGTAAAATAAACAGCATGAAAACGCTCACCCGTGACCCTCCCTGTCCTGAGAGTGCTTGGCTAAACCAGAAGGACAAGGAGAGAGCTGCGGTTGTGGAAGGGGCAGCCCTTAAGGGATGAGGAGGCCTCGGACAGGCCCAGCGTAGGGGGGAAGGAGAACATTCCAGACAGGGACCAGAAGGATGGCAGCAGTGCAGGGCACACAGGGCACCAGCCCCAGGTCAGACAGAGCATTCTCTGTACGTGGGGGCAGAGAGGGATGAAAACGCAGCTTATCAACAATCTGGAAGTACAGGCGGGACTTTGGCTGTGACACCGTCAGAGGGCCTAAATGTCTACAAAGCACCTTCCTCAAAAAGCCCTGCAAGCTGGTTAGCACATCCATGATTGTGGCCACTTGACCCAGGAAGGAAGTACAACTCAGAAATGGTAACTAGCTGGCCCAGGGATGAGGCTGGGGTGGGAACCTGGCCAGCTCTTCATTTCCACAACGCCACAAAGGAGATGAGATGATGAGGGATCAGAGTCAGGAGGGGTGACCAATGCAGCTGAGATGCGGGCTGGCAGAGTAGGGGCAAGAGCCAAGGAAGGGTCAGAAACTAGGAAAATCTTCAAGGACAAACTGCTGACGGCTAAGTGAATGTGAAAGAGAGAACTAACCAAGACAGACTAAAAACACCAAACTTTCAGCCCCAAGTAACCTGAGCCTCTTTTGAAGCACATGAAACTTGGGCCCACCAGGGGCTGCTCTACAGTCAAAATAAAAGAGAATGGCCAAGTGCCCAGCAGGTCCTGACCTTCTGAAGAATCCCAGTCCTCCTGCCCCATGTTTCCCTCCTCTCTCCAGTCCATCCTCTGACCAAGTCATGCCCCCAGCTCGGCAACCCTGAGTGGCTCCCTGGGGACTCCAGGGTCAAACATGAGTTCATCCTTATCTGGTCCTTTTTTCACTCCTATTTTGACTGTGTACTGTAACTATGGAAGTTACACAAAATCCCCACCTACCAGAGAGCAAGACAAGAAACTCCAGCCCATTTCACAGAAGCTCCATCAAAGGGAGAGAGGGTAAGACAGAGGGCCATTCTTGCTTGGTCAGTATTTCTCTTCTCATCAGCTCATTCAAAAGCAGTGCTGGCAGCAATATTCATTTTTTTAAGGGTATTATAAGGTGTCATTCATAATTTGGTTTTAAAACTGCTTTACCTAAAGTCACTGATAATCAATACATTTAAAATTTCCTTATTGGTCTAAGCAACAGCAGTTACACGTTTCATAAAAGCTCAAACGAGAGCATCCCTGCCCTCTATGGACCTTAAAACAATCCAGAGGCAGATGCCTTCACTGACATTTTCCAACCTATCACTACCAACTTTTACCACGAGGCAGACACCCGCCACGAAGCCCAGTGAAGTGGGCACAAACAGCCTCTCCACTCAGCAGGACACCCAGGACGAGGCTTTCCTTACCTCCATTGCTTCTTGGGCTATTTCCGGCATGCTGGACTGGGGGACAAGCTGCACCAGGCCTGTGATTAACTCTGCCGTACTCCCCTGAGTTTCAGGCCCTTGTTTTCTTGGATTCTGCAAAGAACAAGGCAAAGTTTTAATGCTCCTTCGTAACACCCGGTAGAGTTTCTCTACTTGTATCTGTCTACACTTTGTAAAACCCTAACTAGAAATATGAACCATCTTCAGAGTATTCTCATTTAGGAAAGGCAGGTGGCTCCAAGTGAATTAACTGAAATTAATGAATTAATTGAAATTAGTGAATTAATGAAAAACTGTTTTTATGATTTGATAAAGAATAATGGATTATTTCTAAACTTTAACAATTCTGGTGGAAAGATAATCTTCTAACTTAGACTTTATTAATTTGGAATTTGTAACTGCAACAGAAATAAGATTGAAATGTATTAGGGAATCATAGAAGGAAAAAATCTACAACTTGAGAAAGATATCCCAATCTCCAGAACCCTCCCCTCCTTTCCCACACCCATATTTTCATAGAAACGCTGAAGCTCTGAAATTAGGGGCAGTGCTAGGACTAGAATTAAGGTCTCCTACCTTTTTTACCCACCACAATGCTACCTTTCAACCACAAACAGAGTCTAGTAAGCAAATCAATAACGTTAAAAAGTTTCAAAGATTTAAGCTTTAGCTACTTGAGAAAAAAAGCTTTTTTCAGTAACTTCAGATGCTCATTTAGACGTAAAATAATCATAATTCTACACATTTTGTAGAAGCTAAACCTCCTTTGATATTCTAATTACAAGTCACTCTTTCAAAGTAATTTAATAAGTAGTCCTGCAAAAGATGCCAAGAAGACAACAGTGTAAGTCTATTTCCAGTTATCCTAAAAGTAACATGACTTTAAAAAGAGAAAACCTAGGTCCATACTCTCCAAAGCAGGGGCAGCAGCCTGAAACTTTAAGGAGTGTGTGATAAACCAAGGGGAGGGGTAGGAAGCTGGGTCTGATGTCGCCCTTCTCCCGCTGGTCAACCACAGTCCAACACAATTGTCCTGTGCCTTAAATGCCCCCTACATCGATCACCCAATTGCCCTTTCTCACAGGGAGAGTTTCCTGTGGGCCCCTCAGGGTAGTTATACCCAAATCTAACCTGAACCAACCACCAATAAACAGCTGTGCAGGCAGAATGATTGGAGGCATCCCCCTCACCTGCTGGCCCACCCTCTCCCATCTCTCAGCTGAAACAGGCACCCCAAATGGGTGAGGCTCTGCTCTCTGAGGCAGTGGTCGGTGAGCAAGCCATGCCACAGAAGAAATGAATGAGCTGCAATTCCCTATCTTTCCATCCGAAACACATCCTTCTTCCAAATGTCACCCTATTTGAAGAAGGCACCACCACCCTTCCAGTCCCAGGTTTACAACGCTGGTGTTCTCCTTAATTCGTTCACTTTCCCTCACCCCACAGAAATCCAACAACTGGGAAAGCTTGTCGTGTCTACCTCCACGTGCCTTGAGGATTCAGCCCCTTCTCCTAGCTCACAGAGCCACCACTGACCCAGGACAGGCCCTCATCATCTCTCACCTAGACTGACAGTCCCCAGTCAAAACTGTTCTCCCTGTCTCAAATGTCTGTCCTTTCTCCACCTCACTCTCCATGATGCCAAAGGGACTTTCCTAATGCACAGGTCTGACCATATCACTCCTACTCAATAAATTCCAGGGGCTCCTTATTGCCTCTAGGTTCAAATATTATTTTATCTTTATCTTTTTAATTTCTGGTTTTGCCCAAGTTTTAGGATGAACATCATTACTCATACATAGGTACCTGCATACAATAAACAAATAAGTAAACACAGATAGAGTAGGTGAGCCTGCTCCCTTTTTCTTTTCTGATGGTATGTATGATCAAAAGAGTTTGGAGGCACTAATCTCAACTTTTCAGTAATGCAAGCTGGCCTTCTTCCCAAATTCATTTAAACTCGGTCAGTAAGTATCTAAAATAGAAACTCTTCCCAAGTCTTTATAACACATCTTCCACTCTTTGAATGGATTTGCAGCTGTCAAACATTCAGTTTATCCACTAGATGGCGGCAAAGATAGCATCTTCAAGGTTGAGCTCCAACAGTCCCATAGGCACTTAATTTCTATTTCTTCAAATACTCCAGCAGGAGTACACACATACCTGTAAGCACCAGGGAATTTGGCTCCCTTCTGTGAAACTGAATTGCAGGCAGAGAAATGAAGCTAAGGTGCCCCGAATGCCAGCCGTCACTCAGTCCTTAGAGGACTGCTTTTGTATAACTGTCCACAAGCACACACCTCCAAGTGAAGAAAGTTTACAGGTGTGTGGCACCAAGGGGGAGACAGCAGAGAAGGGGCTGGGCTCCACCATCCACGGTGATTTTCCAAGAACGAAGCTCTCAACCACAGCCAGCTCCATGAGGCGAGCAAAGGGTCCCCTACTCGGAGAGGAGGGTTCAGCAGAATGGGCTACGTGGACCTGACAGGCTCGGGATGTCTCCAGGGCATCCAGTAGGAAATGACTGAGACCAGACAGACAGATAGACAGACAGCAGTGATGTGCATGGAGAGGAGAGCTGAACTCCTAGGAACTAGTAAGGTCACCAAGAGAGAAAAGGGACCAGGCCAGAGTCCTGGAGTCCCCATACTCAGGGGGCCGTGATACGGATGACAACACACCAAAGGAGAGATGGGGGAGGAGGGTCAGAGAGGGAGGAGGAGAGCCAGAGACAGAAGTAGCACCAAAAACAGAGGAAATCATCATCCAGGAGGAGAAGCCAACCAAGAACACTGCAGAGTGGTGAGGCGGATGACAGAAAAAGAGATGGCTCCGCCTGAGGCACAGGAGGAAATCAAGGCAGATGCCTAAAAGCTGCAGCTTTTTAAAGGAGTCTGCCTGAGAAAGGGAAAAAAGTTATAGGATGAGAGACTTGAGAGGACGGCAGGGTCTAGAGGTTTTCAAAAAAAGGAGAGGGGCAGGCAGTTAGGTGGCACTGTGGATAGAACACAGGCCTTGGAGTGACCCAAGTTCAGGTTAAGATTCAGATACTTACTAGCTGTGTGACCCTGGGTTAGTCACTTAACACCAACTGCCTTTTTTAAAAAAAAAAAAAAAGAAGCGGACTTGGGCATGTTGGACAGCAATAGGGAAAAGCCAAACAGATGAGGAGAGACTAAGGATTGAGGAGAAGGTGGGGGATGACAGAGGGCAGTCTACTGGAGGAGATAAACAGAGAAGGGGCAAAGCACCCGTGGAGACCCTCTGTGCCCCCAGGACCATCATCCCTTCTCGGCACCTTCCTCCCTTCAGCCCACTGCACCCTGAGGATTCTGGGCCTTTCCATATGCCCAACAGCCGCACCTTCTACAACATACCGGCACCCTCCTTGAGAGGAGGGATCCTCTCAACATTTCTATCTGCATGCCCAGAACGTATGGGGTAAATACTTAATACATGTCTTTTCATTCATTTTAATTCATTCAAGAGAAGCATAGGAGAGGGAGCTCAGGGCAAACGGCCTCAATTTTGTCAACTTTGTCTGAAGATGGGGGGAAGGGGGAACTGTAAGAGGCTTTAAGAAAGAAGCCAAGGGGGGCAGCTAGGTGGCCCTGTGGATACAGCACCAGCCCTGGAGTCAGGAGGATCTGAGTTCAAATGTGGCCTTAGACACATGACACTCACTAGCTGTGTGACCCTGGGCAAGTCACTTAACCCCATTTGCCTAGCCAATAAAAAAAAAAAAAAGAAGCCAAGGTATGGAACAAACTAGTTTCTGTGGGAAATGAGATAGGGTATCAATAAAAGATGAAAAAAAGGATTGCCTTGCTGCAGTGAGGGCCCAGATGGAGTAAGATAACAAGTTTATAGTGTATCCAGTCAACAGATAGTATGACTTCGTCCAACTCCATTCAGCCAGAGCAAAGGCGTTGTAGAGGATGAAGTAATCCAAGGCTGGACGTGGACGTGGGCATGGGAGGAGAAACCAGAGAACAAAGGGGAAAGGAATTTGAAAGCAGAGGACAATAACTGGTTAATTATAGGATTAAGACTGGGACAGGGATTTCAATAAGGACAGAGAATAGGTTAAAGGTTAACTGTAACATGCCATGTTCTCCATTACATGCGACTATTATGGGGCTAAGGGGGAGGACAAATTTTGATCTGAGGTTCTAACTGGCTGCGGCTGTTGAATAGGGCGCTCCTATTTTAGGTATCTAGACTGGAGCTGAAAGGGTCCTCTGAAGTCATCTGGTCCAGTTCCTTAATTTTACTGATAAGGAAATAAAGGCCCACTCACACAACTACCCTAAGTCCAGCCCTCATCAATTCTCACCTGGACCAAGGCAAAAGCTTCCCAACTGGCCATGCCTCAAGTCTCTCCCGACTCTGTTCAACCTCCACACATAAGTCAGTCCAACTACTGCATTACTTCAACTCCACGGAATCTAATAAAAACTTCTCTTTTGGGCACCTAAAGTAACGGGCTTGCCCTCAAGCTCCCTTTCCAGCTTCCTAACACACACTCTTCCTTGGCCCATGCTCTCTGGTCCTGCCAAACTGCCCTTCTCAGTCATCTTCTCCGACAACATTCCCACTCCTGCCTTCATGGCTCTGCACTGGCCCAATGCATGGTGGGGAGGCACTGCCCTTCTTAGGCTCCCCAGTCAGTCCTGTCCCGTCTGTTCCCCCAGGGCGTGAAGCCTTCCCTCCAGCTGTCTGGGTAGTGCTTCCACGGTTCTAGTAGGCGTATTGAGAAACTCTGGATGTTAGGTTATTGCAGATAAAATAAAATGCATGAAGACTCTGACTGACATAAATTAGATTTACCTTGCATACATGGTACGCGTATAGTATTCAAAAAATAAATAAAACTTGCCTATCACACATCTGCACTAACCTCAAAACACATCAGACCTTAGATTCACAAAGAACTCAACAAAAGGCTGACTTATTAAGGGAAAGGTGCATCTAAGTCCATTGACTGAGTCTCTCCTAGTGCTGTTCAGAGACACCTTCAAAGTGGCAAGGAATACCGTCCTGTGAGCAAAAAGCATGGGAGAACCACCGTGCTGGAGCCTTCTCCAGCCAGATTGCCTTCTTTCTGTTTGTTCTTCATTTCACCTATATCTCACTATGGCTGTGTTGTCTTTCCCCAACGGAATGGAAGCTCCTTGAGGGCAGGCCACTTCACCTCTGAGCTGCCAAGTTCTTAGCTAGGTATAGGAGGATGCTACTACTTGTAGAACTTACTTGGGTGCTGTGAGCAAGGTTCTCATATACTAGGGAAATAGACTAGTATGAGTAGCAGCCACTGTCTTGGATCAACAGCACCAGACACACAGCAGGATCTTGTGGATTGTGGACTGACTGAAGTGACTCAGACAAGGTCACACAGGAAGCATATGGAAGAGCAGAGGGTGTGACCACAGACAGACCCAACTCCAAATCTAGTGCCCCGCCCTGAACCTCACTTCCCTTCCTCCCACTCTTCTTTCTCTTCTTCCATATCTCCCAGACAGAAAGAAAACGGGAGGAGACTGGGCAGGAGATTTAACCCACCCTGCAAACAGAAATATCAATATTGAACCTTCCCCCAGTTTTCCCTAGCAGAGGTCAAGCTGTGCCCAATGGCTGCTCCCCCTCGCTCACCATCTACTCTTAGAACTCTCCTTATTAAACAGGCGGACACATGCTAACAATATGATAGTTACAAAATCAGGATAAACACCCTTCTAGAGCACATTACAAATTAAGGAAATAAGTATGAGTAGTCCAGGGAATTAACTGTGTCATCATCCTCCAGTTGATTTTTTTTTTTTAAGGAAAAAGTCAATTTGAAACGGTAAATAGGAAATGTCAAAATCCTTTCTAGAGAACAGTAATCTTTCAGGAACATGGCGTTTCTGTCAAGTTACATTAACGGGAAGAATTTCAAGCATCAAAAGAAGTTTACTTACACAGAGCAACAGCTTTGGATCCGCATGGATTAGTTTCACCATGGATAATAGGAGGTATTTATAACTTCTTGTTTCCAAGTCCGTAGGTTTTTCTTTAAATTTAAGGCTTGTCATTTTTTCTTTAAATGTAAGACTCTAAGAAAAATATATTATTATCCTGTCAGTATCTAGTATTTACTTAGAGGATACTAACAATCCAACTTTTTTGAAAGATTATCACACGAAACATAGAGCAACACAATTTAGGGCTATTAACATCAGAAAATGTACTTTTAATATAAACTTCGGTGTAATCTATTTGTACGATTTAAGTAAAAAAAAACCTAGAAAAACTGATTTGGCATGCGCACACAAACACACACACACACACACACACACACACACACACACACACACACACAAATATCAACCTACCAGTCTCAATCAGACTGACTAATATAAAAAGTAATTTTCCAGAACTATGAAAATGCATTGGAGCTTAACAAGTTTTGGGTAAGGGGACTCTTTAGCCAAGAAAAATGTAAAAAACATAAAAATGGAAATTGACATGCATCATACACAGAAGAAATGTTTGACTCAATGCTTTAATGCCAGGGTGGCACCATATCCACTCCTTTAAAAAATTTTTCTCAAAATTATTCTAGACACTTTACTATTTTAAGATAGTTTCTCCTTGAAGTTGTTGCTTTGTGCTTTAATGTTATTCACCACCCAAAGTGAATAATATCTATTTCATTAGAAACATGACAAGGTATCACTGGAAAAATGCAGAAAGAATTCTGAGAATTATCTCATGGAACATGTGTCATTACTATTAGTATATAAAAACACAAAAATATCTCAGATTAATACGGAACAAATTTTTTTTAGCAAAGTTGCTGAACAACATATACTCAAAAAAATGACAGACCACTGGCTGCCTGGTATGACACGAGACTTCTAAATTTCAAATGTAGTTCAGAAATCCAGTTTCAATTTATCAACCATAAATGGTCTGTTACTGGGAATAACAGACTATCTAAAAAAGTAATTATGCTTATCCAACTATAAGGTTCATTTTTTTCCTCTAAATCTGGTGTGTATAAATAGTAAGTGCAACTGGTTCATTAACGTTATCCTTCCATGCATATCTGTCTGTTTTTTCCTCTCAAAGAAATGAGAAGTGAAGGAACAGGAGGTGGGAGTGGGAAGGTTGTTATATATTCACAGCAAAAGCGCAATTTATTTCAAGTGAAAATAAAGTAATTAATGAATTTACTGTTCTTCTTCCTGTTCCAAGCCTAAATGGAAATTCATTGCTAATATATGTGTGCTTTGTCTAACAACAGTTAATACACATAGTAAGAAAAAATTAGTAACTCATAAATTAACTGTTTTGGTTTCTCCTATAAAGAAAAAATAATTTAATTTAATATTACATGCTTTAATTATGGAGGTCAATAAATTATAGAGGTCAATTACAGAAGACCAACCAGAGATCCCACCTCCAAAATGCGAGATGAGCAAAAGATATATATGTACATATGTAAAAATTCAAAGACATTATCTGCTATTTAAAGTCATTACTTAATGAAAGCTGATTATTCCAATCAAATGGATTCATAACTGGTTGGATGTAATTGGTGTTTGATCAATAGCAAGAGATATTCAGTGGAGCTTCTCAAAGATCTATACATAATACTATAGCATTTAACATTTTAATCAATGACAGAAAGGCAAAGATGATATGCTCATTAAATTTGCAAATCACAAAGCTCAGAGGAATAGGTAACAAAGTGAATGACAGAGTCAGGAAACAAAAAGATTTTGACATGTTAGAGTACTGAGCTGAATATACGATGAAATTCAATTGGAATAAATGTAAAGTCTTGCATACCAAGATAGTAGCTATCCTGAAAAAGATCTGGGGCTTTTAGTGGACCACAAGCTTAATATTAGAGTCAGCAGTGTGATCTGGTGACCATAAAAGTTATTGCATTAAAAGGGAACACATCTTCCAGGCACAGGTGACAGTCCCATTGTACTCAGCCCTAGTCGGATGTCATCTAGAACATCAGGCTCAGTTCTGGGCACACATCTTAAAGAGGAACGTAGAGGAAGGCAAAGAGGGTGAGGAAGGGCCTAGTAGACAGGATACACTGGATCAGCTGAAAGAACAGGGATGTTGAGGCTGTAGAAGACAAGGCTCAGCAGGAACCAGCCAGCTGTGCTCAAGGATCTGAAGGGCTGTCAGGTGACAAAGGTATAGGACAAATCCTGTTTGGCCCCAGGGAGCTAACCCAGGAACAACGGGTGGAAGGTAAAACCATCAAAATTGGTGATGAAATTATAAATTTCAAAAACTGAAATGCACAAATGGTATATATGAAAACAAGAGCATCAGTACATAGGAAAAAGATTTAGAGTATCTGGCTGACCACAATATCCATATGAGAAAATGAGACTGATGCTATAATGAAATACTAACATTAGCTCATCTTTGGTGGCAGTAATGGAAATAGTGTCCATTAAGGCCGCAGCAAGAGTGCTATAATCTGTACCGGATGTTACATTCTGCCCCACAGGTACGCAAAGGGCATGGACAAAACGGAAGGTGCTCTGGTTAGTCAAGGATCTAGAAACTATGTCCTATAAGGATGTCATCTGAAAATGGTCCAAGGACCTGGGCAGGGCATTTAACTCCAAGTCTTCAAATTGCTCTCTCCCAGGAGAGTGGGCAGACTCTTTCTGTGCAACTCCAGAGGACAGACTGTTGCCCAGTAGGGAGAAATGACAGGAAAGCAGGTTTTGGTTCAGTGTCATTAAGAACTTCCTAACGGTTAAGAATGGCACACACGCAGTGGATGGAGTACCAGCCCTGAAATCAGGAGGACCTGAATTCAAATCCAGCCTCAGATCAAACACATGACACTAGCTGTGTGACCCTGGGCAAGTCACTTAACCCCAACTGCCTTTAAAAAAAAAAAAGAATGGGATACACATAGAAACTCCCATTGATTGGAAATACCCAAGCAGAGGTTTCTGAAGAGCTATTAACGATTTCCTAGAAACAATTCTCACTTTCAGTGGGAGAGTAGACTAGATGATCTAGGATCACATTCAACCCTGACAGAAATATTCTGGGATGGCCTAAGCAGACCCTTAAAGACTTTGACCAGCTCTTCTCTCAGACATGAAAATTAGCTAAAATTTGGTCTTCCACCAGCAAACAACACACACACACACACACACACACACACACACAGTTTTAGGAAACGAATTCTAGGGATGACAAAAATGTTCAAAAAATAACCCAAGTAAAAGTCCAGTTTGCATCCTAGATGTCCTTAGCCCCAGGAGGTAAATTGCTGGAATCGGTAGCTCCACCTACCAGTTCATGTCTCAAGAACTTGAGTAAATTCTAAATCTAGAATACATATGGTCAGTGTTGCCCTTATTCAAAAAAGATACACAAATACATCTGATTTTTGTGGTGATTCACATTAGAATTGCTGAAAATAACTGAATAATTGAAATAACTGAATAGCTGAAAACGAATCATGATCCAATTCCTAATTTGAATACCACACCTCCCCTCAAAAAGGAGCAAAGTTACTGTAGGAAGTCAGGGCATCAGAATGCAACAAACTTCCCCCGAGAAGCTGCAAAGATCCAAGGAAAGGTCACTTCCTAGGACATCTTTACAACTTAAAAAAGAAAAGAAAAAGATAAGGCCCAAGTGGGCCTCTAGGCACTTACCTCTAAAGCTGTACCTGGAGGGAAATTTCTTTTTCAACTTTGAAAACTTTTGCCACTTAAAAAATGAACTACAAACTATTTCAGTGTTAAAGTCTACAGTAATACATTAAATCTCTAGTTTAGATTTTTTAGTACGTTTAAAAATCTATAATAACGAAAAAATCATGTTGTTACTCTCTTTGCTAGAATTTTAGCACACCTAGACACAATTCCAAACTATAATTGTTAGCACAGAATTTTTCTATCTGAACATGCAGAGTGTAGACTTCAGGAACCCCTGACAAACAGTGACAATTGAATAAATATGAGCTATGATTATGTAAAATCACCAGGTTTTTTTTTTTGGTTATGAGAATTCTGGAAAACAAAGCATGGCAAAAAGGAAGCAATTTAATGACTACAGCAAACACTACGTGAGGACATGCTCTATTTTCCACATGAAATGGTATGACTGGAGCAGTCACTCCACACAGAGCCATCAAGAAGACGGGGGACTTTTCTGTGGTAGTCACAGTGGGTCATACTTACAGCCACAGAAGCCCACTGCCACGCAAAACAGTGACTGGCTGGCATCTGATCATGTGAGCGACAGCAGCCAATCAGAACAGAAAATAAGAAGCAAAAAACAAAGCACCACCAATCAATGTCGAGAGTTGCTATGGATAAACACCCGTCCTAGACAATGACACTAAGAATGTGTGCGGCATGATCCTGTCTGTGACTGCCTGTTCGGGTTGGTCCAACAAAATACTTTAAATTCCTTTTTAAGGGGAGAGCTGAGCTGCATGTATGTTTTGGCTTTACTAGTACACAAGACACTGTCTTAAAATCCTAAGCTTTAACATAATCTAACCTCATATCCAACAGTGCCTATCAATGAATAATCCTCAGAGTACTAAGCTACCAAACAGCATTGGAAATTTACCAAATATCTTGATACATAAATATAATCCGTTAAAATTTTACTTCTTTTCCCTGCACAGAAACACTTTGGATCCAGTGGGCAAAATCCTGCATAAGGGGGGGCATTCACCGTAACCTAGAATTTGGCTTCCCTTTCTTCTACTCAAAACAGAGTCTCAAAAAAATAAAATAAAATAAAATTTAAGGCCACCCTACATTTACAGTCAAGAGGCCTAGTCAGTCATCGAGACGACACACAGTACTCTATAAAGTTAATATAAGATCCTTAACTCTAAGCCCTTCAAAGTAACAGGGATTTTTCATCAATGTGCATCACGCACAGAAGGGTCTGGGGCCCAGGTCAGTTAGTTCTGTCTTCAGGACTCGAGCTGATGAATATAAACAGCGGGAATGGAATGAAGACACTGACAATGCAGTGAAGGGCAGGGCCCAGGGCAAGAGACGCGCTCCACCTGTGGCTTTGTCTTACCGGCGCCATTCGGATTGCAGCGTGAGCCCCACAGCCCTGCACCGCCTTGTGAAGGGTTTCACCAAACATGTTTCGGAGTTCAACAGAATGACAATACACAGCATCGATCTTGGGCCACCAATCCAGGGCAGACTAGAAAAGAAGCCAGACCATAAGGAAGGAAAAGTATCAGTACGAAAATAAATATGTCGCTTAACGTAATGAGTAACTCATTCTGGCTCTGAACTCATATAGGCTAAAGTAGATGTCAAAAAGTGTCTCAGACCATGCAAAAAAACACACCGTAATTTCCAGTCTTCAAATAAGCCCTCCAACCACTAATTTCTAGATGTTCTGTATTGTGCTCAAGAGGGAGAGAGAAACAGAATAATTTGTAAACAAAAGTAGAAAAAGTGCTGAGATTTGTATGTCCAGACAACTAGCTAATCTGAAAACTAAACAGCCTTTTACAGGGCTAATTCTGAAGGTGATCCAATTACAGAGGAGAAAAACTTGATGATTTAGATATCAGAGATTAAGCTCTTGCTCTAATTAAAGCTATTTAATGAAAGCTTAAAAAAAATTGCGATAGATTAAGATAAATTACGGTGGTTCATACTTTTACAGAGTTATATGGGGAGCAGCTATGTGTAGATTCCCCAAATAAGAACAAACATATTTACAACAATGTTAGTAAATGAAATAAAATTATTAGTAAACTCATGATTTTAAACATATAAGCAAAAATGGACAAGAAACATGAAAGACTAACAATCACCATAAACAAACACATAAATTAGTCTGAACAAAATATTTTGTTAAATGGAAATTCAAAACTAAATGCATTTCTTTTCTAATTTAACATTCTATTTGGATTTTAAAATGTTTTTAAAATTCCCGTTTCACTTAAAAGTTTACATTTTAATTTTACTTCAAAACAGATGTAGAAATGTAGCATTAGTACATGAAAAACTAATTATGAAACTGCAAAATCCAGAACTTACATAAGTATGGAAGAAGTAAACAGAATAAATCCAACTCAAACAGAAATATTCCATGCCATTCCTATCAATTTATTGAAAAGTAATAACCAATTTTGAGAGTGTTGCTTTGGGAGATTGTTAGTGGTCTAGTAGTGAATGAAGGACAATATATGGGCTCCAGATTCACACTTCTTTTTCCTACAGCAAAATTAACCGCCTAGTCTTATATCTTCATACCCAATACTTTTGAATTATTTGACTCACTAGATATTATTATATGAGGAGCAAGAAGTTAGATGACCGACTTACTCTATTTTAAATTATTTTTGACTCTTTGGGTAAAAACAAGTATATACAAAGACAAAATACCGCGTTTTATCTTTTTAAAACCTCCACAATTTACTGTACTTACACAGCTTGGATCTTGTACCCTGCCTAGGTGGTAAAAAGCATCTAAGGCCAACTTTAGACTATGCAGCTGTGAGAGGGAAAAACACATTTTTGGACAACATGGCTATTAGCAGAAATTCCTGCCACTCATCAATTTCAAGTACCTGTTGACTGTAATCTGGCTCGCTCCCAACAGAACATCAAGTGGACAATTTGCAATTTGAAAACAGAACTTATTTCTTGAAATCTGGATAATCCGGGCATTACACTGAGATAAGGTTACAGAGACAAACTTCCTTCTGTTTGCTTTTCCTTTCTCTAAAGCAGACTGTATTAAAACGCTCAAAGGATAAAGGTCACAAAAGGTTATCTATCATGTAATGCCAGGTGATCAAAAACCTCTCCACTCTTCACATTGCCAAGGGATGTGGCCTCTGTATAATAAAACCCTCTAGGAATCATTAAGTTTTTAAAGGTCCTATGGCTTTAATATGCAAAAACCAAGTGTACTCAGTGGATAACTGATTGTTCATTTAAGACTTCTGGCCATGTGTCTGGTAAAATGTAGCTTAGACTAATCCTTTGAAACCCATTCGTGGCTGTTATGTACACGTCTTGAACACTGTGCCCCACTCATGAAGTAAAAGTCCTGTGGGGACAACTTTGGTCTGCAGCTATGAGAGGACCACATTTTCTCCAGCACTAGATCCCGTGTATGAGTCCCCACAGCTCTTTATCCAACCTCAAAGTCCCTCCCCCAACCCCCAGCCTCGCTCTTACCGTGAACGACAGTGGGGTACAGTAGGGTGCACCACTGGATCCAGAATCAGGCAACTGTCTCTGCTACCTACTCTGCACGCTTCGGCAAGTCACACAACCTCTCTGGGCCTCGGAAGCGGGTTGGACCAGAGGGCTCAAAATTAATTAATGATGAATCATCTACTTCATCTCCCGGCTTGTTAAGAAGACAGAGGCAATCTAACAAGGCCCTCACCTCCCCCACTCCACTCCTGTCCTCCTGCCTGCCCTGTCCTTTCTTCTTCAACTCTGTTCAGTCTCCATAAGTTCCTCTGATCTCCTCCTCTCTGGTTTTCTCCAGGTCCTCACTCCATCAATCATGACAAGGTCGCCATGATGCTAAAAAACTGAAACCATCCCTTGACCGGGGGATCCACTACAGTTAAACCTCTTGAAAAATTTGTCTATGCCAAATACTGCCAATTCCTTCCTTCCTACTCAACCTGCTTCTTCTCCCCATCATCCTGATTAAATTGCTCTAAGTGCACCAGTGACCCAATCACCCCATTACCCACTAGCTACTCTTTAGCTCTCATCTCCCTCAGCCCTCTATATGGCACATAATCCTGCTGACCTCACACCCAAACTCTGCCCTGACCCCTGACCCCTGACCAAACAATTTGAGCTGGGAAACTTAATAGCTCACCTAGTTTAACCTCCTCATTTTTCAGACGAGGAAAATGACAAGTAACAAGGCCAGGATTTGAACCCAGGCCTTCTAATAACAAATCCAACGCCCATTCCACTCCACTACAATGCTACTACTAAACAATTATCTCTTGAATTTGTTCAAAGGATGTCTAAAAGATGGTAAGATTATAAAAATAAACAATGTTTATCAATTTTTACTCAAATAGAGCCTAGCCTGGAAATTAGCTAACAGCCTTAGGGAACAATCTCTTTAGGTACCCCTAATTCTCAATATACCTTCTAGAAGAGAGGGCAGAATTTAAGTGTGCCAATAAATTTATAACACAATTCTACAAAGTGTACAAAGTGTGTAGGTGTGTGTGTGTGTGAGAGAGAGAGAGACAGAGAGACACAGAAAGAGAGAGAGACAGAGAGAGAGAGAGAGAGACAGAGAGAGCTTCACACACTACTGGTTCCCCTGCCACTTCTCTCTGTAACCTTCCTTTTTTTTTGTATCGTAACTGACTGTATTTTGTCCTCTTCCCAACCCTCCACAATAACTGTCTACCAAGGTTCCATCCTTGGCTTTCTTCTCTTTCCAGAATGTCTCCAACCCTGAGCACTCTCCTAAGCTCCAGATCTGAATCTCAAACTATCTCCGGGATGTCTTAACAGAATCCAAACTCCCAATGAATGTCCCACCAAGTTTATCCACATTCCTCCTAAACCTACTCCTTCTGCTACCACTATTTCTGCCAGCATCACTCATCCATCCTCTCATTCTGGAGTTCTTTGTAAACTCTCCCCATCCGTTCCCTTCTCATGTCCGAGCAGTTACCAAGGCCAGGTGCTTCCACGTGCCCACTCTCTCTCACGGCCATCTCCTCTATCTACTCTCACTTGCATGGCCCTAGTATAGGTCAGTACCATTTACCTGAACTATTCCACGAGCCTATCTGATCCTCCCATCTGTCCGCCTTCCACACCCTTGCATGGCACCGCCACACATAAGTGGATGAAAACCCTTGAATGGCTGGCTCCCTTCTGAATAGAGTCAAGCCCGTGGTCCGGAGGGCCAGACCTTCCTATTTTCCCAGCTTTCCACCCTAACACTCCCCTCCACATATGAATACTATGCTCCACCCAAAGTGGACAGCCTGCCACCTTGTAACCACACCCTTTGCGTCTATTCTGTCAAGGCCCTAGACCAGAGGAATTCCCTATTTGGCTAATACAAGAACTAGTGGATATGATCACTAAGCCCCCATAAGGAATCTTTTACAAAAGGTCATCGACTGGGAAGGGAGCACAGAGGCCATCCAGTCCAACCCCTTGGACCGATGCTTTGGCAGGTTAGACGTGTTACCCAATGCTGCAGAGGCAAGAAGCATCAGAGGCCAGATCTGAATCCAGATCTTTGAACTCCAGAGCCAGGACTTCTGGAAAGATCCTGGAGAATGGGAAACGTACTGCAGGACTGAAGAAGGGCAAGAAGTATTGCCCTACATTTCAAAAAAGGGAAGAGAAAGGCTTTGTAATGGACATACCAGTGACTAAGCTTGAATCCAACTCCTGTCAAAATTCTAGAACAGATTATTAAAGAAATAGTTAACGAATGTGTAGAAAAGGAAGTGATGGTTCAACAAAAGCAGGTCACACCAGACTAATGTTATTTCCTTTTTCGACAGAATTATTCAAACGGTGGATCAGGATGCTATAGGCAAAGATTTTAGTGAAGCACCTGACAAGTCACTTACAACATTTTTTGTGGAAACAGAGTGAGCGAGAGCCTAGATGTTAGCACAATTAGGCCAGTGTCTGAGTGACTGTACAGCTGGAGCCAAACAGTTATCATCAAGAGTGGATGTCAGCTTGGAAGAAGGCCTCTGGTAGAAATCTCCAGGGATCTGACCTTGAACCTGTGGCATTTAACATCTGTGTCAATGACACAGAGAAAGGCTAGTCCCAAATGACAAAAAGATGGGAGGGAAAATTAATATCCTAGAGCCAAAAAAGGTTCTGATAGGATAGAAGATTGAGTCCATAATAAGAAGATGTAGAATAGAGATAAATGGGAAGTCTTACACTTGGGTTCAAAAAACTCATCTTCACAAGCACAAGGCTATCTAGAGAAGATCTGGGGGCTTCAATGAACTGCAAGCTCACACCTATCAGCAGCATTCTAGAGTTGCCATGGAAACAAATGCAATAATCAGGAGCAGCGAGAGGCTAAGTTTCCAGGGGAGAAAAAGGGATGGTCCCATAGCATTTGGACCCAGTGAGGAGACTCACTGGAGTGGGAAGCTCCCTTTTGGCCCCATTTGAGGAAGGACACCCATAAGGTAAGTTGAAGGGCACACAGGACAGGGCAAGCAAGATGCCAAAGATGAGGATGGTGAGCCTGGAGAAAAGAAGCCATGGGGAAAGACCGGAAGGGCCAGCGTGTAAGTGGGCACAATGAGGAGCCCTGGTGCACACTGTGAAGAGGCCGATGTCGGCCTTGTGTCAAGAAAAGCTTCCTAACAACCAGAGCGGCTCTTTTCACTGGCGCTCTGCAAAAAAAGGGGAGGGGGCCCCACTCATGAATCAGGTGACAGAGGAAGGGCTGCCTGAGATCCAAGCCATCTAGCGAGCATTTATTAAGCACCTCTTGTAGTTACGGAGGTCCTTGTGAAGTCTGAAATTCTGTACCTGGATGACCATGAATTTGTGCGTCATTTTGTGTTATATTTATAGAATATGACAATAAAGTGAGAAGCAGCTGAGCATAATGCATAGAGAGCTGGCCTTCAAACTAGGATGACCTGACTGTCCACCAGTGGATGACCTGGGCAAGCCCATTCACTTCTCAGTTGCCCAAGCAACTGTCTAAGACTCTAAGATGGAGATGGGCTGCTGGTCTGTATCAGTAAAAGAACTTCCTCAAGAGGGAGGCTTCCTACACAGATGAAATCACAGATCTGAGCTAAAAAAGTTTTTTTAATGTGACTTTTAAGCTCTATGAAAGCAAGAGCTATTTCTAAACTAGGTAACTCCCTTGATTCCTAGTACAATGCTCAACACACAATAAATTCAATGTTAGTTTATTTGAACAAATAAGTCAATTTTTTAAAAATGTACAATTTTCTATTATTGCATTTAAGGTTAAAATAAACTAGAGCAAAACAGTAATAAATAACAAGGTAAACAGTACTTAATTTCTTTTTCCAAAATATTTATAATTTCTTTATAGCAACCTTATCAAAGAATTGGGAATGCTACACAACATGAACAAACAATGTGAAAATATTTTAAAGTGAGAATGGCATGAGATCAAAGGCATTCTGGAATACTTTTATTTTATTTTAAAGTTTTTTGTTTATTTTTTTAAATTGAAGGCAATCAGGGTTAAGTGACTTGCCAAGGGTTACACAGTTAATAAGTGTCTGAGACTGGATTTGAAGTTAGGTCCTCCAGACTCCAGGGCCTGTCGCTCTACCCACTGTGCCACCTAGCTCCCCCTCTGGAATACTTTTAAAGCAATGTTTCCATGTTTCAAAATGCCTTGGAATCAATCATCTCAGCTAAACACCCTCATCTGGAAAACTATTTTATCATCTAGCTCCGGTTACACTAATTAGTTACAGAATAAATTTTTGCTACACACATAAAATCGATTCATAATTGCTAGCTTTAGCACCTTCAGGAGAGGATTAATTTATATTTCACAAAGGTGCATATTGGTGTTTAGCTTTTCCAACTTCTCAATTACACTGCCTTTCCTCAACTGACTTTCAAGGGAGGCTGTGAAGATAAAATCAGTGATCCGTCATCTGCTCGCAAGTCTTCTCTAATATATGCCGTATCAAAAAATGGCCATTCTTTTTCAAGGTTCTGCACTGGCAGTCATTTAAAAATCTCATTATACTTTTTTAAAACTGAAGACTAGCTCTGGAAAGTCTCTAGAGAGTACAACACAAGTGTTCAAAAAAGGAGAAAAGTTTAAATATCGCCAGAGCACAACCAGCACCTTCCCCATCTTCTGCTCCTCAAAGATGGGACTAAAGAATTCCTGTATTGGAATCAGGAGTCCAGTCACTTCCCATCTCTGCAAACACACTATACTGCTTTAGCCCACAGGAGACTGCACACTGCACACGAAGACTGATCCTCTCCCTACTGGGGCCTTCTCCCTGATCAACCACACCGTCTTTACATCTGCACACTGCGGATTCCCCAGGAGAAGGCGAGGGCCTGGGCACAGAGACAATCTTGCTTCTGTCTCAGTATCCCTGGGGCCTACCAGTGCCTCACATGTACCAGAAATGCCTGTGGAGTTGAACTGAATTCTATGAATTCAAACCTGTGTCAGAACGTCCAGAAAACCCATAATCTTCAGATGCCCTGCCGAATTTCCGTTCTTTGATGGACCTAGGACTTCACTGACGTGGTCATGTTTAACATTTCCAAAGCAAAGGCACGTTAACTAAGTTACAGAATATACACTTATTTTTAAAATCAAAGTCCTAGCTTTCACTGTCAGGAGGTCCTACAAATTTAACGTCCAGTAGTATAGGCCACTAGGGAGGAAATCACGACCAGAAAAGCTCACCAAGTCACCCTCAATGAAGAAGCTCCAGTGCTTGGGTTATGCTTTGGGAACGTTCTTTCTGTGCTCCCTAAGTTTTGTGGCCCCATATCCCAACCTATTTTTACTTGAAAAGTGCTCCTACTCTCCAAGCATTTTTTAAACAAATCTTGGTATTCTCCTCATGAAGAACGACACTGGTTGGCATTTTCTTACAGACAGACTATGTCTTCCAACATGCAACACTGTTTACAGCGGAGAGAGATGGGCAGTCACCGTCACCATGTACACTGAGGCATGCACGAAGCACCACTCCAGCATGCTTTAACCCAAAGAGAATCAGCCCAGCCACTTACAGCAGCGCCGGGTCCATGCTTCAAAGTGCTCTATACAGTCAGTTGTAGACAAAAATATTTCACAATTAAAGTATCTGACTTTCAAAAGTAAGAAAAGAAATCCTAAGATTTTATTTGAAAAATAAAGTACAAATTTTAAGCAATGGAGTGAAAGTATCAACTGTAACTGATAAATGTTTTCATAATTAGAAGGACAAAAGGAGGAAGAAATAAAATAACTTTTTTTTTAATTTCTAAATTGCAAATTTAAAATAACAAGAGATTCAAGTAATGCACAAAACAGTACGTGACTAAGTTACTCTTTAAATTGTATGATTCAACTTTCAGAGCAAATAGTGCTGTAATGCCTTGGCTGATTTTATTAACAAAAGCATTTCAAAAACATAGTTTGGTAACAAACAGAATCCCCTCAATGCTTTTGGAGAAACAAAGCACAACAGTAAACTTCCCTTCTCCCTACCACACACACACCCAATAGAATGCTATCTCACAAAAGTCCAGGTAATTGATTGCGTACGACCCACTTGGCTCATTCTATCTCTACACCAAATTCCCTTAACCAAGATGTATAGGTTTTTACTTAGAAAAAATTTTTTCTTTAAAAAAAGGGGTGGGAGAATTTCTTTGTAATTTCCAGAACCAACATACTTTAAAAATTCACTAAATTTAAAGCAGGACAAATATACCTCTAAGATTAGTCATGATAAGCGCACAGTCTGGCCTTCAAGTGGATTTCCACATGAGGCCTGCTTTACAGACAATCTGCAAAAGGGCTACTCTGCACACGGGCAAGTCAGCGCTACCTAAATATGGCAAAAAGCATTGAAGGACCCTCACAAGCACCAGGAAGACTCCCGGACAGGACCAAGGAAGAGAAGTATCGATCCCGCAGACATTGGCTGTGTTTTCTGCCAAGGCCTCCTCCTCCTCCAAACCCATTCCTCACAGTCTCAATGACTGTCTTATCAGTGCCTTTAGCTCCAGGATCACTTTACTGATTATGCCACAGGAAGTAGCTACAGCTTCCCACTCGTGCACAGAGTCACGTGGTTGAGGTGTGGGGCTGTTCTGAACAGCTCTTCAAGTTTTCTACGTGTCAGTGGCTGCTTCAAGACATTCTTCTACAAAAGGACGGGACAACCTAGGCTCAGCTCACTAGTCAACAGGTGACGCGAGCCATAACGGAGGATGTGGCTTCTGATTTTAAAAAGGGACAGCCACTTACCTACAATTGACACAAGCTCAACCATGGCTCAGAGTGCACCGAAAAAAATCAGAACTAAATTAAGACTTGAACACATTTTGAGAGGAATTAAGGAAATCACACATCATATTCTCAGTAGCAATGTTCCCTGACGCTTTTAGCCTACGTGACATATTTAAGTCCAGTTCATCAAAAGAATCCCAGTGTCTTTCTTTAGCATGGGGGACAAGGGACTAAAGAATTCCCCATGTACACAGCATGTGTACAGTAAGAGTTTTACGTGGGAAAACCCACAAAAGAAGTGTGGAACAAGTGACCCTCTCCTACAGTTTATGCTCCCCCAAGCCTTCCTACCTTGTTTGTGTATGTATTAAGGAATCTGTCTTTTAAAAGATAAATTAAAAAAAGATCACTCTGAGATAATTAATCAATACCTTTTAGACTTACATTGGTGATAATTCGATGGAGGGAGTTTACCAGCACATAATGAAATGTGGATGGGGAGTTCTGGGCCAAACAGATCTATAGAAAAAAAAATTTAATGTTTTACTTCAACATGAACAATAACAAAATAACTGACACAAAATAGAAATAAAAAGGCAACTCAAAATATTAAATAATAAATCTGGCTTAATATCCTGAATTTAACACATTATGGAAATACCACTGAAAATATATTCACAAAAACTAAACAAATGGGTAGATGAACGTAATGGAATACGACTGTGCTGTAAGAAATGACAAACGTGATGACTACAGAGAGGCATGGGAAGATCTGATCGTGAACTGATGCACTGAGAAGGAAGCAGAGACCACACAAAAACAACAACGTAAACAGAAAGAACCATCTTTTTTTAAAAGTCTCAGTCTAAGCAAACTTATCAAAAACAAGCATGTTGTGAGAGGAGAGATGAGCAGACACCCCCACCCCACCCTCTGCAGAAGTGGGTGGCCCCACGTGATGCACCCGGCACACAGTTTCAGACTTTGCCTTTGTATTAATGAGTAATGCTGACTTTTTCCTCTTCTTTTTTTCTGTCTTAAAAAAAAAAAAACAAACAACTATTTGTTATAAGGGATGGCTCTGTAGGAGGGGGAGGAGGGGAAACTATAGTGACATAAAAAATAAAATACATCAATAAAGCTTATTTTAAAATTCCTGAGGTTTCTAGGTCATGCCTACGAGCTAACTAGAGATGATAAGTTAATATGATAAGTTAATTACAAACGCGCTTAGCTAAAACCCAATGGTCTCTCTCACCTTAAAGTGTTGGTTGTTGTGAGGGCTTATTCGAAAGCAAGAAACCAGGCAGTCGATCATGAGGTCCACGTCGGCGTTCTGGCTGCCTCTGGAGAAGGGCTTACTGGGATTAAAAAGCAAGTTCTACACAAAGAGAGAAGACAGGCAGTTTAAAGGGCCAGGCCCTGCCCAGCAAATCCACCAAGGCAGTGACTGTTCTCGTGGAGGGGAAGAAGACTGTTCCCAACTCAAAGGTATGGCTACTTAGCGACTGAAAAGTGCTGTCACTGCAGCTCTGCAGGGGAAGCCATTTGTGTGATTGTTCCCATTTTGTGGATGAGAAAACTGAGCCTCAGGGAAGTGAAATGACTTGCCTAGGTCACAAAGCCAGAAAGTGTCTGTGGCTGGATTTGAACTGAAAACAAGCGTGTAAAAACATCTGTCTGTGGTTTGTTAGTCACGCTGGGCCAAAGACTTTTTGTTCAGCCCGTGAGTTGCTTCTGTGGGTGGCTACTTATCTACTTCAAAGGCCCTAGAGGAAATGTCTGGCCTTGCAAATGTTCAGAATGGAGACAGTTATCATATGCAGATCAAGACAAGAGAGGTATTAAAAGGTATTACTCTCTGATGTTCAGTCTTTTATTGTTTTCTTCCTGTCTGACCCCATTTGGGGTTTTCTTGGCAAAGATATGGAAGTGGTTTGCTACTTCCTCCACGGCTTATCTGACAGATGAGGAAACTGACACAAACAGAGGTAAGTGACTTGCCTAGGGTCACACAACTACTAAGTGTCTGAGGTCACATTTGAACTCAAGAACATAAGTCTTCCAGACTTCAGACCCAGCCCTCTGTGCACTGTGTCACTGCTTGGCATTTCACTACAGGAGCTAAAAAAAATAAGAGAATCTGAGAACTGGTATTAATAATATGTGACATTTATGGAGCACTATTTCATTTAAACTTCACAAATAATTCTTGGAAATAGGCCCTATTATCATACCCACTTTATAGGTAAAGGAAACTGAGGCTCAGAGGGTTTAAAGGACTTGCCAGGTTCACCCAGCTACTTTCTGAGACAGGATCGGAAATCAGGTCTCCCTGACCCCAACCCCCAAACTCTATCGAGAGGCTAAAGAAAGGGTTCCCAGTAAAACTGTATTGATTTCAGCTTAGCCCACTGACCAGCGCAAGCACCTCACCTTCAGGTCCACTACCATTGACTGGACGAGCAAGAAAATGACTGAGTTATCCTCCCAGTTGATGTAGGTACTGGCTTTGCACAGTTTGACACAAGCGATCGCGGCGCTCTCTGTCAGCTGCCTGCTCCCGCCATGCCCGGCCAGTGCTCTTCTGAGATTGTCGAGAAACATTTTCTGTAATTCAATCCAATAAACAGTGATGGAGTGTCTATCATGTGACATGCCTCACAGGGGGTGCACAACACGAATACACCCACGCATGCGTGCACACACACACGATTAAGTCAATTCAACTGAAATGCTGATAAAGAATCTACTTCTGACAATACTGCCCTCACCTGCATAAAGCAGCATGGGGAGCAGAGGGACAGAATGAGAAAATACATGGATGGAGAAGGGGATGTCTAGCCTGCAAGAATGCACACAGGCCCTAATTAACAGCCGCACCGACGAATGCCAGCACCATTGGCACTGCCAGAGCCAAACACCAGGCCTATTTCTCATTTGAGCTTCCCACGACCCTAGGAGGAACTCACTACGTGCATTCTTCTCCCCATTTTACAGAGGAGGAAATAAAAGCTTCAAGAGCTTGGGAAGTCACGTGCCTCCCCAGAGAGATGAGAGTTCAAAGTCCACTTCTGCTATAATCTAGGAACGGTCAGAGATGGGGTCTCAACCAGAATCTTCTTGTCTCCAAGCCCAGCACTCTTCTCATACCTCACTGCCTCTACAATTCTTAATAATTCTGAAAAGAACCTCCCCCCAATACAAAGTCTAATCCCACTGAAATATCCACAAATGTCAAATAATCAGGATCGATGGCGCTGAGATCTCAAGAATAATCCTGTCAACTCTTCATTTTCTTCACTGAGTAGAAAAGGGGCACTCTTGGTCAAATCTCAAGTCCTGTTTCTCTATGCCCTATTCAGTCAGCTGATTCCTCTGCTTGCAGGGATTCTGATCTTGGGAGCTGAATGTCAACCCTCTGGGTGTGCACCATCTCCCACATCTCAGGAGGCTTCATGGGTGGAGTTGAACCCCCAGGGACCAATTCCCTACCTTCGCCTCCAATTCTCACAGCTCCTGGGGTCTCAGAACCCTGAGAACTCTGGGATTCTTTGTGGGTCGGGGGTAATAAGGGCCCCTGAAATGAGTCCAAAAGGCGAACGACCCGTTACTTAACTTTTCAGTCCTCTTCCTCGGCAGGGCCAATTTGAGGCTTCTGAACCCTGATCTCCAAGCTTCAGAATCAATGTCTGCTGAGACAAAGCTGTGTCTGCCAAACTCTTCTATCTAGACACACTTGGGCCTTTCCCCCCACCCTTCTCTTCCAGCATGCCCTCTCATTGACTGGCCCATCCCTGACAGCCATCATCCAAGAACGTGATCTAAGAGGTGCCTCCACTGCTCTCCCTCTCTTCTAAACCTTCTGCAGTCTGGCTTCTGGCCTCACCTTTCAACTGAAACGGCCCAAAGTAATCTCTTAAATGCCAAGTTTAATGTCGTTTTCTCAACCCTTTCTTTACCTCAATGCAACCTCTAACACTGCTGGTCACCTTCTCTTCTTGGACACTTTCCTCTCTAGGGTTTCATGACACGACTCTCTCTCAGTTCTTCTCCCCACATATGACCACTTCTTCTCTGTCACCTTTGCTGATTCTTCATCCATGTCATGCTCACTAACAAGAAGAGTTTCCCAAGGCTCTGTCCTGGGCCCTCTCCTCTTCTCTGACTGTGTGGTATTTCACGTGGTGATTTCATTAGCTCCCATGGGTTTAATTATCTTTAACTATCATCTCCATGCAAATTATTCCCAGATCTATGGCTAGCACACACACACACACACACCCCCCCCCCCACACACACACACCCTGTTACTTTGAGGGCACCAACCATCCTCCCAGTCACTGAAGCTTGAAATCTCAGTATCATCCTTAGCTCCTCAGTTTTATTCATTCTACACATTTAATTCACTGCCAAATCTTGTTATTTCTACATTTACAACATTTCTTGTGGACATCCCATTTTCTCCACTTGTACAGCCACCACCCTAATTCTGGCCACCATGGTGCCTCACACACAGACTACTGCAACAGCCTTCTACCAGGTCTCCCTGCCTCAAGTCCTCCACTACTCCACCCATCCTTCACTCAGTTGCCAAAGGGATTTTCCTAAAACACAGATCTTGATCAAACACCCCCTTGCCCAGAGAGCTCCAGGGGCTTTCCTGTTACCTCTAGGATCCAAACTCTGTTTGGCATCACCTGGCCCCTGCCTACTCTGCCTGGCTTCTACATTTCACTCTCCTTCTTGCACTCTAGAATCTATATGCTAGGTTCTAGGACATACAAAGAAAAAGACAAAACAGTGCCTACCCTCAGTGAGCTTAGATTCTATTGGGGGATTCAACAGCTTCACAGATAAGTAATACAAAATATACACTAAGTAAAGATACAGCAATTTCCAGTGAGGGGAAAGAAGTGTGAAAGGAAAAGACGATGGCACTCAAAGCTTTTGGGGACCAGGAAAGGCATTATGTAAAATGAAGCTTGGGCTGAGGTTTCTAAGAGGAAGTAGCAGGAGGGTGTGAACTCCAGGGAAGGGAGCAATGTATGAAAAGGCTCACTAAGATAGGAGACAAGGTCATGTATAAGAAACAGCAAGAAGGATGGTTTGGCAGGACCAAGGGGAGAAACTGGCAATAAATCAGAAAAGGCAGACCGGAGTCAGATTATGAAGGGCTTTAAAGACCAAGCTGGGAAATTTGCGTTTTATGCTAGATGCAACAAGGAGTCAATGGAGATTTCTGAACAGAGAAGTGACATGATTAAATATGTGCATTAGGAAATTCATTTTTGGCAACTCTACGGAGGACAGATTGCAAAGGGGAGACAGTGGAGATGAGAAGACCAATTAGAAGGCTATTCAAGTATGACAGATTATGAGGGGCTGAAGTAGGATAGTTATAGCACAAATGAAGAAATGGGAGACATGTCAATTCTACCTCCCCAACAAGGCTCAACTGGGATGGGGTGCGGGGTAGAGGAAAAAGAAGCATCAGGGACGGCTACAAGTTTGTAAAGTTGGGCTGCTGGAAGGAGGAGGATGGCCTCAAAAGAAATAAAGAGGTTAGGAAGACGGAAGAATATGGTAGGAAAACTGAATTTTTGACATGCTAAGGTTAACATGCTGAAAGGCCATCCAGTTAGAAATGTCAAATAGGAATCTGGTAAAGAACTGAAAACCAAAGAGGTGTCCATCAATTGGACAGTGGGTAAACAAAGTATGGTATATGATAATGGTAATGGAATAACTGCAGTATAAGAGAAGGTGAAATGGATGGTTTCAGAGAAATCTAGTAAGACTTCTATGAAATGATGAAGACTGAAGTGAGCAGAACCCAGAGAACGATTTAAACAATAACATGATTGACTACACATGTATAACCTGTGCTTGCCTTCTCAATGAGGGTGGGTGGGGAGAGAGAAAATTTGGAACCCAAAGTTTTAAAAACAAATGTTAAAAATTGTTTTCACAAGCAACTGTGAAATAAGATATACAGGTAATGGGGTGTAGAAATCTATCCTGCCTCATAGGAAAATAGAAGGAGAAGGAGATAAGAGAAGAGGGCAGAGATAGAAGGGAGGGCAGATTAGGAGAAGGGGTATTCAGAATGCATGCCATCCTAGGGTGGGGGGAGGTACGAGATGGAGAGAAAATTTGGAACGCAAAATCTTGTGGAAGTGAATGCTGAAAACTAAAAATAAATAAATATTTTTAAAAAGAGTTAAAAAAAACATGATTAAGACAAAAACTTTGAAAGACTTAAGAACTCTAATCAATACAATGACCAACTATGATTCCAGAAGATAAATGATGAAACATGCTATCCATCTCCTGACAGAGGGGTGGTGAACTCAGTATAAAGATAGAGACTTACACTTTTTGGACATGACCAAAATGAGAATTAATTTTGTTTGACTATGCATATTTTTTATGATGGTTTTGTTTCTCTCTTACCCCACCCCACACACACTAATTTGGAAGCATAAGTGGTAGAAGGAAAGAAAAAAGATTTTTTTTTAAAAAATAGACAAATAAAGTAGAAATAAACAAGTCCCTCAAAAGACCACCACCAAATAGGCAACTGGAGATATGGAACCAGAGTTCAAGAAGACAGACTAGGCTGGATATTTAGTTATGAGAGTCATATGAATGATAAACTGAACCTATGAGATCACCAAGACAGTGAGTATAGAAAGTAGATTCGAAAATCCACAATGGACTCTTGAGATATACTCACATGTAGAGGGGCAGGGCATGGATGATGACCCACAAGAAGAGGACTGAGGATGAGTGATATGGCAGGAAAGAGGTAATGAAAGAGAGATCAGTATCACAAAAAGCCAAGGAGAAAAGGATGCAGGAGGTGATGGTGATCAACGGTATAGAAAGCTGGAGAAACATCAAAGGAAGAGAGGACAAGGAAAATGGACACTTCATGTTCTTGAAAATGATCATTAATTTCACTAAGATGTCAGTTTTATTGTGCTGTGGTTGTGTGAGATATTTTCAAATAATTTCCCTTATTTCATTTTCATTTGTTGTGAATCTTCCTTTTCCACTACTGATACCAATAACTTATCTTAGCTATGTGGAAATTTTACATTATTGCACATGTATAACTTACATCAGATTGCTTGCCATCTTGGGGAGCGGGGAGAGGACGGAGAAAAATTTGGAACTCAGAATCTTTCAAAAAATGAATGTTGAAAATTGTCTTTATATGTAATTGGAAAAAATAAAATACTATTAAAAATCATATCGGCTAATGTTTAATCTATTTCACTGGTCCCCTCTCCCCCCTTCCCCCCCCCAAAATAGCTCCTACTTTTATTTAATTCAATGGCTTTTTGCTTTTAATTTTGTTAATCTTTTCCTTTATTTCAATAATTTCTACTTTAGCATTTAATTGGTGTTTCTTCATGTCAGTTTTCTAGGGGGTTTTTAGTTGCACCCTCAGGTCATTAATCTGTGTTTTCTTTGGTGATGAAAGTGTTTAGAGAAACAAACTTTTCCCTAAAGACTGCTTTGGCTACATCTCAAAAATGTCACTATGCTGTCTCATTTTCATAATTTTCTTTGATGAAATTATCTACTGTTTTCATGATGGGTCGGTTTTGGGTCTTTTTGACCCATCAGTTCTGTAGGATTATTTAGTCTCCATTTAATTTTTAATCTTTGTTTTCCAAAGATTTCTTGATGACGAGAATTTTTATTACATTGTCTTCAGTAAAGGATGTGTTTAATATTTCTGCTTTTCTGCATGTAAGGTTTTTACATTCTAATGTATGGTGAATTTTAAAGATGTTATATACTGCCAAAAATATGTACATTCCTTTCTATTCCCATTCAGTAATTACCAGAAATCTATCGTGTCAAATTGTCGTAAAATTCTATTCAGATCTTTAACTTCTTCCTTGTTTTATTCTGCTTTGTTATATTGGTCTAGGCCTGAAAGTGGCGCATTGAGGTCCTCAATTATTAGAGCTTTACCGTCTATTTTTCCCTGTAGCTCAAATAACTTTTCCTTTAAGTATTTTGATGCTGTGTCATTAGATGCATATATGTTAAACTTTGGTATTAATTCATTGTTTACTGCACCTTTAAGCACAATGCAATTTTCCTGTTTAACTCTTTTTTAAGTCTATTTCTGTTCCTGCCTTGTCTAAGATCATCACTGCTATGCTTGAAATATAACAGATTTTGCTCTAACCCTGTATTTTAATTGTATGAATCTTTATTTCAAGTGTGTTTCTTGCATACAACATATTAGTGGACTCTGCTATGCTAACATTTTAGTGGTAAGTTTATCCCATTCACATTCATGTTAATTGTGCCCTTCCCCCTTCGTTACTTCTTATATTTTTTCCTTATTGTTCCCCAACACCTCTTTAGAGAGAAACTGGTGAAACAGAAGGAAGGTGATCAATACAGTGATCTGTAATTGTACTCATCTGCTCACAAGGATGCCTCTCCTGTTTTTTACAAACCTGTGATCACTGTTTCTTATGTTTTTCTTCTTTCCTATTAATCCCCCCTTTACAATCCACCCTCCAAAGCTAAAGTGTGTGTTGTGCCTATCCCCTGAGACAAGCCTCCCTCTTAAATACCCCTCTCCCTTTCCTTTTCCCTGCATTCACCTGTTGAATGTAATATATTATCACACCAAACTCTTTGTGCATGTGTGTGTTTGTGTGTGTGCCTGGGTGTTCAACGTTCCTTTGTCCAAGGAAGAAAAGACTGCAGTTCACGTAACGCTCACTCTTCCTACCCCTTCCTCCAGCTTTGCACACTCTTATTCTTTACCCTAATCATGAGAAAACAATGAATTCGGCCCCCTTTTTCCACATTTCTTCACTTATTCCTTTCTCTATCTTTTTTTTTTCTCTTAAGGCCATCAAAACACAGGAAAAACCACCATCCAGGGTTCCTACTTCCACAGAAGCCTTTAGGATTCTGCAGAGACGCTTACCTCATGCCCCCATTAGAACACAAGCGCGTCATCTTTTAGCTCCTTTCAAACTTTTTCCCTTTCTAGATTTCTCTCCAACGCTGTGCTTGCATTGCAAATTTTCTACCTAGTTCTGGTCATTTTATCATGAATGACTAAAAGTTCTCTATTTCATTAAAGATCCATTATTTTCTCTTACAAAATTAAATGAAGTTTTGTAGGGAAAAGTTCATCTTGTTTATAAACCTACATATTTTGCCTTATGAAAAAATATTCTAAAATTTTCTGTCCTTTAGAGCAGTTGCTGCCAAGTTGCATGTAATTGTGACTCTGGTTCCTCACTACTTGAATTCTTTCTTTCCAGCTATTTGCTGTATTTTTCCTTTGACCCAAAGGTGGAAGATTTTATCTGTGATAAGACTGGGAGTTTTCATTTTGAAGTTTTTCTTAAGAGGTGAGTGATGAATTCTTTCTAGTTTCCCTTTTCCCTTTGGTTCTACTAAATCTGGGAAGCTTCTATTTCTGAGTTCTGGAAATATATTATCCAAGCTTTCTATCATTTTATCCCTTTTTGGGGGGGGGTCATAATTTTCAGGGAGTCTGATGATTCATATATTATCTCTTTTTTCCGAGTCAGTTGTTTTCTAGTAGGTACCTGACATTTTCTTCAATTTTTCAATCTTTTTTATTTTGTTCTCGTATTTCTTCTTGTCTCATGGAATCACTGAGTACTGTTTAGTACTACTTGGATATGCTTTTCTACCTTCTGTTCTAAGCATTTGTTCTTCCAATTTTTTCCTCCAGACCTCCTATTTCATTGTGACCAAGTTTTCTCTCCCAGCGGCTCTATTTATATGTGTAAAGTTATTCTCTTCTATTTGGGAAGAGAACACATCTTCACTGAGTAGCTACTATAGGCTAAGCAATATTATCTCATTTTTACCAAACTGGCATCCCTTCACCCATAAGATTTCTTCATACCATCCCATTGTCTTCTGCTTGCTCCTATCTCTAGTCCCAGTTTCTGATTCAGGACTTTTTCCAAAGAGCCAAGCTCTAATTCCCCGGGTGCTCTGGGTTGAGACGGTCAGGCCCTGTTTGTAGCTGATCTCCATTTGCTGGGTCCTGCCTGATACATGGCTCTCTTGTCAGAGAGCTGGCAAGCTTCGGGTGCCCCATCAGAGATCTAGAGAGGGCTCTCCCTGGCTGGAGCATTGCAGCAGCCTGGATCACCCTTGAATGTTTCCTAGTTGAAGCCTGCCATGGTCTTCTATCCAGTTCACCTGAACTCATGCTGGTTTTCCCAGCAGGCTCTCTGTTCCAGTGCTCTGGCTTCTAGCTATCTTTTGGTATAATCCTGAACAGATGAAGGAGCTTACCAGCATTTCTCTAAGGATTTTTGATGATTTTACAATCTCATTCCCTTTTTAGATCATTGCTAGAGTATATGAGAGAAGGAAGCTCCTCGACCCCTCATCACTCCTTATCAACGACCCCACATCTTAACTGAAACTCCCAAGCCTGATGCAACTACTGGACAGCATGGAGCCCAAGGGATGAATCCAGGAGACTCCAATGAAAGCATCCTTTTCCACGCTGACCTGGACAATGCCTCCTTTGTCCTCAAGACGAGCACTAGGGGCTTTGTCAAGTGATTTGCTAACATCTAGGTGAACAATCAACAGCCTTCCCTTAATCCTATATGTCAGTCAACCAAGGAAATGGGGTTGGCCCAGCATGACCTGTGCTGGGATAAAATCAGCACTTCAGTTCTCTACTGTTTTTGTAAACAAATTTGCTCTTTTTACCTTATTCATTTTCGCTTCATCGACGACATCCTTGGAAATGTCCTGGATTATTTCTGGACATAAGACAAGAAGAATGATTTGCAGTGGCCAAACTGCAGCTTTACGTTTGGTGCTTTCAGCAAAACCATCCACCAAGTCAAATAATTTTTCTGCACATTCTATATGGAAAAAAAAATCAAATGACACTATTAGAGAAGAAAATATAGTTTGCCCTTTGCCTATGTAGTAAATTAAGGCTCTCATTTCTACAGGAAAAAAATGGGGAGGAAGCATGTAAAATTAGCAATAGGAAGTATTCTCCAAAATGTCTAAAATCTTTATCAAATCTAGCAGGAAGGAACAGTCCACACAATGTTCTTTTATTTTCCCCAATAGTAAAGGAGTATGGTATGGGACAAACTCTTCTAACTGGTTTATTTGTTTTTAAACAAAACAAGCATTCTGCTCAGAACAGCCTGACACCAGAGAAGAAGGTAAGTCAACTGGATACAAGTGGGCATGTTACCATTTGCAGTCAAAAGGAAATGAAGCGAATAACTAAAGAACACGAGAAGAAAAGGAGCTAACCAAACAACATACTGACACAGAGATGCTAATGCTTAGATAAATCTGACTATCCCTAGTACGAACTCCGTCCCAGATCATGTTCCACAATAACCGGAAAAAGCCTCTAAAAGGATATTGCAATAAGGGTCTCAATCCTTTATGACCAGGAAGACTCACTTTCACTTCCCTGGACAGAGAGGGGGTTGTTTTAGGACCCGCATCGGAAATAATTCCACCTGAAACCTGAAAGTACCAGTTTCAGGAGTTAATCTTAGTGGTCCGTTTAAGTAAATTCTTGAAGCCTCAGTTTCATCTGTGAAATAGAAATAACAACAGCATCGCCCCTCCCAGCACAGTGGTGAGGAACAAATGACATAATGTTATGTCAAGTGTTTCTGCGAGCCTTAGAGTGCCACGGAAATGTGAACTATCATTATTTTTAAAAATCACACACATCAAATCATTCAAACAGAAAATTATCTCTTTCTCTGACTTCCAAAGGCAGAAAAGGGGTTGAAAAAAAAAAACCAAGACCATTGTCTGTGTGTGAAAACCATGCTCCTGTTGGGCCCTTGATGAGACTAGGTTTGGGACGAGAGCACAAACAGGCGTCAGATCTTCCCACTCAGAGAAAGGCAATTTGCCTGACATCCTTCTTCATGGAAGCGGTCCGTGACTATTTACATCCTCAGTCGTATGATCCTGTTGTGTAAAAAAGATGTACAGGGATCTGGCTCCAAACAAAACCAGTCTCTGAACACAAAACCCAATCACCATATTACAGGACTGATCTCCAACAGGTCAGTTTTCTCACATAAAGATACAATTGAAGAAGGAATCTAATTTAAAAAAGCTCAATCTTAATTTCAACCTTCCCCTCCTCTGATGACCTACAGGAAAATAAAGGGGAGGGCAAAGGAGAGAGAAGTTTCCATTTTGACTTATCTGACACATAAGAAATGAAGTTAAGGTTTAAAGGATGGCAGCCTTGGTCTAAAATAAGCCCAGAGTAAAAGTAAGTAAGTCAGTTTATTCTTACCAGCCATATCTGTCTGGGGAGTCTGGTACAGCTTTGTAAATTCATCAGGATAGTTCTCTACCCAATTCCAAAATGCCTAATAATAATTTTAAAAACACACAATTTTACATCAAGGTAACGATCTTGTCAATATAGGATACAAAAAAAAAAAAACAAAACTGCTGTATTATGGGTCACATTGTATTACAAATCTATTCCCATACAATAAGCATTTACTAATGCCCGGGCACCCCCAGGGGCCAGGCACAGTGCCAGGCTTTGGTGATAGAAACACCAAAGGGAGAAGAGGCCCTGCCTTCAAGGCGTCTGCCACCTTGTTCTGGGGGCAGGGCAGACCCTGTAACCACGGAAGAGAGAACCAAAAGGAAAGCCTAACCCCTGCAATGTTCCATAAGAAAAATGTTCTCCTTTCTTTAAAATAATTATTGTGTAGTAATTACTATCATTTCAAACATCTAAACAAAAGTATCAGCAAAACTTAAGATGAAATTCAACAAGCAATTTAAGGAATAAATATGTAAGAAAAGAAAAACATTTACCTTTTCTAGGCTATTTATAACTGCTAGCTGAGCTACCTTCTTTAAGGCTTTAAATTTAAATACAGTTTCTGTGGGAAAAAATTATATACATTAATTTGTATGTAAATGTATCTGCACATTTAAGAGAAAAGCTAGTTTTATTTTTGCAGTCACCCATAGGCCACCTCTGAAAACAAGCTACATCACGCTAATCTCTCTGACAAGAAAATACAGACCCTGGAAAAGAATACTTCCTGCTACCTCAGTTATCCCAGCTTAGAGCCAAAGAATACTTGGGCCTTCTGTGCCTAAGGCATTCTTGCTCTGGCCTCACCCTCATCCTCCACTTCATTCCAGGGTAAAGTTTAAAATGGCAGCAGATGCACATCCAGTATGACCACAGGGACGTGGAGATGGCGTCGGGCATTACAGATGAACCGAAACAGTTCATCCACCCAATAAACTTGTCTCCTTCCCATGAAGGACTCCTAAGAGCAGTAACCTGTTCCAGGAAAGATGACTACAACAGACACCTGAGCTGAGCAGTCAATACTTATTTCTTAAAAACCAGTAACTAGTTGGGAAGTATCAAATTACAAGCAACACTAGTTCCACTGAACAGTTGGCAACAGGCTCTAAACTCCCAATAAAACTTCCCTTTGTCCAATGGAAAATGATGGATATGGCTGGTCTCATGAATTTCAACTAGAAACACAGCAGTCTATCTCACAAAGGATACAAAACTCAGTTTCTGTCTGCCAACAAAATTTTGTATTGAGACACAGGCAAGAGATCAATATTTAACTTAGAAAGAATATTATCTTGTCCATTTTAAGGTGGTCGTAAATTGCTTCTGCTATTGCTCTAATGAGGGCAAAGCCAAAAGGGGAGGAGAATTATTACTTTTGAACAAAGTCAGTGTAGCTGACAGCACATTCTCATTAAAGATTCACAAATCTTGACTCACAGCTAGTCAGTATAGAGACAGTTGGCCCATTCAGAGATCTAGTAATTCAGTTCGTGCATTTTGAACATATCTTAGAGAAAATTTCCAAAGTCTTTGCATGAATTAAGTTGTGGGGTAATGAACTAGTTGACTTTTAAATCACACCTTAAAAATTATCTTTGATATAGACAGGTGGCCTGGTATGACCAATGGATTTTTGGACAAAAGCAAGAATCCTGGATTCAAATCCTGAGTGACTCTTACAAGCTATATCCCCTGGACAAGTTACTTAAGATCTCTCAGTCTGTAAGAGAGAACAGTAACACCTACTTAATAGAGCTGTGTGAGGGACAAGTGAAATGATGCAGAGAAAACACTTTGCAAAACTTATAATATATAAACGTGAGCTATTATGAAAAAGAAATTCTTGTTAAGAAACAAGTCAAACAAAAACAGAAATGGGTGATGAATTAACAAGGATTTTGTTTCTAATTTAATCTAAGATTTAAGATTCTGGTATTTTATAAGATGAAATTCACTTATGGAAATTATGATTCTAAGCCATTCCTTTGTTAATCTAAATAGCAAGATTTGAAGAGGACTGTGGCAGCCAGTTTATAGAAATTCTTAGTAACTAACACTAACCATACCTACTCTGAAACAAGATATTCCCAAGATATGGGAATATATGTAAGTAAAAAAGTTATTCTGAATAGACACTACTTAGTTATGGTTTTTCAAAAGCTTTGTAAACATTGATTAAGTCACAAAATAAAGTCACATGACATTACGGTTTCTCACTCCATACCCAAGAAAGCTTAGGCGTCAAAAGGTTAAATGACCTAATGATTAATTCAAAGACATGAGTCAGGAAAAGAAGTAAAAATAGACATCAAGATGCTGGACTCAAGATCACAATCTCCTTCCTGGGTTTTGTTCTGCCACTGAATTTGGTTAATTCAACTAACAATTGGCTTCCCTAAGATCAATAGTGTCTGAAAAATAGTAATTCAATGACCAGGAACTGCCCTCAGGACCTTTGGATCCAGAAAAATGAAAAAGTCTACATTTTGTAGTCTTATTATTTTAATCAAAGCAAATACCACAGTGAAACACATACAAAGCTCCCAGTACAGATGCTTCTGTCTCATAAGGGATCAGTTATTTTCCCAAGAGCATCAAGAATGAATTGCAACTTCGATCAGCCATTTCATTACGTTACATGTGCGGACAATGACTTTTCAGAGTGGAATATGAAATTCATTGCCATGTTCAGAACCAACACAGCTTGTGTTATTTGGCTTATTTTTTCTTGGCTCATGCTGTTACCTTCAGGTAGGCCGCAGCCCATTTAAACATACCCTGCAGTAGCCGCTTTAATTTTGCACAATCCACGTTGATGTACTGTAACAATTCTATATCATGGACATCGACATTATCTTCTGAACAAACGGTCAATTCCTGTAACCTGAAAGATAAAAGTAAAAACCAATTTGTTTAAATATTTCCAAATATTCTAGAATTCTGATTCACTTCCCTGCACTGATGCCCAAAGATTTAAAACATCTGAAATACTCACATATAGCACAGGAAAAAGTAATTATAAAATGTAACAAGTTCATGACTTTAAATGACATCATAAAATATTCTCTAAATTTTTACCATAAACATAAAATACTAAACTTAAGTTTAACCAAGTTATTAACAATTACATTTACTGGATCTCAGAAATGTACAGACAAAAAATATCTGTCCCTCAGGGGAAAGAAAACAAAGAACTGAGTAAGCCTTTAAGTAATTTCTAAATGAACAACAGAATTTCTGAAGTTTTAAAAATACACTACTCAGCCCTGAAGTCAAGAGGACCCAAGTTCAAATGCAGCATCAGACATTTACTAGCTATGTGACCCTGGGCAAGTCACTTAATCCTGATTGTTTCCAAATATGTGTGCTTATATGGATGTATATGTGTATATGTATGTGTGTGTATACGTATATGTATGTCAAAAAGACTATTTTATGGAGAACTCACACAGGGCAAGCATTCACCAAGTGGTCAGAAGAAGTAATACAAAGACACTCTGCAGGTCTCTCTTAAGAACTTTGGAACTGATTGTGTGACATGGGAGATACTGACACAGGACTGCTCAGCACGATGTACCCACATCAGAGAAGGTGCTGTGCTCTATGAGCAAAGCAGAACTGAAATAGCTCAAAAGAAACACAAGATGTACAGATTTAGAGAATCCACCCCAAATGAGCACATGGACTATTTGTGCCCAACCTGTGGTCAAACATTCTCGGACACACTGAAACTTGACTCTAGCATGGTGACGTCATTTTGAACCTCTTCCAGAACAAAGGACAGCCAAACATATGTCTATGTCTATATGTATGTGTACATTCAATGTATATTCTATGTATATGTGTGTGCATGTACGTGTATATGTACATGTGCTATCTAAATGATGCAGGATACCTCGAGTCTTCTCCACACTAAGTGTTCTTCTACCACTTAAGGCATTCCATTCATTTTACTTTGCTTATCAGTAAGTCAGCCACCTAGGGAAAACTCATATTCCTTGCGGAGTCAGGATCATTCAGATATTTTCATTAAAAAGGCAGAAGACATGAAAAAGTGCGGCAAAACTGTATCCATTTAACTTGATTCGATTTATTTTAAAAGCTTTTCCTCGGCTGCACCGGATTTTCAATGGGGCTATCAAGCACTGCTAGCAAGAATGTCAAGTGAAGAAAAAGAATTCTGGACTCTCTTTACATCAAATAGAATTTATTTCAAGCACAGACATCAAATACTTCATAACGGTGGATACTTTGAGCCAGAGGACAGCACTGGCTTCTGTCAAAACAGGCATCAAAAGAGCTCTGAAGGCCAAAAGGCCCAGACACTGCATGACGTAAACAACAATCTCTAAACAGGTCAGGTTCAACATCTTCCTGGAACTTTAAGAGGACATCACACCCAACCTTCTGTGGCTAACAGTGACCTCCAAAGCTTTCCCCCTCGAACCGATTCTGCTCTGGCCCACTGCTGCTTCCAGATGGGTAGCTAACGTGACATGTCCTACACACAACAGCAGCTCTTCCTGTCAAATGTGGAGAAAATAGAGCAGCCCACATCGGGAACGGGATGCTATACTGTACATGCCCAAAATACCACGGCTGCTCCAAAGGGCCCCAAAATATGCTCTGATGGGAAATAAGGTTCAAAAGATCAGCAAGGCTGTGAGCAGGTTGACTCCTGGGGTCATCAGCAACAAATGGCAAGATCAAAAGAAAAGCTCAAGGGAAACAAACCCCTTTACCATACTGCTATGGGGGGGATATATAGTTTATAAAACTTAAAAGGTCCATTGGAAACAAGGTTAAATTAATAGATGAGCTTATTAAACTGATTAAAACTTTTAAAAACATAAGGTATAAACTTTCAGTAATACTGCACATGTAGTCACAGACAGCTGTGGATTTTTAAGAGGATTTCTTTGAAAGGAAATGAACTCACCTACCTTGAAGAGCTCTAAACCTAACCCGAATGTCCCACACATTCTCTGTAACTTACGGGTCTAAGTCGCTCCCATCTATCCGGACGCTTGCCACAGTTAAGGCTATCATTTCTATCATGTGAGTCGATTCTCATAAATAATGAGATTTCCACACTTGAAGTGGGCGTCTGTTTAAACTAAGCTGATAATGACATCAGACTGACAAAGATAGCACAGAACTGGTCTTGGAAGAATCATGACTAGTCCTAAGCAGAGAGGAGAGGAGGGATCAACCAAACACCAATTCAGACCCAAGCACTGCCCTATAAACAAAACTCAGCAACTTGTTCCATCAGGATTTTAAAACTACCAATATTTTATTATTCCTTCAATTAGAAGAATTCTGACAGTTCTGAGAGTGTTCAACATTTGAAACCAGTTAAATATTTTCAGCCTCTGAGCAACCAATTCTGCCAACAGGCCGCCAGATAGAAATTTAAAGCCTCTGAAAAGAAAGATTCTGATTGGCTGGCAATGTCTATAAAAGGCCAGCCTTTGGCTTGAAAGCCGAGATATGTGGGAGAAGCAACAGATGACAGGCCGAAGGAAAGAAGAAAAGCAGAGACAGAAAGACAAAAGGAAAATGGCCACGAAAGGCAGCCAGAGGGGAAGCAAACACCACAGAGCCTGAGAACAACCCCAAAGAAGGCAGCAGGGAAATGAAGGAGGCCGACTCTCAAGAGTGAGGCCTCGGAGGCCACGCTGAAGGCAGGGCGGCCCAAGGGTTCATCTGGGGGGAGCGATGTACAGCACCAAGCCAAATCATAACAGCAGAGTGCCGAAGGCTATATGAAAACAATCCACAGACATCATGCGGCACCTACTGTGTGCCAGGCCCTCCAGCACCATACAGTCTAACCTGTAAGTGTACAGGTATCTACAAAAGACATAAAATGATTGGAGGGAAGGCTTTTACAAGAATTAAAAAGTACATCTGAAGGTTCCCACAAGGATGCTAAAGACAAAGGAAAAAAATGTTATCCAAATAAAAGGAACCCTTTCATACTTTCAGCTTATTTTGCTACATTTGCAAATTCTTGCCTGGGGCAGACAGGGTCAGTATTTATCAAGTGCTTACAACATCCCAGACACTGTGCTAAGTGCTGGGCAGACAAAGCAAGGAAAAAAGAGCTTATGTTCTAATGGGAGAGACAATTAGTAAATAACTGGGTACATACAAGACAAAGAGGAGGTGATTTGAGAAGGGAACTGGGTGGGAGGGGTTGGAGGGGATCAAAAAGGCTTCCTGCAGAAGATGAGATTGGAGCTGAGTGTCAAAGAAATCTGGGCAAAGCAAAAATCAGAGTGCAGAGGGGACATGGGAGACGGTCAATGCGAAGGCAGAGAGATGTGTCTAGAAAGGTTTGCCATTTCCTTCTCCAGCTCATCTGACAGATGAGGAAACTGATGCAGAGTTAAGTGAGTTGCCCAGGGTCACACAGCTAGTAAGTGTCTGAGGCTGGATTTGAACTCAGAAAGATCAGTCTTCCTGACTCCAGGCCCAGTATTTCATCCACTACACCCCTTAGCTACTCTTAGAGCTGTAATTAGAATGGGGGCAAAGCAGGGTCCAAAGGGGAAAATCCATCTCAGACAGGTTTAAATGGCCCTGGATAAGCAATTAACCTCATCTAAAGGCTAGAGTGAAGCCTGGTGGTAGGGAGGGGGAAGCGGGCAGGCAAAGCCAGTAACAGGACACAACAGAGAGTAAAATCCCCAGCAGACTTGTCTTTGGCCACGGCTTGGTGGAGCCCAGCTCTAGCCTAGCCATGGCGGAAGGAGGCACAGCCTTGGCTCAGCCAGCTACTAGCTCTCTGGATCTTAGCAGATCAGCTCATCTTCACACCAAGGGAAATAGGTCAGTTTATGTACAGGGCCAGGAAACACCCCCACCCCTGGATTAACCTGCAGAATGCAGGACTCTTCAGGGGCAATGAGGATAAGGTAGGAGAAGAGACAAGGCACTTGCCCCAAAAAGTTTCTGTACTCCATGGTTTTCTAAACTTATCAAGGCCTGGAACCTGAGAATGAGGAAAGAGAGTTTGGTGAATTGCCATGTTGGGAGTCAGATGGTCCATTTCAGGAGTTCTGAGCCCTGAACTGGCTGGCCTGCTCTGGGCAAGCACTAGAATTCCCTGTGGCCTCTCAGCATGTTCTATCCAGAAAAGTAGTGGGAGATGGGGCCTCACTTTAGACTGACTAAGCAGGGGAGGAAACCAGACCCTAAACCCTTGCAGGCCAGGCCTTTTTGAGGATTGTCTCTCTCCCTCATTCCCAGAACTTTTCTTTCCCATGAAGCTTTGTCTTCCCAAGCTGCAGAGGAATAATTAGGGTATGGTTGGGGGTCAAGTGTGACTGGAAAGAACCATTCCTCGCATGTTCTGAGTCATAGGGACCATGGACTACTGTTCTAGCAGGGCTGCTCTTACCTCCACACCCATATGCCCCTGAAAGAGAACAATTTCCACAATCTAGATGAAAGAATGCTAGAGTGGGTACCATGAGAACTGGAGTCTAGTCCCTGGACCTCTCTCTCCTCCTCTATAAAATCAGAGTTGAACTCGATGATCTTTAAGGGAAAGGGGAGAGGGGGTAATTGTTAGATTCTAGCCCTCTTTCCTTCCCCTTCCCCAAAACATCTGTTTGCTGTTAAGTGTTGTCACTCCACCCCCACCCCTCAGTCCTCAACCTTCCTGGATGACCAACTTGAAGAAATAGTAACTAAGCACTCAGGTAATGAGAAGAATTACTTAGTTTGAACAGAAAGTTACCCAAGTACTGGATTCCTTGAAGGAGGGAAGGAATATGGAGCAGCAGTCTTTCCGTCAGGTTTGCTGGGATGGATGGATGGATGGATGGATGGATGGATGGATGGACGGATGGAGACACTCCCACCCACATACACACCCACACACACACCCCTCCACACATCTAAATTGAGGATGCTTTTCATGCCATTTGCCCCTGGTGAGATTTGTACTGCTTGCCCCAGGAGAAAAAAATCCTAATCCTGGCTCTGCAATGAACACACTTGGGCCATGTTTTGTGTGAATGTTTCTCCATGACAAGATCAGAAGATGCCCCTTCTCTCTCACCCAATACTAACTAAAAGGGCAAAAGATTGTTTAACATGTAAATACAGTTGAGTGAACGGTGCTGCCTCTTGGCATTTCAAAAATAAGAGGTGGCCCTGGGACAGCTCCTTCTAACAAGCTAAGTCAGGCCAATACTGAACATGCTCATCCCTGGACAGTTCTCCCAATGCTGGGAAACCCATTCTATTGTAGAAATGCTGCCAAGTCCTCCAACCAGTGGTAGTGAATCAAGTGACCCTAAGCTTAAGAAGAATAAAAACACAAATCAATTATTCTTCTGTGTGCAAAGTATGCATACAGGCTCCCTTCAAAGACAATCTGTAGTTGACTAAAAAAAAAGTCATCCTAGAGCTCTCCAAGGTGTCATATCTTTTACTTGTTGCTTATAGTACACAAGATAACATGTGGATTTTTACTGGTTCTCTTATATTTTTGTACCTTCAAGGTGAGATCAGCTCTGAAGTCTATGTTTGGCTGATAACAGCAAAGCCACTTGATCGTTACACAACTTATCCTGAGAAAAAGGAGCTGTTGTCTGAGAATATGTTTTGTCATCTTTAATTCAGCCAATGGCTCAGAATTATTACACAGAATATTCAACAACCTCTTCGGAGAAAGGGCTTAGAATTTGAGCAGCACAAGGAACCCCCAGGGTGGAAACTCCCTTCGTGCTGAAGAGCACAAGCCACTGGTCATTTCAATCTTGGTGGGCTGCCTGGGGCAACAAAGAGGCACAGATGTCAGGGGCAGGACTCGAAGCTGGGTCTTCCTGACCCCAAATGCAACCTTCCATACTCAACCACTGCTGCTGCTCTCCCAATTGTCACGGCTGCTCTTCTCTCGTTAAATTTAACATGCACTTTTTAAAAAGCAAGCTGTAGGTAACATGTCAATGATTTTATATGCAGTGCTTTATGTTCTTCTCTATGTTGAAATGCTATTTATAATTTATAATTTTAAGAAAAAATTAGAAAAAAAATTAAATAATATAGTTCCTAAGAGAACATTAATCTATCTTATAAGTGCTCATGGCAAACCACTCCAGTATCTTTGTCAGGAAAACCCCAAATGGGGTGATGAGAAGTGTCAGATAGACTGTGCAGAAGGCTTTGGACTGAGTTTGAACGACAAGGAAGTGGACCTTCCCGCCATGGCGGGAAGGGAGTCAGGGCAGCCCTTGCGGCAGAAGGGCAGACCCTCAACAGCAGGCAGAGTCACCTGGATCACTTGAGATGCTTTTCTTGGATATGGGGCAGGGTTCAATAAAGGGGACAGGAGTTAAAGGGAAATAAATGATTTTTTAGAGGGGTAAGCCTAGCTCTCTGTGTTAATGATATCAACATCTCAGAAGACATTCTGATTGGTCTTAACAAGTCAAACATCAATGAAAGCAACTGGAAAGCTAACTCGTTCCAGAGGAGAACAAAACTGCTTTATCTCAGATTAACTTATCCCACCCAAGCCCCTAGTTAGGTGCCCAGCTAAGCTTCCACAGGACTGTCTGGAAGACAAAGTGCTTTGCAAACCTAAAAACATCCTCCAAAAGTGAATTACAAATGTGAGTCTGATTCTTGTTAGTTTGACAGAACAAGTGTCCTTAGAGTGCCCAGATCACACCCTCTGCACATGCTTCATTTAGATTCCAATAAGAAGGAAGCTAGTGACCGAAAAGCAAGCTAGCATCAACGACTTAATCAAAAGATTCCAGGTCACTGCTGGGAACACCACCCTCAAGCCTTTGTCCGAGACCAGGGCTTCTCCACTTCTGCTGTGTACTGAACCCCTTTGGCAGCGGGGTGGTAGAGAAGCCAACAGATCCATTTCTTCTCCCGAGAGTGTTTTTAAACACATAAAAACAAAACAGATGATTTACAAAGGAAATCAATGGGATTAAAATACAGTTATCAAAATTTATTTTAAAAATAAACTCACCAACTACACATTAAGAACCTTTACTCTATACCATCATCAAGAAAAAGTTAGTTACATTATGAACGACCAAAAAAGTGCAGAAAAGTATGCTATAGTTTAGAAAAGGTCAAATAAAATCCTAATACAGAAAGGTCAGCTATCCAAGGAAATTCAATTCAAGAGCATTTATTAAGCATCTCTTTGGTGCAAGGCATTGTGCTAAATGGTAGGCTAGTTGCTGCCCCCATGAATGTAACCTTCCATCCTACTGAGGAGATACTCAAAACATCTAAGCTCAGGCACATGAGGGGCTGCAGAAAAGGCTTCCCATGGGACAGGGCACCTGAACTGAACCTGAAAAGAAGCTGAGATTCCAAGAGGTAGCAATAAGGGATCAAATGAATTTCATGCACGCAAGAAAACAGCTGTTCCAAATAACTCATTCATTCCCTGAGGAATTCAGACAGGTGAGGATTTACTTGGGAGCTTCTGAGAAATACAGGCCACTGAATATCATTTAAAATGACTATTGCCCTCACGTCAACTCCATCCGGTTGTCTTATTTTAATTAAGTGGAACATATTAAAAAGACAATTTAGAATCAAACCCAATATTTACAAATCTTCTAGAGTCTCCATTGTGACTATGTGGACATAATTGATGTTTCCATTCTTCTTCCCCCTAAAAATTCTCACATGTAGGCAAAAAATGACCATAGCACCAAAGCAGCAATATTAACTTGAGAAAAGAAAACTGAACTCTTGTATAAAAAGTCTGTCACTATTCAAATTAAATTCACAACTGTCTGGATATACCATTCCCCTGCTCAAAAACCTCAGAGTATTTTCTGTTTATTGCCTTTAAGATAAAATAGAAATTTCTCCATTTGGCCTTTAACACCCTTTCCTATCTGGCTCCAGAGCCCCCTCCCACACTACACTCACATACACCCTCAGTGGACCAGCTGAACTGGCCCATAACAGGTTGTGCCCCAGCCTGGAATGCTGTCCACTCACTGCTGCCTTTTGAGAACCTAGACATAGCCTTCAAGATTCAATCCAAGCGCCACGGGCCTCCCAGAGGCTTTCCCCAATTGTCCCAATTGTTAGTGCCTCCACCCACCCACCTATAAAGCTACTCTGTATTGATTTTGTGTGTACTTTGTGAAGTATTTACTTCTAGCCTTCTGTGAAGATGCACCATGCACTTTATTCATCTCTGCTTGAAGTCCGTGTTGCTCCGCACACTGACCTGGTAGAAATACGACTGAAGACCGCGTTGAAGTGATTACAGCTGAGGGAGAAGAGGACCCCGGAGGCGGAGCTCCGAAGTTCAGCCGCATGCTGGTTCCCTTCCCGATAGGTGTGAATGAAATGGCAAATTTCTGGCAGCAACTGCTTGACCAACATTGTTTCATCTAACCTCATTGTGTCCTTTGGCTGCTGAAATAAGAGCAAGATTTGACTTGTTTCAATTTCCATGTAGTAAAAACACCTTAGCACAGAGACAATGTGGAACAGAGTTGGCTCAGGGTCTTTGGTGAAACCATTGGTGAGCACCCTTCTGAGCCAAGGCCTCCATAGCCGTCCAGACCCTAGGCCATCACTGCCCAAGTGATTATCAATTCAGTCCCATGAGCTCATTTCCAAAATTCACACAAGTAGGAGAGAATAAAATTATCCTTTTCATTCTTACTCTGCTACCAGTTGTAATTAAATCCCTATCAGAGCAAGATGAAAATGTTCACAATTCAAGCTAAGATGAGTTAACCTATTACTAAGAAACTGTTACGTGATGGAAGCATTGACTCTGACACGAATTAATCCCTTTCAGTCATCCAAACTGAAATCTGGTAATTAAGAATGCCAGTCAGGCACAAGGACCAATCCTTCGAGATTTCTCCAATAGAGCTCATCAAATTAACCAAGGGAAGACTAGGGAGTTGTGGTCCCTGTCATCTGGCTAACCTAAGCCTAGTTTCAAGTATTCCCTCAGTACACCATCACTAACCATGGTGTCTTGATAATATTTGGCTCAGTTTTTAAAAAATTGCCTCCACTTGCTTTCAAACACATCTCCATCTACAAAGACAAATCTCAAAGTATTCCACAGAATCACTGGGATAATTTAAGGAAATTCAACAATGCAAACTAATGCTCTTTAAACATGTAAATTAAAGTTCTTATCCAAGATGCATCACACATCTGTTTCTATTTCCATTAAGCTGTCCCCAAGACATGAGGCAGTACTGTACAATGATCAGAGCCAGGAAGACTAGGATTCCAGCGCCACCTTTGTCACATAGCCCCTAGAGAAGGAACCCTGGGCAAGGTACAACTTCCCAATGCTCCCAGGGACCTTGCTAAGATTCTAACTCACAGATGGGCTCCCCCACAGGGTCATGGCAGATTAAGGCTCAGTTTACTACCCTGATGAAATCATAGCCATGTGTATTATTACACACACACACTCACAGGACAAAGTGTCATGGATTAGTCAATAACACTGGCCATAGTTTTTTGAAGTTCGTATCCACTGGCTCATACTTATTGAATATATATGCTTACTCAGAGTGGTTAGTGAAGAGAAAATTCTAAATAAAGGATCAGCCAAAAGTCCTAGTTAGCTTTGGACTTGCTTTTCTTTACCTAACTCAGGAAAGTGTTTTATAAACCAAGAATTCACTAAATTATAATAACCCACATTAAAAATGAGTTTCATTAAACACAGACGTATTCAATTAAGTAGAAATACACAACTCTGTGTTTCAAAGTAACAAAGACACTTGAGAAGCACTAATTTAAGAAGGTGCAAAGCTGTGTGGCTTTCCCACCCCATCCCCTAATCTACTCCTCCTCCACTTCAACTCCATATTGAGAATGGACAGCATTAATAAGAAGCTTTAAATAAAAAAAATTAAATTAAAAAAAAAAAGGCTGGCCCATTTTCTAAACCTGTTGATTGCCAATTTGAGAGAGAGTTAAATTATATAGATTGTTTAAATCCTACTTCCCCAGGGTAATAAAAAATGTCGATGTCCTAAAAGTAGAAATTAATTGACCTTCTACCCAAATATAAACAAAAATAATTAAATGTGTCCATATAATGATTTTGAATACTAATAAAATAACTTATTTTTATAGATTTTTAACAAGATCATAGTGAAAAATTTAATATAGTCATCTTTGCCATTCTGTTTTTAAATACAATAAACAAACTCATCTTTTTCAAAAATTAATAAAATAAAATGCTGACATCTTCATAAAATCTTTCCCAAAAGGCATGAATCTTTTTTAAAGAAAGGAGAAAAGTAGGTCAAATTTTTGTTCTGCTAACCCTGGTAAGTATTTTAACCATATGAAGAAAGCAACAATTACGTAATTGATGTGCTAAAGACAGGAAAATTATTTCCCTTTACACACATTAAATGTATGACCTGATCAATTCAGTTAACAAAATTTAAGTGCAATTAAAGTGTTCTAAGTACAAAGATATATCACTTTTCTCTGTACGCATACCTAAAACATTTGAATGCAGCTGATCAATTTCAAGATCGAATTCACAAGACTTACCAAATCACTTACCCCAGCAAGGCATTTTTCCAGTGTATCCAAAATAATTAACTGAGAGAGATATAAATTCTTTTCAGCAGCTTCTCCAAATATTCTCTGAAAGGAAAAACATTTGGAACACTAAATTTTAATAATGACTCTCCCCTGCCTACCTACTCTACCAAGTCTAAAAAATTAGATGTTCAATCAAGCAAAATTAACTCTTCCCTTTAATCTCTGGAGGGTTGGTTTAAATATTATGTCAAAAGTGAAAAATACTCATTTTCTCCCAGTTCTAGCAAAAGACAACCTACAGACTAATAATAATGTCGTTATTTAAAAGAATCATCCATTCTGTTGACCCTAAGATTTTCTTCCTGTTTGAATTTACAAAATCAGTCCCGTTTTGACCTAGGCACATATTTAACCTGGAATCCTGACATCATCACCTTATATTTAATCCCATTTTCACTCACACAGGTAATAAAGATTAAAATCTTTCATTGCAATAAACTATAATGCCACCAAGTATTACAAATTCAAGTTGTCACATTCTTTGGACTAGCTAATGACAACCTATGTGCAGGAGAATTTCATTCATTTAATAAGTACTCAATGAACACCAAATGGGTCCATTCACTATCCTGTTTTGGTGAGTAGAGATATCTTGTGAGCTTCCATTCTAACTGGGAAAAAGCATATGACAGTGATCAGAAACAATATAACACATACCCAAAAGGAAAATAATAGTCATGCCTTGCTTTGAGCACTAGAAGGGATCCTTAAGGAGTTGGGGCTAAAAAAAAGTCTGTGGTTACATATGTAAATGTACAAGAAGTGAATTAGTTCACAAAAATCTTTGGTGAACTCTTTCTTGAAAACAATGAAAACTACCACTCTCCCAATTTATCTGGTTCACATTTTAGGATTTTTACATGTAGAATTTGCTTAAAAAACCAAATACTTCACACATATGTGCCACATCTTTCCCAGTTCATTCATAACCAAAGTGTAAGATTGGAGTACCCTGGGGAAGCTTTCTGGAACTGCAAAGTTCTAAGTTAGGTCTGAAGGAAATGTTGAAGCAGCAAATGAGACAAAAAGAATTGACAGGGGAGGTGAGAGTACTGGCCAGGCCCCAGAAAAGAGGCTGACCAAGCAAGCTGGGAATGAGGGCCAAAGGGCAGCTGCCAGGGAGCAGCACAGTCTTCTTGTAGACTGAGGAGAAATAAGATTAGAAAGAGCCAATAGAATCTGGAATGCAGGGCAGAGGGAGCGATTTCATCAACTGGGTACCAGGGGAGTGGCATCAAGACAATTATCCTGGCAGCTGGGCCTTACCCTGGCGAAGGATCCAGTGTGGGCTCCAGGGTGAAGAAAGGAAACCCTACCATGGGCCCATAAAGATCAATACTACGCTGTAAATCTAGAACACTCTATTTCATTCATGATGCGTTTAAGCTAGATTTTGTTCCCACTCTGATATTTTTTAAATGAGTATGCTTAAAGTTCCAGAGGATAAAACATTTTAAAAATATATTCAGAAAAGGTTAGCAACCAAATCTCTGTATGTTTTTGAGTGGCCCTTAAATCATGTTCTGATCAACAACCAAGAGGGTCACCGTTAATAGATGAAGCTAATGAAAAACTTTAAATGAAAGAACAAGGGGGGGAATATGTTGCACCTGTGCTTTCCTACAAGACAGGCTAATTTATTAAACACTTTCTCCAGTACAAGTTAGGGGATAAAGTCCTCCCAAAATTATGCCATGACTAATATTCAAAAATACCCCCAGTAAAAAGAGCAAATCAAATACTTACCATATTGTTAACATTTTTTAAAATATTGGTGAGGCCACTTATAACCAGAGAAAACTTGTATTTGGAAATGTTGATAAGACACTCCTTGTTGTGTTCAGTGCTGACTTTGGTGTGTGTAGTCTGCTGTCCAGCTTTAATTGGAAGCTAAGGGGGAAAAAAATTAAGCTAGCATTGGTCATTACGGTTAACTACAATTTCATTGAAAATCATGAAGTTTTATTTAAATAAAAAAAACACCAACAAGTTCTTCCCTTCAGCCTCCCATTCTCTGCACCTGAAATACTGTTCTGCCAACTCCCTTCCACAGTTCCTGTTCTATCATTAACAACTTTCCATGGTTCTTAGACCTCTTCCTCGCATCTTCCTATACTCACTGAGACCTCGATTTCCCCAGAACAGACTAAATCCTTGGCCATGCATGTCCTCACACGCTGGCTCATTCTCTTTCCCTTCACTATAGTTTCTGATGAAGAGATGACCCTTCTCACCAAGGGCCTTGAAGCTAATGCCTCCATTCTCTCTACCAGGCCGCCCCTCCAATCAGATTCTCTCTCTCCCCACCCTCCCGCCCTCTACGTACTACAACCTTCTCTGCTGCCTATCAACACCTACAGTTATCCCCATCCTTAAAAAATTTTTAAAAACTTCCCTTGACCCTCGCCCTCAAGTTAAAGGATCACACATCTATAGCTGAAGGTTAAGGCACTATGCCCACTCTGGTGGCCACACAAACCAAGTACCCTGTATGCATGACAAAGTGCTTGTATGGGTTGACAAACACTCTGCAAAAGTAACACGTACACATCATAGCATGTTCAACTGGAATTCAATGGAACCACGTCAGTCACTGAATTATTTTACTTTTTATCATAAAAGATGGTCTGACAGAGTAGACAGCGCCAAGAAACCTGGATTCAAAAATCTGCTTCCAACTTTATGAGGTGAATGGGTAAGCTGGACGACAGCCCCTGGGGAAGACTCCCTGAGAGGACCCACCTCCTGAAGAGCTACTTCCTCCTTCTGCAGGCTGCCTGCTGGCCTGGCTCTGCCATCCTCCTGAGCCAGGCACCTCCTACCTCTCCCTCACCTCTGAAGCTCCCTTGTAGGTGTGGTCTTCCCCATTAGGCTGTCACCTCCTGGAGGGCAGATACTGCCTTTCTTTCCACTTCTGTTTGCATTCCTAGTGCTTACCAGAGGGCCTGACACACAGAAAGTGCTTAAAAAATGCTTGCTGACTGACTGTCAAACGCTAAAATTTAAGGTCCCTTCCAGCTCTAAATCTACAGTCTTTTTTATGCCTCAGAGAATTAAGGCTCAAATGAGAAGATGATCAGAGCTCTATGCTAACCTGAGAGTGCCACATCCACACGAGTTACACAGTTAAGCCCTTTTTTCATCCTCAAAATTCCAAACTCATTTCACTGGGAAGAACTATCTAACACTGTCCACATTAAAATGGGTGCACCCAGAAAACTTGCTTATAAGAACTGATGTTTTCCATTTTTTCTAACAGTGTATTTGCTACAAACAGAAGGCTAAGACTCTATGTCCAGTGCCTGGCACACAGTAGGCACTTAATAAAATGCGTATTGAACTGGATACTTAGAGCCAGTGAACTAATTCAAATGTACTACAAGTGACAACATTCTGTAGACCTGTCACCCTTTGCTAAACCGCTGACAGCTTACCAGATTTGATAGCATTTTTTACTTTTCAAACTTGACATGTTTTTTAATGTACTAATTAAACTGTATTTATACCTTGTCATCTTATGGCCAAAATATTAATTTTCTTTCAGTTTCATTAATTTTCACCAGTAAGAGCTCTAGCTCAACAGTCATACTGACTCAAAATGCAAATATTTCAAAGAATGAGAGGGGTCAGCACAAGAAGCATAACTGAGACCTTAAACACAGCAATGTGAACAGTAGAGAGTTTGTTTCTAGTTCTGCTTAGAAAATTCTGCAAAATGTCAAAGATTCATTTTTTCCATTGTGTGTAATTCACTCTGTTGTTAACAGGCCCCTTATACTCAAATGGAAAAATGAATTCTGCTAAAATTCATCTAATAATAGTTTCATCTAAAAATCAAAAACAAGCTTTTAGTTCAAACAAAATGACCCTGGAGGGGGTCTAATATTCTAGAATTCTCTACACAAGTGGAGAACACTGCCTGGATTATCTGAAATTTAGAAAACAGTGATAATTTTCATAGTATGAAGAGGAGCCAGTGTAGAAAGATGTTGCAAGGCAGGCCATTGACTAGTCACGTCCTGGAACTGTCTCTCTTCTAGGGAGGAAATCGTAAAATACTTCCCAGCTAAAGCTAGTCTTGCCTGGGCCCAGAGTCCTTTATGTCATCTTTAGACACCAACTCACATGAATAAATCAGTTTAGGAACCCGCATGGAATATATATTGAATATAGCAGCTTTTTATTACACTGTTGAATTTTGTACTCTTAACATAGTCAATCCTCAAGATTTATCATGCTCCTATGTGCCAGGCTCCGAGCAAAGCACTAAGAGTACAAAGCAAAAGCAATACAAAAACACGGTTCCGGCTCTCAAGGAAAGGCCATTCAGATGGGAATAAATAGGTACGTATAAGAAATCTACAAAGCAGACCCAAGGCAATCAGAAAGAGGTGGGCACTAGCATTGGGGGAGGAGGGAAGAAAGGCTTCCTGCAAAAGGTGGGCATGAGGAACTTTGTTCTGTGAAGTTTGGATTCAGTCAAAGGGCTTGAGGACCTAGAGGGCCACACATGTGGCCTTGAGGCAGCAGGTTCCCCACCCCAGAGCTGAGCCCAGAAGGAAGTCAGATCAAGTCAGAGGCAGAGGTGAGGAGACAGTCATTCTAGTTGGTGAAAACAAACAAACAAACATACATATCCAAAGGAGATGAAAGAGCGGATGTTGGTGGGTCATGCTGGAGGACCAGCAAGTACACCAGCACTGCTGGGAGACAACCAGAAAGATAGGAAGGGTCCAGGTTATGAAGCGTTTTTCACACTTGATCCTGAAGGGAATCAGGGGCCACTGAAGCTCACTGAGGAATGGATTGGGGGGGGGGGGGGGGAAGAAGGTGGGGTGACCTAGCTAGAGCGCCACTCCTTCATAACTGCATGGAGGAGGGGTTGGGAAGAGACCTTAAGTAGTTAGACCAATGACAAAGTTATTACAATTCTCCAGTCAACAAGAAGTAAGGAGGGCCAGAATTGGGGTTGTGACTAGGCCAGTGGAGAGAAGAGAGTGTATGCAACAGGTGTCACGAAGGCAGAAACAAGATACGCAAATGGACTGAGTATGAGGAGCAAATGAGAATAAGTCAAGGATGATGCCAACACTGTCTGGGAGACACGGGGAGGATGGTGACACCTTAGATAACATTAAGGAAATCAATTCAGAAGAGGAAAGCGTTTGTACACGTCATAGCTGGGGCCCCTACAGAATTTCCAGCTGGGAGATGTTCAAAAAGGCGATTAGTTAACCACGACAGCAGCTCTGCAGAGATGCAAGGGGCTAGAGACGGAGCTGGGAATGACCTGCATAAAGAGAACTGACCCGATGGGAGCTGCTGAGATGGATTCCCAAGAGAGAAGAGGTCCGGGACACAGCCCTGGAGAAAACCCACCAAGGCAGACCTGGATGAAGAATCAGCAAAGGACACAGAGAAGGAGCAGAGACAAGAGGAGCAGGAGAGAGTCTCATTACGAAACCCCAGAAAGGCTCGAGTGTCCAGGAGTAACTGACTGCCAAAGGCTGCAGAGAGGTCAAGAAGCAAACAGACGGAGAAAGAGTTGGCAATAACTTTGGAGAGGGGTATTCACGATCCTCCCCAATCGAGCCCAAACCACTTTTTAGTTTTCCTAAAAGCACATACTTTTCCCCTCAATCTAGAATAACCTTGCTTCCCTTTTATGTGTCCTATGTATCCACTCAAATTGGAAATTGAGGGGATGCCCATCAGTTGGGGAATGGCTGAGCAAGTTGTGGTGTACGAATGTAGTAGAATACTATTGTGCTATAAGAAATGATGAGCAGGCGGACTTCAGAAAAACCTGGAAAGACTTGTATTGACTGATGCTGAGTAAAGTGAGCAGAACCAGGAGAACGTTGTACACAATAACAGCCACGTTGTGCAATGACTAATACTGATAGACTTAGCCCTTCTTAGAAATGCAAGAATCTAAGACATCTCCAAAAGTCTCATGATGGAAAATTCTATCCACAAAGAAGAAAGAACTATGGAGTTTGAATGCAGATCAAAGCATACCATTTGCTCTTTTTTTTCCTTCTGTTTTGTTTTGTTTCCTCTTTTTCTTATGGTTCCTTCTATTGGTTCTAATTCTTCCTTACAACATGACTAATGTGAAAATATGTTTAATAGGAATGTATTGTATAGCCTGTATCAGACTGCACACCATCTTGGGAAGGGAGGTGGAGAAGGAGGGGGAGAAAAATTTAAAACTCAAAAGCTTATGGGAAATGATTGTTGATAAATCAAAAGAAATTAATAAAGAAAATTTTTTTAAAAAGTATCCACCCTAACTCAAATGTGTTCTCCACGAACACTGCACTGACCTCATCTGCACAGAAGATAGAAATCACTCCCTGCTTTGTACCTCCTAAATCATTTCGCATATTCTTCTCTTATCACCACAAATAATTGATGCATTTTGTTCTGACACATCAATCACTTCTAAAGAGCTGCCAAAGTTATTTTTCTTAAGCACACATCTGACCTACTCACTCCCCTACTCAATAAATACCGTGGCTCCCTATTGCATCTGGAACAAAAAAGAAATCTTTGTTTAGCTGGGGAAGCCCTTCACAACCTGGCCAGTCTTCTATCCTCATCAAACACCACAGCAGGTCTCCCACCACACTGCAATCTGGCCAAACTGGCCTTCTCTAAGACTCCTCCTACACAATACTTCATATTTCATCCATCTCTCACTTCCATGATTTCACACTGGCATCCACCATGACTGGAAAACATTCCCTTTTCACCTCTACTCCACATACATCATATGGGTTCTCGCTTATCTGTTCTTAAAGGCAAAACTCAAAGCACCACTTCTGGTGTTTCAAAGTCTACATCAATGGAAAGAACCCACAGATCTAGGAGAATATGGATTCATT